ATCTTATAATGTGAATTTTTTTATTGTGGTTAATATTGCTTAATTGATGAATTCTTAATCTAAGTCTACAAGTTTTTACACAAGCCTTGAAGCATTTTTCATCGTAACTTCAAATCTTAACATCCCTATAATCAAATTTTCTTACTAAAATATTATTCCGCGTATGATTTTTTTATAATTTTTAATTTTTAAGTTAAAATATCAAATTATGAATCAAAAAAATTCGTGAGACTTTAATCATTTCAACATACTTGACTCATTTTGGCTTATTTTATTCTATTTTTAAAATGACAGATTGATGTAGGTAGATGCATAAGACTCTTGAGAATATATCTATATCCCACTTTGTGCTCTATTTTTCAAGTATAATGCTTAGATAAATATTTATCACTCTTTTATGGAAACAACATATAAATTACACAAAGATTCATATTTACTAACATTCACAATTTTTAAAATTCATCGAAACATCATATGGTTTTTTTTTCTAAATCTGTCAATGATTGATTTCTAAATGCAGAAACTACCGAGAGAATCTGATTCAATGACATTTACTAATAAATAAATTTTTTTATATTCCAAATACTTTCCCTATCCCATTAAATATGATATCCTTGAGAATATCTTTTCTGCATAGCATATTGATTTATGAATGAGATACATATTTTCAGTTTTCAAGAATCTACCTCAACATGGTATTTCCAGGTATTAAGCATTCAAATTTCAGATGAAAAAACCATTTCTGAATTTGAGGATACGCTCAAACAGTTTATTCTCATTCCCTCCAGCTTTTTCCTTCGAATTTATTTTCATTTTCGAAACTAAAACTTATTTTGTTCATAAGATATCCCATCTCATCTTTATGCACATTCCAGATTCGGTCCATTTATGAACAGGCAACAACTTTGCGAAAGTTTTGCAGTCACTGTTGCACTTCGATTGTTTATCGATTTGGCTTCTATAACGTGTCAGAGCTTTCAGCGGCTGCTTGCTGGACGGTGTCATGCATGCTCTAGCAGAATAGCTTCCAGCACGAGAATCATCATTCCAAAAATCATATTTTGGCCCAAGTAATGAGTTCGATCCACTTCTGAGCTTTTCTTCCTAATCACAAATTATCTTAATCTCAAGAAGTTGAAAAGATCTCATAACGACATTGGTCACTTGATTACATGATTGTTCGAGAATATTTCCGAGTCCTATATCATAGAGCTTCTCAGATCCACATCTATTGCAGCTTGCTAAAGGTGGTGCAATTTGAGCATCCTTCCATGGGAATATTTCTCTACTGTCGAACATCATCATCATAGTCTTCAAAAAACTTACCTATCTCTTCACAGTGTTCTTCTCCCCTAACATGAAAGACTTTTCATATAATCTGCTACCCATTGGTTTCCGGGACATGCCGATCTGATAGGAACGATCTTAAGCATATTCTCACATGATCGAGGGAGAAAATAAATGACGAGTAGTAGATTGGTGACACATGGATGTAAAAAACCCTTTGAATACCCTGAAATTATTACAAAACTTATTGGAGAATAAATGTTTAGGATCGATTGTGTAATAATCGGAAAATATCTACTCTACTGCCTGTTACTTCTTAATCCTCGAAAGAAAAAAATTTACAAGCAATAGGATGCTACGACACTACATCACAATTAATAGAGGAGGACGATTGAGGTATAAATATGTCGTTTGGGATGGGTTTTTAAAGGGAGAGAAGGGTGAGGCGAGATATCAAAACTTAGAACAAGGTTAAAAAACGATGGAGAAAGACTCGTGGATTTGGGCCATGCCTAAACAGGCCGAAATTAATGGAAGAGCACATCAGGCACAGACATGCATGCATGCACTTACTCTTGATACTGGAGTTGAAATGGACTTCACTGGCCGTCACAAGGCTCGATGAATTGTATAGATTGACCTGAACATGGATTGGACCATTGATAGAGCTTTGAAAATCTGATGAACTAGAGTCAATCCTGGCGACCATTTGTGGAAGACCGGACCCTGGTCTCGATTGTTCGTACACCGCTGGTGACGACAGAAATTTTCTAATGTCGCTCGTGCAGGGCAGACGCTGCTCACGTAATTGGGAATTCTGTGCTGATACTAGTGAGGGAGGGAGGGAACCCAATGGAATGGGAAGAGGGCGAGTTTACGGTTGACACATCGCTCAATGCACGGGGCCCAAAGTTGTGCATGCAGATGTTGAGCGGTCATTCATGGTTGTTGTTCTGCGGATCGGAGGCAGAACCCTGCACTCACTCACCATTGAGCATGTCGTGAGCGCTAGCCATTAGTGAGGCAAAATATCGGTGCATGAGAGCACTTGGAGTCCACCAATCAGGTAAATCGATGGGTTAGGTGTGTAATGTCCGGGAAAACCACCGCCCTTTGTGTGGGTCATAACTGCAAATTGAACTTGGCTCTCGAGTCGCTACAAAGCGATGGCCGACGATCTGATCCGATATGCAGCGCAAGAGATCCGTAAAGTTCGAAGGGTTTGTCTCTCCCCTCGCCACCATCTTCCTCTGACACCAACACCTCCGGACGCTACACACACACACTTTGTGCGAGGTAGGGTCCGGCCTGTGGAGGAAATGTGCATGATCGAAAAGACTAGAGATGCGGGCCCCCGCGGGTCCTGGCATGGATGTACACGAGAAAGGGAGCATGGGCTCGACTTTTGGCAGCAATCGTGAAGCAGGACGGCAGCACGACGCTTTTTCTCGTTCGTCTGAGGAGCGCAGTCTGCAAAGGCGTCATGCCTGTCCGACAGACGAGAGAGTACGGGGTACTCCAGAAAAGGTACTGCCCGAAAACATGCATCGCCATGCTTTATGCAATGCTCTCGCAGACGGCCTTCTACCGAAATAGAAACGAGAGCATCCGAACCGAAGTCCGGGCTTTCATACATTCATTCATGGCGTGATCCATGGCCGCAGCAGATTTCCTGAATCTGAATCCGGGGCCCTAACTTCCGTATACGGTGCACGTCGCGGAGACGGGGTCCTAGACTGCAGCGCTCTACTACGGCAGGAGGCAGAAGCAAAAGCAGCAGCACGATCGCAGGCCAAGGCTACACTAGGCGGCAAGACGGATCAAATCTAATTCATGTAGCGTGTAATCACGAGGTCTAAGATGTAGGACGCAATCGATCAGCCTCTACGATGGGAGCACTCGTCAGGCAGGCAAAGTCGCGGGGGATCTCTCTCCCGGTACCTGTCGACGGACGAAGACTCTCGAGCTACAGAATTTTCTGAGCTCAGCGGCCGGAGGTCTGAGCGCCCGTTGTGGGTCGCGGACGATGATTACTCATGAGCGCGGGGACATTCTTCGCCCGCCCACTGAACCCTCTGGTTCGAACCAGAGTCACCAGGTTCTACCTGAGGAGCGCGAGACGAGGGAGGGGCAATACGGACGTGTACGTACGTACTTACTCGGTTACGCGAGTACGACGAGGTTGAGGCCGCGCGCGTCGATCATGTGCGACTGGAACCGCACGGATTCATGCGCTCTGGCCCCGCACGGCGCCGCTTGCGGTGACCATGTGCGGCGGGAGCTCATGATTCAAGGCTTTTCTGCCACGCAGTTTGCGTGCGCGGCCGTCCCGGGCCGCGGGTCAGTCGCAGTGGCACCCGGCGCGGAGGCGACGGGTGCCAAGCGAGCGGGCCCTTTCGCCTGCCCCATCATCAGCCACCCTTTCGGTCCCTGATCCCGCCGCCATTCAAAGCTTCCGTTCCCGCCTCACCGCTTTACCTCCGGTTAACACCTGTGGCTTGCTTACCATAGTTCCCATAACTACGGTCAAGCACAACCCCTCCGCCTCCGTCGTGTTCCATCTCTCGGCTCCTAGCGCAACCGCAACCGCCAACGCCGAAGGTGACCGATGACCGGTGACCGGGTGCTGGCGGTAGTACCAAACGCCCTCCGCGCTACAGGGAACGGATAAGTCGGTATCTGCGGCGAACGCGCTGATGTTCCCATTCCGTGGTCTACGCCGTAGGGGAACTGTAAGGCACTGAGGATGACGTGGTGGCCTACACGAGAGAGCGGGTTAGTTAGTTACGTTCCGGGGCAGCGAAGTACGGCACGCTTGAGCACTCTACTTGCAATACCGGAGCGGTCATTAGTGTACCCGCCGGTAGACGACAAAAACCGTTGTACGTCGCCGGCGTAGGTGCTTCTAGAATCTATACACTAATGCCGGAGTGGGAAGCCGAGAGGATAATTCTTCGAGGACGAGAACGTCACGCTTGTGCTCGTCATAAAGTCTCACTCTCGCTCACGTTGCCACTTTGCGTCTTGGATACCTGCCACGACGTGCCGCTTGCAGAGCTGCTGCTGCTGCTGGAAATTGCGGTGGTCGATTTCTCTCGGTATCTCGGTCGAGGAAGCTCACTGGAAGTGCCCTCTGCACGCGTGATCGAATGGCAGTACGGTGCCAAACTAGCTGTTCGGCGGCCTCATCATCCTATCGTATGCTTCTGATGATCGAGGCGGGATCGTTGGAGATTTGCTTTTAGCCAGGGGATTCGTTATGAGGCTACTGGAGACAGATATCGTTGGAAGTGTTTAGTTTTAATGTTCATGCCTCCATGGTCCTTGAGTCTCACTCTCCTCCCTTCTACTACAGTTGTTTCGGGTGCTGTCAAAATCTCAGCTGTGCTACGACATCGTTCTCGCGTACACTTAATCTCCTCTGATCTCGATTTAAGAGATCAATGAGATTAGACAGGGTAACTAACTACATCAAGAGCTGAGGTATCACGGAGGTGAGATCGAGACTATCTGGGTTGAACTGCTCTACGTTTCTTCCACTGAGATAACAGACGATAAAGTCAGCTCGTGAAAATTTCTCTCTGTTTGATGCCGAAGTTTTACAAATTGGAACTGAGGGAAAAGTGTGTGTATGTGTGGTCGGCAAGTTCAATCGACAATGTGTGTTCACTTGGAGCCCATAAGACGGCTCGTTGAATCAGCATTGAACATCCAAACAGTGCAAAAAAGCTGCTTGTGAAAAACTATCAACAGTATAGTTAACGTCCAGAGACAAGGATCAGAGCGTCGTTCAAATAATCGCGAGCTATTTCATAGCCGGAGGTGCTAAAAAGCTTGATAAATCTCGGCGACGAGTACAACTCATAACAGCAACTAGAACCTAATATCCTCGTGTGCTAGGCTGCTTTTGAACTCCTATGGATATCAACAATGAACTTTACATTCACAATATCCCTGTGACAAGTGTGAGGTTTCTAAGACGAGTGCCAACTGTCCAAGGGATTGGGGTTGGGGTTTGTTCCAACTTCCTACTCCTGAGATGAATAAATACGTGAGAAATCTACATGGATTTCAGACTTTGATCCGAACAATAAACGAACCTGCACATTACAGTATCAACTGCGTCAGACAAATTCGTGAACTATGTGATATGATACTTTTAAAGCTGATCCTTGCAGATATGGTAAACACAAACACTACTTTAGATTCTCTTCACTTTCTATCTATAGGATATTCACAGTCTAATTTTCCGAAGAGACGGTTGTTTCTAGAAGAGTTGCATATTATTTAGAGAAACTGGTGTTTCAGGCTGAGTAGCAAAACTCAGCCTGAAACACCAGTTTCTCTAAATAATACGCCTATACCAAGCGATCTAACTGTATATAAGGGCACGACTTCAAGAGAGTTAAGAAATATTACAGGCTGGCAGGGTTGAAACTTCAGCAGACACGGCGCAGGCAACTCCAAAGTTTGTTAAAGCCCCGCGGATAAGTCCACATGGGAAATACAGGTATTGACCGGCAGCCTGAGAAGCTCTTGCCGAGGTTGCTTGAGTGGACTCGCCGGAAGCAGATCCATTGCTGGTTGTGGGGGCATCGAGGGAAACTCGAGTAAGCCATCTAAAGCGATTATCCTGCAGAACAAACACTCCCTGCACAACTGAAATCGGTCAGAGATACTCTAAACATCCACATACGTAAACTGCTAATCAGTGGTACATGGCAAACGTTGTGTAAGAGACGATACAAACTCTATGGGTGAAGGCTTTTTTTAAGGATGTAAAACTGTGCAGGCAGTAATCGCAGACAGTTGTTCATGAGCAAAATGGGTATTTCCCACGTTCAGTTCGGAAATTTTCGAACAAGACAGAGTCTTGATCTATAAACTCCTAGGCGTACAGACGAGATGACTCGGACCCCCTACTATTCAAGGGCGAAGAAGTCGGCCCTGACATCAGCTGTCGCAGGTACAGAACTAATCGACACTCACTTGACAACAAATTGTGCTGATACAAGTACTACGATACTACCTGGGGAAGAGTCCCAAGCCACAAGTACAAACAAACTGCTGCACAGTAACAAGATGGATAACATGCAAAACGGAAATACCGAGACCAGGAAAGGATCTAAGCATGTGAGGTTTGAGAGTGATAACGAGACGATTGAGGGTGGAAGCAAAACAGAGGGCTTCTTGAGAATGAAGAGGATCTCGCAAATTGTGCAATACGTTCGTCTAAAGCTTCCGAGTATCAGTGAACAAGAAAATTAAGGTGGTATACCCTCTTGTGAGACGTTGTGTGATAAGTAATGAATATATCTTAATATCATTCGTACGCACTACAAGCACAACGAGGTTCAAAAGGGGACCTAATACCTTTTGTATAGATAGGCTGAGCGAAATCACCTGTAAAACCAGAAGTCTACGATGTTCTTGGAGAATTAAGACATAAATGCTGTTGGAACTGTAACTGTTTTGTTCTTTGAGAGCTAGATACATGGGAAACGATAATACCAGTAAATGGGTCTGTTCGACACACACAAAACATGATGCACATAGAATTCACACGTCGCTTAACCTTTCATCAATCTCAATCCTTATTAAGACTTTAAAATCTGAACACCGGTATGTAAGAACTGGGCCAATCTTGATTGAGCATGGTGGCAAACAGTGGGCTCCTACAGTAACATCAGACAGGTCCAAACGGGTACAACATTCTTGCCGGACGCGTTCACAAAAGCGAGAACTGCGCAACTTTGCCAGCATCTCCATACGCGAACAAAAAGTGAAAGCACCTTCCACCCCATAATTTCAGTATGACTTTCAAACTTGAGAGACAGGCCCACATGGAAAAGCGTGTATCAAAAGCCGAAGATAAAAGCAAGATCTAATTGACATCGAATTTGTAGAAGGTCATTGAAAGCAGAAGGTACGACTTAATGATCAGACTAAGTTCACTACAGAGCGATTGAATCACGTGAGGAACATAGGACTTCTTTTCATACCATGCATTGCTACAACCCGGCTCACAGTATCCCACACTGCGAACCTTTTGCCCTCAGGAGCAAAATGCCTACAGTAAATAAAACGCGCGTGCAAGGCACGAAGGGCGGTAGGCCTTAAGAACATTTCAAGCCCTACGAACGGTTCAGTGATGGCTTCCGAACTACTACTGCAAGCACAAGCTGAAACGTACTCGCTTGAATCTTAACATGCCGAAGGATCCGATTCTATGTTGGATACAAGAAGCTGAGACTAAATGCTGTCAGCTAATTAAAAGCTAGGGGCTGAGTAATGACTCAGGTGCCGAGTAAAAAACAAGAACAAGAAAAGAATGTTTGCTGCATATTCGACAGCAGCGGTAGGGGTAAATCTTAAACTCTGAGTGACCCAATTGGTGATAATAACAAGATAGGATAGGAGCAGTGAGTACATCTAAGGAACGCATCTAAAATCTGAAACCAACTGGATATGCAATAAATTACAGTGAGTGGACATCTGAAGACCGTAAAAAATGGTGCCCGTGGTATGTACAATATGAAAAAGATACAAAAAAAATACAAAAGGCCATAAAGACAAAGAGTATGGCACGCGACCACCAGGTCTAACATCAACTTGTGGACAGCTTGTGGACAGGCAAGGGAGACGAACATCATAGGGCACCAAAAGCAGGATGTTGGCCAAGAGGGGAGATGTTACAAACATCTGAAAGCCAAGAGTCACTTTGCCATCAGGCAGCTCGGGAGCGTCATCAGTGTGTATAGAGGTGCATAAGTTTTAGGCCCCAGATTGCACGAGGTAGGAATATGGATTGCAAAACGCCTGAGTGAATAATACAAAATCTGGCATCGATAATAAGAAAAGTGGTAACGGTAAGTAGACAACATGAGTAGCTTATGGGGAACGAAAGATGGCTAGTTAGCGTGTAGAGACAGGTAAACATAGCAGGAACAATTTGCAACCAGTAAGAGATGATACAAACATATGGGGAAAGATTCAAATAATGTAACTTAAGGCATAATATGGCAGCATGGATCCAGATGATGATATAGAAAAGTTGGTACTATGTTTCGAGTTATTCGATCTTTCGCAAAGTGAGCATACAACATCACGAGGAGGGATGTTGAAAGCTCTCCAAGTTATTCGATAATAGTTAATCGGAGCAGGTCTGAACACCGAAGAATGTCGCCTTCAGACTACAGACTCGACACAGTGGCCTAGCATTGCTACCATGAACGTTGAAGGCCACAGTAGTATGCCAAAGAACCATAGATTCTATTATTATCTTCAGTCAATTGGTCTCAAACTTTACTTAAAGCATGGAAAATGAACCGAAAGGATCATACTCCACATAAAACGGAAGAACAAAACCCTGCGAGAATGAAAAAAGTAGCACAAGTTTTGTGGTACTCACCCGATGATTGGTCTTCAAATTGTCGATCTGCTTCTTGAACACTTCCGCCCAGAAATCTTTACAAATAAATTTAATTGCTTCCAGGTGATCTGCAAAGCGCGGTCGTTCTTTGGTATACCTTCAAGCACGCAGATGGAAAAGAAAAAAAGGACGGGCTCAATAATGAACCAGCTCTGGCGCGATCCGTATACAAGACCTGAGACCATTATGGCTGCAGAACAAGCTACATGTTGTTTGATTGCAGCACAACGATATTGATCAAACAACTTCAACAAATACAACTGCCTCTGAAGTGCCACGTTGTTCTGAACTGACACTGCTATACAATCACAAATGTATGTGAAGTTGAGAACTTCATAATGAGATTGTGTAAATCCATGGAGAACTTCACATACATTTGTTGCAAAAGAAATCAGCTTACATAAGCTCATTTCTTCCTTCCATACAAATCTATTCCTCGTATGGACAGGGCATCGCGTGGTCTGGACCCACCACCAAGGTGTTGCGGAGTTGGTTTCCGCTGGACTCGACTTCTAAAACGAAATTAGCTTGAATAGCAATTGAGCTTGCACACATTCAATTTTCAAAAGAATTAAGGACGTGAAGGGGGAGTCTGGCAGCGATCAACTTGGCATGTTCTCGTTTGCGAAATGTCATCTCAAGCAAATATCGGGCCAGAGAACGAAATCAGCAGACTGTGAAGGAGCTTAGTACAGGCCCTCACACTTCTTCAGCCCTAATCTATATGCCGTCCTGAGAGTCCCAACATACTTTACAAATTTCACATTGCGTACTTCACCAGCTAATGTGTATTACGTAACCCGAGAGCATCGGGTTGAAAAAAATCTCCCTGATCCAACAAAATAAAAGATGCATCTTCCCTTACCTCTCGGCGAGCTGCAGACCGACTTGGAAACCAATAGCTTCAATGCGCCGTGCAGCAAGCTCGGGCTTGGTCGGATGCAGCCGCATACAGTACGTGTGCACCAGTTCCAGATTCACACTATCGATGCAGCTCTCTGCCACCTCCCGCGCCATTTTTGAGATTCACAACTCGGGCCCGTATTGCGCGACGACGCCCTTGTCAGCTCCCAGCCGAGGTCACTTACGATACTTGAGGTCGAGCAGCCCCTCAGCGACTACCGGCCTGCTGTGAACTTACACCGACTGAAAAACTCATGGCTCTCATCGATCGCATCGGATTCTTCCGCCATGAATCAAAATTCTCCAAATCACATCAGATACGACCGACTGACACGACAAACGACCCGCGTGCGATCCAAACGCTCGCTCGCTCGCTCGCTCGCTCGACGCAAACCGAATCCTGTATCCGCGCTCCCGATCGACCTAAGTGGCTACGCTACGAGCGATCGGATCTGTCCACGAGCCCGCCCGATCCCCGCTTCTTGTACTGCGACGGCACAATGCACTGACCCATTCCTGTCGACTCGGGGATGCGCGATCGGCCTCCTCCTGCTGCGTCTGTCTTATCGTCGAAACGGAACCCCGTTCCCCTCCTCCTCCTTCCAGCTTTAGAGGCATCGGCCCACCTTTCTTCCAGGACCTTAATATAAAATCGTGCCATTCTTTACCCGCCGGACCGAGCCCCTTCCTCACGGAGACCCCCTCGTCCGCGTGGTTGTTCTTTCCATCCTCTCCACAAAGCGCCGTCCGGCCCCACTTGGCAGTTGCCCGTCGGCCTCCCGGCCCCATAAATATATTAAAAAAATATGAATATTACCGGAGAGAGAATGTTTTTCTCGATTTATTGAACCTTATTCTTCGTGTAAAAGGGACTCGGTTCAGAGGTTTATCTAAATCAGGAGCCGGGGAGGGGGTTTCCAAATTCCATTTATGGAGGGAGGTCTCTTTGCTTAATTTTATTTATTTTCCGGGTTGTGGGGTTCGTTACCGTTGCCCCATAAATCGCATGGCGGCGTTTCCATTTTCGTGAGAGTCGCGCTAACTCTTTCCGGTTTCGTGGATTCTTATCCTTCTCCGACTATTTGGGTACTCTGAACGAACAAATTAATTACTGCTTTAATCCGGCGAATATTTCAATGGCCCGAACGAACCCGTAAATTTCGTCCGAAGAATGAGTTTTCCGGAAAGATTCTGGCCCCGCCAGTCTTTTCCAGGGACGTGTGTCTATTCTGGATTATACGCGTGTGCCGGCAGGTGTAACTGCGAAGTGCTTGTTATATTTTGCTTGCCAGAATATGAAAAATATCAAACCTTGTGAACATAACCCATGATTTTTTTTTTTGGGTATGTTCTAAAATAATGAATTTGCAATGGAAGCCCGATAGGAGGATTAATTTTAGGCTCAACTTTTCTTCCGACGCTCAATTTGTTCTTGCTGCGCTGGTGACAACTTTGTCTGGCACCAGCACATCTGCGTCAGAGCTCACCTGCTTGCAAATTGGAGATCGTTTTCACGGGCAGAGACTCCTGGTTACATAAAAAAATTAACCTCTTCCTAATAGAGGGCGTCCCCATCCACAGCAAGCAAACCTCATCCGAGTGACCGAGCCTTCACGCTCGAGCTGACACTAGGCGGCACTTTCTGTCACTGTCAGTGGGTGCCAATTACTTGGAGCGAGACATCTTTTCTTCTTGGACTCGATGTATTGTTCATTCTCTTTGTAATCCGATGAGGTACTCTGCTGTTCCTTACTGCGTTCGCAGTTTCACTGACCTCGGTCACGATGTGACGTACCATGGTTGTGAAGCGACGGCGTAGATATTGCTGATAAAGTTGTAGGCAGTGATTGAGAGTGTTGTGCACAACGTTCTTGTGAGCCGACCTAGCTCAGTGGTAGAGCGCGTGGCTTCAAACCATGGTCGTGGTCGTGGGTTCGATCTCAATGTGCATGAAATCCTACATGCCCCGACCGTGGGGACCGAACCCACGGTCGGCACACGTAGACTTCCATCCATACTGAAAGCCAATGTCAAACTCGTTGTTGATGACTTGTGGTCACATATATTCTGCTTGTGCCCGTTCATTTTTACATTCATGGGTAGCCTATTCTGTACTCTTTAATTTTTGTATGGGCTTTTAAATTGCAAACGAGTTGTAAGTGTTTGTAAGTAAGATAATTTGTGTTCGATTGTGGACAATGAGAGGTCCGATGAGAATTTATTGCTAAGCTAGGCATCGAGACACACTTCTAAAACGATCGCTAGACGGACAAACTATTTTTTACTGTCATAGGTAACACAAGTTTAGCGCCATGCCATCCAATTGGATAGAATCTTCTTTGAGGAGCTTAAGGTATGAGATGATTTTTCAGTATGGTTGAAGATCATTTTTTGATATTTTAGATAAACGTAACAAAATCCATAGAAGAAATTCAAATCTACATGTTCTTTATATGTAGCCATTGGCATGATGGTTTGAGCTATCGATTTTTTAATATACCGATTTGAATTTTAATCTCTGAGGTGTAGTTTATAATGAATTTTCTTTCTTTTCCATCTAATATCAACATTTAAATTATTATCAGACGATTTTTTTGCTTAATGTCTGAACGTTATTTCGTTTGAATCGCATCAGTAAAACCATTGGTTTTGGTGTTATTTAAAAGTAGTGATAATGTACATTTAAGATTTACAAAACACATCTATGATCATCACAAGTATATATTTGTAAATAGCAATAATTTTATTGGTTATTCAAATTTTGAATTGTAACTAAGATATTGTAAAAAATTCCAAGTAGTAAATGAATCCATTATTTCAACTCTAAAATTATCATAAATTCAAAATTTTATTATGTTTGAGGCATTAAAATTTTATATATATTAAAGAAGTAATTTTATTATACAATTTACTCCAAAATAATAAAAATAATTTTTTGATAAATATATAATTAACATACTAAAAAAAACTAAACCAAAACTATTGGAAATATATGGCTAAAAACTAAATAGTAATAAAAATTTTGAATTTTATTTTTTATTTTTTTAATTAAAATTTGTGAGTTAACTTGTTATTAATGGTGATCAATTTTAATATCATTTTCTCAGATTATGTTAATTTAATATCGGAATTTTAAAAGATATAAATTAGTATAAAAATTCATACTTATCTAATAACTATAAACTCATTTTTATATACTTGATAATAAGTATATCAAATTTCACAAAAAATATGACAAATATTTGTATTCTACTGAATATATACTTTTGCACATTTTAATGATGCATGAATTTATCAAACTTTACTGTGCAGTTTTATATCATGAATAAATTATTTAGTTTAATTTTTGTTTTTCACATCTATAAATTAGTTTGATGTATTGATAAATGAAAAAAAATTAATCTTTTATATATGAAGAGTTGGAGGTTGAAAAAAATTATATTGAAAAAAATTGTGATTTAAATATGTATCAAATGAAAAAAAAGTAATTTACTTGATTCTAATCAATTTATGGTATGAAATTCTGCATTTGTTGCATAAGTTTAAATTTTCCTTACATACTTTGATAATATATTGGGGAAAATAATAATAATGCATGACATATATGTATGTTTTTTTATATTCAAATTTCCATGCATAATAACATCTTATATATTAATGAATGATCATATAAATTGAATGTAACTAAGTTCATACATGAGATTTTAGATTCATTGTTTGTTCAAATATAATGATGGAGTAAGTAGTTATGCTTTTTGGTTATATTGTATTTGTAAATACAAAGATTGTCATTTTAATTATATTAAAAGAATAACACATATCATGTGCACAACTCTAAAAACATTAACATCTCTGAAATGATTTTTTGTATAATTTAACATGCAAGTATATTGAAGTTTGTTAGATATATTTTTAAGAAAACAAATTATACAAGATATTATTTTGCCACTTGTGATAATTGATGCATCAAGATCCATATTATTTGTAAACAAGATTTACATGCAAGATTTATTTGACATAACAATTTTTACTTGATTATTGTTACCAAGCATGCTGTTATATACCAACATAATTCATGATAAGTTAACTTTCTATTATGATCTGGAAAAAATCAACATTTTGTTGCAAATTATAAATAAAATTAAATCCAACGTATAACTCATGACATTTGTTTGAAAAATTTATATTTTGAAAGGAAATTTCCTATGGAGCAAAAAGAACTATTGAATCTTTCTACACATTAAAATTTTAGAATTAATCTTCAAAGTCTTGGTCAAGTGTGAAAGATGCAAATGAACTTTCATCTAACAAATCATATCCTCAACCCTAAACCCTGATCTGGAAATCATATCAGATCATTATAACTCTTCGATTTTCAGATTATATGTCTTACTACATCTATATTATATAAATATGAGTGCATAATTTCACTGATTGTCTCACATGTGTTTGGTATAAGATTCAGGGTTTCTATTATTCACAATAATGCCTAAACCGAAATCTGTTCATACACACCACTTGTTATGCATGTGAGATGTGTTGGCATTTGTTCAACCATATACCGTAGCCCCGTGGGGAACATTAGTCTCGACAGCAGAAAGTATGAATCCTTTTAATGGCGCGCAATCCAACCGGTAGCGCAAAGCGTACGAGGCTCGAGGGTACGATAAACCTTTGGGGCTGGAAAGTACACGCCGGTACATGTTCGGAATAACGCTACCGCACTAGCGGTCCTCACTTTACAACACGATGCACCGGAAAGCAAGACGGAAGGGGACGGACGGCGCTCGCGTTACAAGAGCACGATGGGCCAAGGCCGCGTACGGAGGAGAAGTGGACTGATTGTCGTGGTAGAGAGTTACGGCCCACGGCGTGCGCGCTCGATGGCGTACGTGGTTGCCGGACGCAAGCGTGCAGCGAGAGGACCAATCAGGCAAAGAAGGCCAGGCAACGGGACGGGAAGAGGAGCTCGATCGTATTTGGCTCGCGAGGCGCGGCCACTCTCTCGCACTGTTCGAGCTGTGGCTCCATCGCTGCTGCTGCTGCTGCTTCTTCCTCCTCTTCTTCTTCATAATCTGCGGAGTCAAGAATCGTGATTCGGATTCTTCGACGCGGTTCTTAAATGATTTCGGATATCGAGGACTCAGTGCAGCGCGGAGGCGAAGGCCGAGCGAGGGCGTCCGGCGAATTCGGCTCGGTGACGATGCGAAGTGGTCAAATTTGAGCAGATCTGGTGGTCGGTTTTGTGGTATGTCCGCCTGAGAGTGCAGGAGGCATTCTGAGAGCTCCACTCTGTCGGGTTGGCGTCACATGCGGGAGGACGGCCGCGAATCATGATGAACACTCGCCGGTGCGTGTTGATTTTGCGGGCGTCGACTTTTGTTTGTGGGAGCTTGGTGTCGCGGATCCGCGTAGGATGCGTCTATGATCAGTCTTGGAATTTTGTGACGAATTTTTACATCGGGAATTATGCGACGATTGTTTTCTCTTGTGTGTTTGCGTAATGTCTGAATTCCCGGACGAGGCGTCCGAATGGGTTCAAATATCATAATCTTTGAGAAAGTTCACCCCTGTCTTGCTCTGAAAAATTTTGCCTCTCAGGTTAGGTTAAGTTGCCTATGTTCTTGACCAGTAGAACGCTGCCTCGTGGATTGCCGAGCTATTAGCGTATGTTGTAGTAGAGGGTATAGTTGAAGAATTCAAAGCTCTATGTATCTGCCGATGAGTCATGGAGCTGCGTCCCATCTTAGATTGATTTTGCAAGCACAGTTTGGAAGGTGTTTTCTTCCAAGAAGTAGGACATGTCGATCTGCTCAATTGGTCCTCTTTTGAGTGCTATTCTCTGTGTCTGGCTTGCTGCATATTTTCATAATCTTGGCCTTTCGGAAATACTGCACTCTGGCTACGTTTCCTGTTTTATCGTTCTGGTCTTGGAGACTTTGTTCGCGGGAGTGATTAGTGGCCGGTCTTTCCTGCTTCTTGTCCTGCTCTTGGGTTCGGGCAATTCTTCACGGTACAGAGTAGTTCTCAGTACCCTTCTCCTTGTCATGGCTCTAAGAGTGTACGAATGTTTGGTATGTAAACTGTTTATGGTGACATTTTCCATGCAGAGATTACCGCAATCGCAATTCTCTGTTCGACAGTTTGGAGGAAGGTGGCTTGAGACCAGCTTCCTCATACTCGACCAGCGAAATTGCAGAACAGGAGAATGACCGGGGAATAGATGATCTCAGTGATAGAGTGAACGTGCTGAAGAGGGTGAGCATCAGACATATTTTCCTAGGGTTCCAATGTAGTAGAGTTGTGTTTTCAGGCCGACTTTGTACGGTTATTTTCCTTTGCATCTCGTAATAAATTATATCAAGTTTGCGTCGGTATGCTTCACAGTGACTTACTTGCTGGGCTCGTTCTTATGAATCCTGTTTGTTGAAAATATTCAGTTCTCTAAAATGTTGGGGTATTTGTGTAGCTGACATCTGATATCCATGGCGAGGTGGATACTCACAATCGGCTGCTGGAGCGCATGGTATATTTCGCCATATCAACTTTGACTTACTCGTATACTACGATGAGTATTTTGTATAATAGAACTATTTAGAACCGTGAGAGGATGATTGCTGGATCACAATGCATAACGGGAGGTCTTTGTATCGTCGTTCTCATTTTGGCCCAGACATTTATCCTTTGTTAAGTAGGCGATTTGTTTCAGATGCAGTCGTTGCGTTTCCCGACAGGAAGGGTTGAGTGCTGAGGCTTGGTGCAGCTTGGACTCTGTTGAGTGGACATGCAAATTCGGCTAACTCGACCCTATCAACTGCAGAAGCTTGTGATTAGGGTTTGAGCTCATCAAAAAGAGATTATGCTCTTGGTTGGTTTCAGGAACAAGATATGGATTCTTCAAGAGGAATGCTCTCTGGAACAATGGATCGCTTCACAAGGGTGAGTCCTACGTAGCAATTGAGTGTTCGTTTCTATCTGAGTTGAAGGACTGATTCTGAATGTACTTGGACAGTGTCAGGATTCTTATTTGTTCTTGGTGGCTGTCTTTTGCAGGTCTTCGAAACGAAGTCAGGGAGAAACGTTGTCACTATAGTTGGATCTTTGGTGATTGTGTTTCTTCTAGTTTACTACTTGACAAAGTGAAAAGGGAGTCCCATTGGTTTGTGTTATTATAACAGGTATGTCGATGAAGCCTTGTATCCACTCAAATCATATATAAAATCCGCATGTAGAATTGTTCATCAATCGAGCTGTCTAATATGATACTATTATTATAATCACTTATCAGTCAAAATCCTGATGTGATGACGATTATCAGTCAAAATCCTGTAATTCAGGTTTTGTGGATTAGAACTTATAGTAATGGACTACTTAGTGCTAATATCAAGGCACGGGTCAGTGGCAGCTTCAATGTGCTCGAGTTATGGTCATAGAAATGTTAACCGTAGAAACGATCTCTGTCGATTCTGTTGGGGTTAAGGTGGCTACGTTTTGTCTTTTTCCGCCTCCCTCTTTACCCATATCAGTTCTTCACTAGCACCGTTCAGCCACACCACGGTGTCTATGGTCTTTAGGCTGTGACAGGAAAATGTTAATGATCATAGTTTATTTGGGTTAAGGTGGGCATACAAGGGACTCATGGAGCAGTCTTCTATTTACTTTTTTATATGGATACGTGGAGAGGGGATATCTACTACCTTCAAGGTTACAGAACAAGCTTCATTGTCATGGAGGAGTCCGAGGTTTCAAAGGAACCTTTCAGATCTCTGAATCTGCTATGAGTTCGGAGGTGATTTGTACTTCTGGTCTTGAGCTAGATAAGGAGAAGACTAATAATCTGCTTGAACAAATGTTCAAGCCGGGTCATGTCCAGAAAGATGGGGTTTTGTAATTAAGTTGATTATGTGAGGGATAAAGATTTTCACTTTGCGGGGTATTTCTTGTATCAAGTTATATGGATTATTCATATTTGTGGACTGACGTGCTGAAAGTGGGCAGACCACTCAGTCGTCAGTCTCTGTCACTTCTTTTTGGTTGCCTACCTGATCGTGACAAGTGTATTTAGAGATTTGATTGCGCTCTTTGTCCTTAGATAGTTTAGGTGGTCCGAAAAGGTTTGCCTAGCACATGGATGTGGATCAACCGGTCAATAAGCAATCATTGTAAAGTTCGTAGATGAATTCTCGTCTGCCACAAGATGCCACAAGGCATCATAAGAGTTTGCAGCAAAAGTCCACCAGTCGAATTGCGGTGATGGTAGCTTCATAAAAAAATCTTCCAGACTTTTGGAAGTCCAAGAAGAAGGAAGGTTTGTGCTAGACTTCGAAATGTACACGCAGTTTGGGCTGTCTATAAATCTGAAGTGCCTAAAGAGCGCTCTTAGTTTTGAGGAACTTCATTGACTAAGTTTCCACCGTGTTGTTGTCCTTTATCTTAGTGAAAATTTTGACCTTCTGGAAAACGATCGCGTGTGCTTATACCTGTCATCTGGAATATGGTGCAGGGAACTTGTTTCTGTAGGGCTGCTTTTAGCCACAACGGCAGTAACAATGAATTGATGTGTGAACAAAGTACCTACTTAAAGGGCAGAACTTTGGAGTACATCTACATGCGTTGGCAATAGATATGAAAGATCAATTAATTATCTGCTGATTTCATTTCTTCCTAACCACTGACTCACCGTACCGTCGTCACTCAGTGTGATCGAAGATTGATGGTTACTAGGAGCGATACAAGAACAAGTGACGATATGTAGGCTAATTTTGGCAATGTCAGTTGAACCACGTTCCAAAGGGACGGTGTTGAGATTTCTACTGTAGGTGCGTATGTGTTTCGGCCGCTGATGTACCCGATGTCCGTTCTTAATGTAAAACGGAAACAAACGACTTAATATTATTACAGAAGTCAAATGCTCATCATACTAAAAAGCAGGGAATATTAAGTTGATCGCCTTAGGCCGCCAATTATTTTACTCCCTTTTGGACGGACATCTACTATCACGAGGTATCTTGTTGTCGAAAGCTGAAATGTTGTGAGACCTTTTTGAACCAATTTGTTGTATTTGATTATAAAGATATGTTCCGAGACTGGCGTTGGTCGACCCGATAATGCTACAGAAAGAATTTCCTTATCTTCGAATGCTCCTCCCATTGTACCCCTCGTGCCGAATCGCTATTTTTGTACATTGGTCGGCCTTGCATAATATTTCTCCATGTATAGTACAGCTTTTTTCTCAATGGTTACCTCGTTGTCTAGATTTATACAACCAGTAGATTGGTAATTATGTTAGAAGATTGTCTTGTACATATCATGTGACCATACTCTGCCGCACCTGTGGGGTACGTCGGACTGTCTTGACGTTCCTTGACGAATTTCATGATTATCTCAGCATCAGGGGCATTGTAGGTTGTGCCAAATGATCTTGAAAGTGATCTTAGAGAGATGTCTAAAAATGATAATTAGGCTTCCTCCTTACGCAAGTCTTCTTATGATTGACCGAATCCACCAAATGTCCTGTTTCAAACTTTTTCACTGTGTTAGTACTAAATTGACAAGTTTTCAATGAAACCGGAATACAAGACCATTCGAAATCAGTGCTCATCACAATCACCGAATAACTTGAAAATAGTTTCTTCAACGGACGTTCTTGACTGTCAAATCCTTGACAGTTTGTATATTTCATGTACTGAAATGGACACCCATTTATTCATACTTAAAACAATCTGTGACATTCTGGTCTTCACTATGACTGCATGGTTCGTTCTTGGACAAGTCAGTTGCAGTGTACGTAAAACTTTTTTTTCAAGTTCACATCTCATTACGAACACACACAATTATAAATAGAAGAAGAAGAAGAAGTTATCCCAGCATAAGAAAGTATCGTGCATTGATCAACTAACCTCACAGAAACATATGTAATTCTTAGTTCATATTACGAATCATATTTGTAATAGCCACCGCAGCGGACGAAATGGTGACTAGAAATTCAAAATCTAGAAAAGCTTTTTTAGTGCCCGGGTTAGGACGGTGTGGTCACAAGTGAGGATTATGAGACCTAGGTTTACCCGTGCAAGCAATATTTAGAAAGCGAAGCCAAGTGAAAAAGGAAAAAATTGGAAACAGCAGTACATTGAACAAACCAAATGTGCTACATGCGACTAGGCTATATAGAATCAAAATGGAAACGTTAGAAAACTGAATAATCTATTAAACAGTTTACGAACCACAATGTAATGCGAAAGAACATGAGATTGACATTGTAACGATATTATATAAGAATTAATTATTCTTTGTGATTGATATCTTGTATATATCATTAGCTAGCAGAGCCCGACTTTTTAATTCAAATCTGCACCCAGACCATAACCATCAACAGCTACATAAACCCACCCATAGCATTATCTGTGCCCGGCCATGCTGCTCAAATTACGCAATTCTTGGTCGGATCTTGACAAACATTGCCCTTAGCATTACTTGTGCCCACCCATGGAAAAATAATCCCACCCATAACCCATGGGCATGGGTGGGTTTGGGCATGGGCACCCGATGTCGGGCCCTGTTAGCTAGTGTTATAAACGTAAAGAAAATAAAAATTCGAGCTGCCCACACAATCTTAAAAAATTTATATGCATACTGTCGGGCTCTGGTGTTCTCTTGCACACACGTGTGCAAAGTTATCCTCCATGTATCTATATGTAACTCCAAGATCAAAGAAAATTTCAAAGTTTTTTTTGCATATCATACAATTGCAAACCTTGGCTGTTCAATACTGTACCGCCTGGGATATTCATCCTTCCATTCAGGATGTCATAGATTTCATGGTAAGATTATGGATTAAACACGAGCTATGACGAACATCATACTATAAATGACATCATGTCTGGATGTCTGGATTCCAAATGTGCAATGAGTAACGTGAACACGTCTTCTATGCTAAGCAATATCACATTCATTTTCACACATTAGTGAATACAAGCAGCCAATGTGGAAACTCATTACTATGGAATAAAGTTTTGATGGGTGAATCTGAACACCTGAAGCATCTACAAGTCAAGAAATTGATTGCTAAAGAGCCATGCTAGTATTAGAAATGGAGGTATCCATTAAAGTGAATGTAGTGTCTCCTCAAACTGTTGGTACATCAATGTAGAATTTAAATCCCCATCATTTTACACCTCTCAGACTAAGGATTCTTTCATATGTCGCAAGATTATCCACAAATAATATGCTATTCTACCCGCAAAACCAGTTACATATCAATGATGATTTCTATGCTCAATCAAAATTTTCAGAAAGATGGAGGGTGTGAATTTAGAAAACAATAAAAAACTTACATTCATTAAGAATTCACCTAAGATCTACAACTTTGAGTCAAATCTCGTTTCCTACACTTAAAGATCATTATGTGGAAAATGAATGTACTATAACTATGCAAAAAAATCGAGGAGTCAAGAAAAAATTAAACAAACTTACACAATGTTTAGAGTTAATTTAGATTATTCTGCTATCACATAGGTATGAGAGAGAGAGGAAGAGAGGTGACACGAGGTCAGAGATTTTTGAGTAGAAAATGTTGATATTTAATGTGAGTACACACTCATAAGTGAACATGATCCAAAAATCAGTAACTCCACGACGTAGGTGGGCAAAATCCTAGCACGTGAGGAAGTGATGTCGTAAATCCTTCTGAAGGTGAAGGAGACGAAGAGTAAGCAGCAACGAGTCTCAGGCTTAAGGAAACATCTTATCGAGAGATATATGTTCTATCTTATTTTTGAAATGTACAAATTATGTTGGTGGTCACAGAGGGAGAGGACAGATTTATCCTGGTGGAAGTAAAATTAATAAGACAGTTTAAAATGCTTCAATTACAAGGAAAAGTAAGTTAAATCTTTCGTAAAGAAAAAGGTATGTATGATATCAAAATTGATGATATTTCAGATGGTCGTAAAGTTGTTAATATTTTCCCTGCAGAACTTTTTATTTCAGAAGGTGAGCTTGTAAAAGTAGATGAAACTTTAACTAATAATCCAAATGTAGGTGGGTTTGGTCAAGGTGAAGCAGTTCTTCAAGATCCATTACGTATTCAAGGAGCAGAGAGCTGACGTGGCAGAATGCCACGTCGGAGCGCCACGTCCTAGTAGCTGCCGTCGTGGATGGCGTCGTGGATTCTGACGACTCACTTCATTCACAATGCTCGGGCTCAGAATTGCGCTCGTTGCGTCGATCGATCTCCGACCCCAGAACTCCTCCTCGTCCTGCTGCAGTGCCAGTGCCAGTGCTTCGATTCCCAGGGCAGCAGCGACTCTCCACCCAATTCTGCAATTTAATCGGAGAGAAGTACGAGCAGCAGCAGCGTCCGGGGCTTTGACAGAGGGAGAAATCATGGTGAAGGCCAAGTCACTCCAAGTGACGAAGTTCGGTGGCCCTGAGGTAAGGACCGCTGCCTCATCGCATCGGATTGGATTGGATTGGATTGGATTGCACTCGCTCGGTCGATTTTTGGTTTGAGGTAGCATGGCAGCTGGCAATTTGCCCGACCTCCGTCTGTCCTCCGTTGGGCATTAGCTCGTGCTCTTGTAGCTGGGTTCGGTTGATTCTTACAAGAGTAGAGAGTTTCCGTGTTTTGGAGGATCGGGATGCTCTCTGCTCTCGCTTCTGTCCCTGATCGCCGCTGGAAAGCCAAGGAAGCTGTCATGTGGAGGTGACGGACCGAGTGTTACGAAGAAAATTCGAAAATTGGGATTGGGACTGAAATGATCGTAATCGTTCTGCCTTTTCTGTCTGAGCCCGCCATACCGAGTGGGGGATTTCAGCTCATAAGATACCTCGTGCAGCTGAGTATGATGCTCAAATGGTTTCCATCTTTTTTTGTCCACACTGTCAGGCTCATGGATCGCAATCTCTTCTGTAATGATCTCGTTGTCAAAACCTACACCTTGATCTCACCTGTATCCTCACCGCCGGAACCAGCTACGCATTGCCTTTTGTCTCCTGGCTTTACACGCACATTTAGAAGCTGGGTGAATTGGTGGGGCTGCTCCGAGTGGCTGAAGACATACTGGAGATAATCAGGAGCGCAGGATGGTAACAGACACGATTCATATTTTCTGTCGTGATTTTGCTCACTGTCAGTCATCCGCTCGTGCAGGTATTGCAGTTTGAGGATGTTGAAGTGGGCGAACCTGCCGAGGGCCAGGTGCGAATCCGACAGACTGCCATAGGTCTGAATTTTATCGACATTTATTATCGCGAGGGAAAATACACGGCTCCCACTCCATTTGTACCAGGTAGCCTCACCATCGGTTTGAAGCTTCTACTTCGTCATAAGTGAAGAAGAAACTGTGACACGGTCGTATGATTGCGATGCTTGCACGGGCTGATCATCGTCCCATAGCTCTGCAGAACCTCTGTTCATGTCCACTTTTTTGTCCTTCGAAAACTGCTGATCGAGGCTTGGTTTCCTTGCCTTGCGTGCAACAGGAGTGGAGGCAGTAGGGGTGGTGACAGCAGTCGGCCCCGGATTAACAGGACGACAAGTCGGAGATCGGGTGGCCTACATGGGAGTTCTGGGGGCCTACACGGAAGAGCGACTCATCGCTGCTGACAGACTTGTCCCGGTACCCAGCAGCATCAATGATGTGACTGCTGCTGCACTCCTGCTCAAGGCAGCAACTGCTCAGTGTCTTCTGCGTCAAGTATTCAAGGTTCGAACGCTGAGCTTGCAGTGGAAATCCTGACTGCTTGGCTGTTGATCATGAGTTTCATTCTCAATATATATAATGATGTTCAGCACATGAGGCCCACTGAACGAAGACGTTGCTCATGGGGAACCATGTGATTGGCAAGCGGTGATTTCTGTGTGGACGTGTGCAGGTTGAACCAGGTCATGTTATTCTGGTCCATGCAGCTGCTGGTGGAGTCGGTTCACTATTATGTCAGTGGGGTAGTGCCCTGGGTGCCACTGTGATTGGTGTTGTCTCAACCGAGGTGAAAGCTGCCCAAGCCAAAGAAGACGGTGCACATCATGTCCTGATTCAGTCTGAGGGTGATTTTGTCGAGAAGGTGAAACAAATCACGAACGGTGAAGGAGTCCACGTTGTGTATGATTCTGTCGGAAAGGATACATTCCTGGTATGTACAATACATAGTGGAAATTCTTTACGCAGACACTGGTTTGGATCTCCCGCTGTTGAGCAGATTTTCTTCAGTTTTCATGGCATTCGCAGTTTTCATGTCTGAGATGGATTTGGTGCTGTGTGCAGCAATCGTTGGCGTGCTTACGAGCACGGGGTTGCATGGTCAGCTTTGGACAATCATCTGGATTTCCAGAACCTTTCACCATGTCAGTACTAGCGAAAGGGTCTTTGTTTCTGACGAGACCTACTGTAATGGACTACACACGCACCAGAGATGAACTACTGACGTGCGCGGGTGAGGTCTTCAGTGCACTAGCTGGGGGTATTATTAAAGTCAGGGTAAATCAGACATATCCATTCTCAGCAACCGCCCAAGCGCAGAAGGACCTTCAAGAACGGAGAACAACTGGCTCCACTGTTCTTATCGTGGATAGCACTGCAACTGATGCTGCGAAGGTCTAGTGGTGTAGTAAATTACTCCATGTACTTGCGGATTTTTCCGTCGCCTGTTTACGTGAGCTTGTCGATTAGGCACCTGTAAAACCATGCGTTGATTTCGTGACTCACCTTTGGATCTAAGATTCACTTCTTACAGCGGCTTCAGATTTTTGTAACGAGTTCGAGTCCTGAAATGTGTCTAGGCAAAGGGTTTTAGTACTCGCACCTTGATCATCGAGTTTATGTCGATAATTTTGTTCTTGGTTAGGAAATTGTTAATAAAAGTTATCGTTTTGTTTCCTCCATGCCATGGCCCGGGTCTGCATGTGGAAGGTTTGCCAAAACATTGAAACTTTCAAGAGAAGGATGATTGATATACCAAGATAGATACAAATTTCTCCGGCTTTAGGCTTCCGACACGGTGCCAATGTATTCTTTCCAACCTTCTGGTTGCTTTGCGAACAAAGATTTCATTGATGATCGACATGTACAAGAAATGAGATGAGATGAAATGACATCAATGTTTTTCTGCTGTCTTTCCAAACAAGAATAATTTACAGACTTGTATGAGGAAAGTCCTCATATGTCCAGTCTTCTCTACATGGACATTCCTAGACTCTTCCACCGCAATGTTTCCGCTAACCAGTAGCCCATATTCGACATATTCTTGCACCTATGTTAAAAGTAAGGTATGTCAAACATCAAATAGAATTTACAAATGAATTTGCTTTGCCTGATTTAACACTCCCTACGTTGCCACTATTTAGCATTAGGGCAACATTGAACTCGCCTACTCTCATCTCTATTTCTGACGTCCTCGCTGGGAGGGTGTAGGATTAACCTCTCTACCTACGTGCGGTTTTTATAACTTTCATAGCATAAGGTTCCCCTCCCGGAAATGGAAATTTTGATTTGCAGAAGATATAATGTAGGTGTCCACTCCAAAGAAGCTTTATAACCGGACTTACATTACAGATGTGGAGAGCAGATGAAGGGAAAATTTTTTCTAGGTTCGTCCTCGTATGTGTTCTGCAGCTTTTCGTGCAAGTTGTCTCCGCTGGATTTTTCCAGATTCTCCGCGTGGTATAGCGTCAAGGAAAAAAACTCTTCTGATCTTCTTGTGAGGAGCAACCTGTGCACAACGAGCCCTCTGTGATTTAGTATCTACCTTTCGGCAATTGTAAACTCCCGAGAGGTATCGACCTAGCTGAAATCGCTACCGTTCTTCTGTCAAAGCGAGCGAATGTCCATAGAAAGCTGAAGAGGAGTACAGCTGCGCCTAGATAATATTGACTTCAGACAATTTGGGTAAATTTGAAGCTTTTGGAAAGAGATGGTACTACTACCTCCTTTGCGACAAAACTCGTAATTTCTGATTCTGTCAAAGAACCATTCGAATTCAGCACCACGCAAGCCACGGGGAGTTGTCCCGCTTCCTCGTCAGGTACTCTGCTTGCATCAGCCTTGTGTAAGCATACAGGCTAGAATAAAGTCAAGCGCTCAAGACTCATTCGTTCATATACAAAGGGGAGGGAGCTGAACCCTTTCCGAAGAGGAGGCTTTAGACTAATAGATGGACACCCATAATTTCAGTGCCTCTATACGTGTGTGATTCAATCATGTGAGGTGGCACGAATGCTTACGGGACCACCACTGCCTCCGATATGTCAGGGTGCTGTATGAGCACTTTCTCGATTTCTGCCGGTGCTACCTGGGAAGACAGGACAATACTTTATCAAAAAGACAGTACAAGTCCAGCAGAAGTAGATATTCACCCAATCTTCTCGGATTGCAACGTTGGATGGGCCTCATCTAACTTGATAATCACAAAGATGTACGAAACAGATTCTTCACACTTCATTTTCAATGAATTTCACTTCCTCTAGACTATTCATAAAACAAACAGCTATACATATAAGTCGGGAAGACTGCAAAAACCCACCTGGTATGCTTTGTACTTGATCAACTCTTTAATGCGATCCAGTATAAACAAAGCGCCTGTCTCAGTGAAATAAGCCAAGTCTCCTGTATGCAGCCAACCGTCTGCATCTATGGTAGCAGAGGTGGCCTCTGGATCATTCACATAACCTGATAACATATGCACTATGAGCGTCAGGGTCTTACAGTGTCTGAAGCTCCGATTGAAGCTTCTGTGCAGGCGTGCAGATTTTCTGTATTTACGGTGATTCCATGAACTCACTATGTCGAGCTTGAAGTATCGAATTTGCAGAAAAATCTAAACCTCAAGAAGGGTTAAAATTTGTCACCTTTCATGACCTGGGGTCCTCGTATGCAAAGTTCACCTTCTCCACGAGGAGGGAGGGATTTACCAGTTCCCACCTCGATAATCTTCGCCTCTATGTTCGGAATCAAGTATCCGACGGATCCATAAGGAGCAACAGGGACATTTGGTGTATGGTTTGATGCACATATCACGCTCACAGTCTCCGTCATGCCGTAACCCTGTACATACCAATATCAGCTCTTTAATTCTCACAAGGAAGATCATTGATGAAAATCCGACAGGACTGTGTATTCTGAACTTGTGAACATCCAATTTAACACCATCGAAAGAGCTGCCTCCTTTTGGTCGGTTTCTGCTAGACTAACCCTTTCTCTTCATGTCTCTGTTCTCTGCGGTAAATTCCAAAACTCCAATATGACCCACGGCATGGTGCAAGCATAGACTGTTCCCGTGGCTGAACCTCGTTCAATCAAGGGCTCTAAATAGGAGATAGGTGTGTGCAGAGGTGAAATCAATATACTTGATGGGGAGAGATTGAAGTAGAACTGATAAGATGCATATGGTCTAACCTGGGAGAATTTGATGTCAGCAAATCGTGATCGGAAGTCTTCAATGACGCCTTTGGATAGAGAAGCTCCCCCGCATCCGATCATTTTAAGGGAACTGAGGTCAAACTTTTCGACGATGGGCTGTTTAGCCAAGGCGACAATGATGGGTGGAACAGCTGGGATGCTGGTACAGCGAAATTTCTCAATAGCGTGGAGCATGCCAACGAAGTCAAACTTGTTCAAAACCACGTTTGTGCATCCCCATCTCAGCTGTAATCCTGCCACTGTACATAGTCCATAGATGTGGAACAAGGGTATGGGAACCAAGGAGATTAAGTCGTGGTACGCGAGACATTCACTGGCAGGATCTCGGGAGTCCTCTTCAAATTTGTTCATGGCTGCCTGAAGAGCGATGAAATTCCTGTGGGTTAGAATGACTCCTTTAGTCACTCCTGTGGTCCCAGATGAGAACATCAATGCCGCCGTGTCGCTTTGCAAAACTTGGACCTCTGAAAAATCTGTTGAATCCCCAGCGAGCAGGATTGTAAAAGGCGTGTACGACAGGTCCGCCAGCTCTCTCTGTCTTCCGACATCTCCATACAGAATCAGAACCATACCATAATCCCTCACCTTTTCTACATATTGGGCAGAGGTGATAGCGAATTGAGCACCCGATAGCCTCATTTGATTCGCAATCTCGTGTTTGGAGCTGAGTGGGTTCATGGTGGTAACGATGGCACCCAGTGACACTATTGCCAGAAACATGATTGGATAATAGATTGTATTGTTAAGCAGAATTACCACAACGTTGCCCTTCCTCAGGCCAAGATCGGCCAGACCATTGGCCACCCTCTTGACCGTTTCGTGAAGTTCACCATATGTGACGAATTCCTCTGTCTCAGAATCGATCAAAATCTTCTTGCTTGCAAACTCAGGCTTGTAATAAGCTGGAGAGAAGAGATATGTGACCAGATTCATATTAGCCTGTTCTGGAAGGTGCACTTGAGGCCAAGGACCGTGGTATGTGGCATGTTCTGCATCGTAGAAACCTTTCTGTTGACCCATCGTTGCCAAACAACCTTTCGAGCCAAGCTGCAGTACAACAAGACACCTGCTGATTAGATGTTTCAGACATGTTACAAAGCTCGAACATAATGTGCTTCGATCCTTCGATCCGGAAAAAAATTTATCTGAAAGAACATTCTTCAAACAACTGTTTCAGATTACCGTATCACGGACCCATACTTGGCATGAATCAGTTTTGACATAGAAGGGGTGATGATTGCTAATTCTATCAAGGTAAGTCTGGCTTAAACAGGATATCAAGGTGGTGTCGGCAGAAGTGGATCACATGACAGACACATTCTCATTGGCACCAGTATCCCCGAGTAATAACAGCTCTAAATTCATAAAGCTAGAAAAGATACACCAGGGAAAATCACTTTGATGGATCTGACCTGAATCATTGCAGTGCTAGTGCTAGTTTCTTAGTAAGTAAGTTTCTAAAGGACGAACCTTTTACATGGATGATGCGCGGCTTACTTCTGTAAATCAAGAGTTAACCTTGAACCACTGGATACTACCTGCCTAGTGAGCACCAATTCATCTCTTCCTTGATTCATGGCAAGAGAGCTAATTTCCAGTAAAGAGCCGATTTCTGGAAAAAGTGGATTCGACAGATGACCGAAGAGCCGGTGGAAGTTTAGATATGCTATAGAGGTAAGCACTAATTGTGTTATCGCTTGTTGTCAAATCTGCAGGTGTAGATGTAACACAGCAATATTCCTCGTGCGAGCGGTACGTTGAACTATTCACCCTTTCAATTGCGTGCAATCGCGTGCAAAATTTGATCCAAGAAGGCTTGGACTTTAGAAAAAAAAGGGAAACTTATCACCTCGAACAAATGTAAAAAATCAAACGGAATTATAATACCAGTTAAGATATAATCTCGGTAACTATTGTTAAGTGTGCTAAACAATTTTAGATGTGAAAAAGTGCTATGGCGGGACATCGCGGAAGGGAAAACAACATGTTCAGAAGGAAGGCTCCATCTACCTAACAACAGCGCATTTCAATTCAAAGCCTTGTTATGGCGTGATATTGTCCCAGGCTAAGGTTTATGCTCTAAGGAAATTTCTTACTATCATCTCCTACAGATAGTAGTCAACAAAGACCTTGTGATTCAACATGTACCAACACATATGTAAACGAAATCTACGAAAATCCAGCTATTTCTCTTCAATTGGCTCTGCCGTGAACAATGTTATTCCACCTGTTGATAGTTCTGTTCTATGTCGTCAACAAGGAGAAAATTGGAGTCAGCTGCATCCCATGATATATTTTCCACCTCTGCCTAAAATTTTTTCGGCAATACAAAAAACTCTGTAAGAACAAAATCCCCAATACAATACTCGCGCAATGATGTCCAAAATTAATATCGAAATAAGTTTTCCCCCAATTCCCCTTTGCTATGGCGACTGATCAAACTAGCATGCTGCTCATAATCGAAGAGGGTGTCCAATTCCGCAGAGTCCGGGAGGTTACGGCATCACACACTGAGAAAGAAAACGGGGAACAAAGTCTTCACAAGCTGTTCGTTCTTCCGATACTCATACACGATGGAGGCGAAAAAAATGTAATCACGCAGGATTAAAGTCCACGGAATCGACGTCTCAAAATTCCACTCCGAGCGCGTGAGCTGCGGGAAATCCACAAACTCGACAACGCACACAATCCACGAATGCAAACTCGGTGAGTGCAGCAAACACACCCACACCCACACTCTCGGACCGCATCATCATCACCACTCACTCACTCACTCACTACTCACCTCTGATCTATCCGACGCTCGTCGTCCTCGTACTCCAGCTCTGGACCTGCGCTACTACTCTGCTACTCTGCTGCTGAAATGGTCGAACCCCCGAAGTGATTGAACCGATCGCGACGATCAAAGCAGTATCTCACGCTGCGCTCTCCATGCTGCTGCTCCTACTGCGGCTGCTGCTGCTGCTCAGAAAGCCACAGGTACAGAGATATTCATTCGTCGGGGAGCAACGGGACGAGAGGAGAGAAGGGAAGGGGAGGCTGGGCTGGGGCGCGACAGAGGCAGGAGGAGCGAAAGGGAGGAGAAGCAAGGGAAGGGAAGGGAGGGGGAGAGGGAGGGAGGGAGGCAACAGCTGCGGCTCGCTCGACATTAAATCAGTGCAGCGCGAGCGGAATGGCATTGGACGAGAGCAGAATCTGGCGTAGAAGTTCATGGAAGCATCTGAGAGCATCAGTTCTCTTCCTGCTTTCTTTACTAGAGCTGTCCTTCGGCCCCTGCTCCTACCTCTACCTGTATTCTGTCCCTCGTGCAGGCGAGGTCTCGCGTCAGACAAACCCCCTCCTGCCCCAGCCCCCTGCCCCAGCCCCTGCCCGGGCCCCCAGTCCCAGAGACCGGGCGGGGGGGGCTCGGCCCGGGGGGAGGGTAGCGGGCGTGGTGGGACCGCCACGATCCGCCGGGTAAGAGATGTCCTTTAGAAAATACACACGCTGATGATGATAGTGGCCAGAGCCCCCAGCAGTCTCATGGAAAAAATGTGTCGCGCAAAGGGGGTTGGGACTGCGCCTTTCCTTCTTCGGTGGCCCCGAGGAACGGAAAGGATTCTTGACTTTGACTCGACCCTTCCAGAAGTTCTTACTTGGCTTTTCTTTCGCCTGTCGGCAGCAGCGTGGCGTAAACCAGCGGTCGCAGACCGGTCCGTCCTCGGCTCTGTCCCTCGATCTGTACGACCCGTCGCCAGACTGACCGAAGTCCCTCCGGCCCGGTGCGCCCATTGGCCCCGCGTCTCTTTGCCCCAACCCCGGACGCGCTCCCCGAGCTAGCCTACTCGGCCTCTCTCTTCGGCCGACGTGGTCTGGCGCCACGGCGAGCAGGTCAGCCGGTCGCCCGCGGCCAGAAAAGCGAAGCCGAGCCACGCCACGCCACGCGCGGGGTGGGCGTCGGGGCCCGTCGTTGGCGACCGTTGCCACCGCGCCGTCGTCTCCAGTACGGAGGATCGCTGGACGCGTCGGAAGGTTCCGGGAATCTTTGGCCCGCACGTCACCGCCGTCGATGCGGAGCACCCCCCAACTCCGCGATGGCATGGCCGCATGGGGAAGGGGGAGTTTAGTGGGGGGAAGGGGGCTCCTGTATGGGCCGTACAGTACAGAAGTCCCTACATACAGTCCTTCTGTACCCGTCAGAAAGTTCGAAAGTCTTCTGATCTGCGTTCTCGTATCGAGATATTCCTCCCTCCCGCCGGTCGACCGGACTCGACCGGCAGTCGCCGTCCATGACCGGCCCGGTCCGGTCCGAGGCCGCCTCGGAGCGAGTTGGGTGCGCAACGTGTTCCTCGTTACGGGTGACGTATTCTGATCGCGCGCGCTCGCCGCTAAATCCAGGCCCGGAAATAGCAATTTCGGGGGGTGCGGGCTTCAGGTGGAGTGCGAGAGTGGGAGAGGGCGGCTGCCCACAAAGCAGGAAAAGCTTCCCCCCTCCCCCCTCCCCCATCCCTCTCCATTCCATTCCATTCCCTTCCCTCCCCTCCCGCACAATCTGCGTGCCGATCGATGGTGGATCGATCGCCCGTCTTTGCGGGCAATCTCTCGCTCTGCTGCTGAACTTCGGAGCTCTTCCATTCTTTTTTAAGATTTCAAGGTGGGCTTTCGTACGGGCCAGGATAATGCTGATGTCGCTTGCGTACCTCGCTGAGGGCACAGGGTACGACTCGGGTCGCTCGGCCGACCCCCAAATGACCGGGAAAGCTCCGATCGAACTTATCTGTTCCATGGCTGGATTTTTGGAGCCCTCCCTCTCCCTCTCTCTCTCTCTCTCTCTCTCTCTTCTTTGGGCTGGGCTGCTGCTGTGCCAGACCCAGCTCTCGCGTGATGCAACGCGTACGCGATGGATGCACTCTGAATCACAATAACCGACTGTTGTTGTTGTTGTAGGCCCGATGCCCAACTGTTGTGCTGGTGCTGGCGAGACGGAAGGTTCTCAGATTGTTTGACAGTTTCTCGTGCAGTGGGTAGCGCCCATTTGTCATTCTCGAACGTCTCCCAGCGGCGGATCAGACATCCAGCATTTTCATGATGCAGTTAGTTAATTCTCTGATAAACCCCGACCCTCCCTCGCTTAGGCTCATCTGATCTGGCACGGACTCTCAGACAAGAGTTAGAACTGACCTCCTTCCGCCAAAAAGGCATCGAATTCGGAGCATATGGCACCAGGCAGCAGATAGAGTCGATCATGCGGCTTCCGATCCACTCGGAAGCAGATGAAGGAGATGAAGTCATGAATCTTCTGCGCAGGTTCAGCACAGCTCAGCGGGGCTGGAATCGCGACAAGTGGGCAGTGCAAGCACGCACACAGTGGTCCCTTTCTTCTCCCTCGCTCCCTCGGTCCCTCCCCGAGCTCACATTTTCGCCTCGCGGGTGCTCATTGACCATCGGCCCGATTCCTTTTTCGCCGGGAGGGTTCAGGCTGAACGAGGGCTGCATTGAATCTGTATAATTAATTGATGGACGAGCAGCAGTGGGTGGGGGCCCGACTCGGGGTCGATGTCAAGAGGGCATGCGCACCTCTCGTCGTCGACCTACACCATGGCGAAATCGAAGATGGGCCCGGCCCTTTGAGGCGAAGGCATCACGGCTGGATATGGTCAACGGACACACACAGAGAAATATTTGCCCCGATGTCCACGGAGTCGAATGTGCGCCCGGCCAGAGCTGAGCACTTTCTGCACGGCGACAGGCAGGGCCCCGTGCCTGCGACTTTTTGACGGGCCGAGCTTCGCCCCCACCGGCGCTTCGTCTGCGCGGCCCATCGGCAGCTCACCTGCAAACGACGCCTGCTTGTCCATTTCAACCCTCACGGCCAGAGAACAATGCCAGACCCGAGCGCCGAGTGTGCGGAATCCCCCAAATCCCAAAAGCAGCAGCAGCAGCAGCAGCAGCGACCGACTTTTGACAGGATCATCCTTCTCCATGGCCGCGCTTGCCCCCCGAGCCCGTGCCCGACCATTCAATTCGACCTCACCAGAAAAGATCATGCGCGCGAGTAGGAATCGATCGATGCCCGACGGGGACAGTTCGCGAGCTCGACTCGCCGATCCACCCAACTGGCCCCCGTCCGAGTCAACGATTCGCCATCGCAGCCGAGACGGGGTCAACTCTCTGACGCAGGCCCGCGTGCGAGCGAGATTGAGTCCCCAACGTCTACTCAGGTCTCTCCCCAACTGCGCAGCGCGAGCGAAGGGAGGAAAGAAAGTCGCAGATCCGGCGAACCGCTGTTCGGGGGGGGACAAGGGCCGTTGTCGTGCACGGAACGAATTTCTCGGCCGGATCTCGAAAGCGACGAGGGCGAGGGATGAATGCGCAGCGAATGCGCGTTGCCCCTCGCCCCGAAGAACAGACGTCGAGAAAGATGTCCGACTAGCGGTAGACTTTGCGTACAGCTTCGCGACGGAGAACGAACTTGTCTGGAATATCAGGAAATTAGAGAGCGCCATTCGGATGATTCGATGCGGTAGGATTCAGGGTTTTACGACCCGCGTTGCTCGATGCCCTCTGGCATATGCCTTCGTTGTGTCAACCCACCTTCGTACATGTTTCTTCGATTCATCATCCTGTTTTTATTGAATGGACGACAAATGTCATCGAGAGAAAAGCCGGGAGTACATTTCACGCCAGATCACACCGAACCTCCCGAGAATGTGACATCTCTCCAATGTACTCTCTGTTCAGATGAAAGTAGCTGACTCGAAAACGAGTCCGAGCTCTTTTGGTCCCCGGAGAGAAAGAAAAGGCGGATCGATCGACCGATTTTTCCGTACCTCGACTGCCTGACTGCCTGCCTGCCAGCAGCATGCATCAATGAATTGACCTGAGCTGCTCCGTACTCGAGGTCTCTCGCATTCCTTTCAGTTTACCGACTTGACCGCTCGTCGTCGTAAGCCAAGGGCCTTTTCACTTTCTCTCACGAAATTCGGCGCACTTCGAGTCCAAAGTCGTTAATCGCCCGCACGATGATGGAAATTCTCGACGTCCTTTCTGCTTCGACAGTTGGACGGTTGGATTTGCCAGTGACGAATTTGCGGCCCATTCCTGCTGTGAAGTCAAAGCAGCGACGACGACGAAGACGACGACGATCGTGCAAAAGTGCTCGCATCCTCACGAGCGACGTGATCTTTGCCCACAACCAATCTCCCCTTTGCTTTTCCCGATATTGCGAACAGAGTTAAAAATTCAATGAATGAATCCGGGCGCAGCGATCCTTATCGGCAACTAGTTCACTTCACGTCAACATCGATCGACGCACACTTGGTCCACCGTTAACGCCTCGTCGTGAACAATCGATCATGATCTGCAAAAGGAAGACCTCGGATGCTGAGACTTTTCCCGATACTGCGATCGAGCTCGATGCTCGCTTCCACCGAGAGCCGAACATTCCACATTTTGACTCTCTCTTCGCACACGTGCTCGTCAGTAATGGTAGCACGTCCTCCATCTCCCACTGTAAAGCGCTTGACCCGAGGACGACTCCGTAGACTGCAGCAGAACCTAATTAATAATATGATTCAGTCCAGAATTGATACTCCAGTTTCTATATTCCATTCGGATGAACACGGATGATCACTCCATCGCCACAACTGCTGCAGACCTGTCCACAAATCACGCTACAGACCAGTCGAGCCTACATTTCATTGATTCATTGATTCATTGATTCATTCTTTCCATCATAAGCCGTGATTCAAGCGTGGCGGGAAGTCGGCATTTTTCCAAGTATATCCTCCGTCGTGAAGTCCGTCCGAGCTCGAGCAAGTTATGGCACCGAGGTCCAAGGCAATGGGGCTGGGCTGCTGCTTATGTACTGTAGTGGCAACCGAGCTCCCAAATTAATGACATGGCTGGCACAAGTGGAGGGAGGGGGTGGTGCTAGTTTAGGGGCAGGGCGTAGTCATGGATAGTGTGGACTGGAGGAGAGAAGGAATGATTGATGGAGAAAGTGGATAACGAGGAGAATGGGGAAAAGGAAGGAGAGCGAGCGAGCGAGCGAGAGAGAGAGAGAGAGAGAGAGGGAGCTGCAGCAGCAGATTCTGGAGCAGTGGCAAGTGTGTGGGGTCACGAGGGTCGAGTTCGGACTGAGGGAGGGGAGGGAGGGAGGGTAGCCATGGCGTTCAGCAGCTGCACCTCGTGCATTTCTTGCGCACTAGTGCCTGCCATAGCTCAGGTACCTGCTTGCTCTGTCCGCCGTTGAGGTTGTGGTTGTGGTAGCGCGCAGATGCCAAGTGTCAGTGATGTGAATGTCAATGCCTGAATGGTTGTGCATTCGTTCCGCGAAGGTCTGGATTGGAATGAGAATGGACAATGGACTGAAAGAGAAGCGAGAACGAGCTCGAGCTCGAGCTGACGTTCTCGCTTCGCCTAGTCCGGAAAGGGTGAAACGAACGAGAAGCGAGAACGAGAACGAGCTCGAGCTCGAGCTGACGTTCTCGCTTCGCCTAGTCCGGAAAGGGTGAAACGAACGAGCTGAAATTGGATTGCTCTGATTTCACATTCGACTCAGCATGAAAATCACTCCACTCCCCGAGGGTATCATGCGAGATTCCACTCACCAGCCGGTGACGATTCCGGGCTTGTGAAATTGCTGCATTCAACTCAAATTGAGATTCTGCCACCCACTTTCCCGCAAGGCCCGTGGAATTTCTCATTCTGCTTGTTTGCGTGGTGCAGAATGGCCAATTTCAGGACTTACACGCATTCTTTCCTGGTTCTTGCTCGACGACTGCCCCTGGAGTGGCAAGAGGGCCAAGGTCTCTACGAATCTGGGCACGGGGAGGGAAGAGTATGCCTCCGAAGCAAGGCAGAGGCTACAATTCCAAGAAGGCATCGGCACAGGGAGTTCAGAAGCGAATGAGCAACAGAGATTTGGACCAAGAAGGATGGGTACAAGTAAGAATCGAGCGATCAAGTCCTGTGTGCTGTCTGTCTGTCTATCTCTCTGCGGAATTTAAAGGAATGTGGAATGACAAGCCTCTGGGTGGTGCAGGTTGCCGAGAAGGATGACCTGACCGAGGGCAAGAACAAAGCCATTTTGCGAGACAACGAAGGGTAGACTTGAAGACTTGAACCCTCTTGGCTCTCCCACAGCTACCGTACTTTGGCAATTCCGCTTGTCCATAGACGACGATATGATACGATGTGATAGTTTCCATTTTGGTTCAGTGATGGTGTCGAGGGCGTGGACGCAAGGGTTTGTGATTCCCTTCGCTGAGCGTAGAGAAGAATGAATTTCTCGTGGTTCGTTCTGCAAGAATGAGCACTGAAGTTGTGGAGATTTTCGGGTTGATGAATGTCAGGTATGTCTTGGTGCAGAGGGGATCATTGCTGTACACTATCAAGGCAAACTGCACCACCTGCCAGTTTCCTATGATTGACGGCAAGGTGAGCTCGTTCGTTCCAGGCTTGCTCTCTCGTGTTCTCTCCAGGTTTGAGCTTCTCTTTGCATCACGAGCTTTGAGCCAGCATTAGGACGTCTCGAACCAATCTTCCTTCTGTTCCGAATCGTGTAATTTGTTTTCGTGTACCTTCCTCGAGCGGCAGCGGGATTCTCGACACGAGATAGTCAGCTGGGATCCGGAAGCGTCTGGAGATTTTTCGTACACGTACCTGAGCAAAGTGCTGTCATTGCTCTCGTGGAGCCCGCAGGTGGAGCTCGTCGGCGAGGGAGACGATCTGACGATCGAGTGCCCCCTCTGTCATTCCAAGTTCTCCGTGGTCGATGGCGAGGTTGCCGAGTACTGCCCCAAGGATGGCCCCTTGCAATGGTTCGTCGGCACGCTCAAGTCCAAGACGGAACCGATGGCCGCAAAGGTACGATCCCGCTCCATTCTATTCCGCCCTGCTCGATTTGCGCACTCTGTGTGCGCAGGCCATGGAGTCTGAGAAATCCACACACGAGGAAGAGAACGGTGGGCTCGCACACAACATTTCCTCGAGCTGCCGTAGCAATTCTCACAAGCTGCTGCGAGTCGATCACTGGTCGGATGGGCGGATGGATCTCGGGTTTTCAGTCTCGCCTGCCCTAGATCGGAGGCCAAGCCATGCCCATGGTCCCGAAGAAATCTCGATCGAAAATCAGGCCCACCTCGGAGCCACTGAGAATTGAGTCGAGGCCTCGTTAATTTTTGCATCTACCGAGTCGTCGTCGGATTGGCAGCACGCTCGCGCTCTCGATCGCGGCCCGTGCTGCGAATCCGAGCCTCCGTAAGGCCTTCGAGGCTCGAAAAGCAGCACATGGCTCGATCGGGAGCGGTAGGGAGGGACCGATTCATGGCCCAGAACCCACCCACCGATCCATTCATTCATCAATCCATCCATGGCCTGGTCATTCTTCGATGGAAAGCTTGGAGGTCGTGTGCAAGCGAGCGACAGAAAGGGAGAGATTGAGATTGAGGTTACGATTTGTCGAGAGGCAGGATTTGTCTTGAATGGGGAAGGGGGCGTTGCGTTCGTTGTGGTGTCTCTGCAGGTGTACCCGACGCGGATGTCCAACTCCGGGCGAATCTACGTGAAATTCATCGGCGGCATGTGACACGCTCCGCCGTCGCCGTCGCCGTCGATTGCCCACGTCACCGACTGGCACGGGTCCTCTCTCTCTCTGTCTCTCTCTCTCAAAGCAGTAGGAGGACGAGGCGGATGTCCAACGCCGGGCGAATCTACGTGGAATTCGTCGGCGGCATGTGACACGCTCCGCCGTCGCCGTCGCCGTCGATTGCCCACGTCACCGACTGGCACGGGTCCTCTCTCTCTCTCTCGTAGCAGTAGGAGGACGAGGCGCTCAGTGAGCCGCGCCATGCCGCGGGCGGCCCGGCGCCCTCCGTCCTAGAGGACGTTAGAACTTGAAACTTGAAATTTGAATTCTTCGGGCGCGGCCCCGGAGCATAACGTGTACCATACTGACTCATGGAAGGAAGGAAGCGAAAGAAATGAACCTCTTTGTCGTTCGGAACGTCGCCCTCCGTCGTCGCGTACGAGATTCGCGTGGGTGGCGCTCGGCCTCGGTAACCGCTTTGGGCGAATGCGCAAGAGTCAGTCCCCCGCGTATTTTTTTTCCTCGAGACCATGAATGCTGTGTCTTCTTTTCATCGTGTTCGTGCCGTGCGGTGCATCTCATGGAACTCGTTGTCGTCGATTGATCTTAGGGCAGTCGCGCTCAAATTTGTGATTCCACTCACTCAGTCGCTCGGAGCAAGAACGCAATTTTTCAAGTGATTCCACGGCCGGATTTGAGGCGGAGCTCGCGAAATCGCCACTTCGAGCTCGTCCGGCCTCATTTTGCGTCCTCCTATCGATGGGCCCGTGAAGGCTCCGTGTTTTAGCTCGAGCGGTGGGATCGACGATCGGCGTGAAGTGTCGTCGGAATTTCTTTGGTCGCTCCGTTCAGCCGGCGGTGGAGGAGGTTTTGGATAATGTAGTGGGCCGTCCGCTGCGTGTGGATCGATCGGCGACATGGCCGATTTTTGGTTATTTAGAGGATGCGGAGAATCTCGTGCCGTGACGAATTTGCGAGATGTGTTTGTAATCAGAATGGAAGAGAAAATGGGGCCTGGGGAACGCAGTAAAGAAGAAAGAAAGAACGAGAAGGAGAGGGAGCTGTGATGAGTGGGGTGGGTGAGGTCGAGCTGATTAAGGAAAAGGCCACGAGCGGATGCATCAGACCGGAGACAATCTATGTGAAGAGCAAATCAATCGGCATGGGAAGCCGAAGCCGGTCATCGAGAGCAGGTGACTGGCAGGGCCTAGACCTGAAGCCCCAATCATTCACAGAGAGGTATGGTCGCTCTCCAGATCTCTAGGCCTGCGGCGCTTGACATTTGGGCACTGTCCCGACGACCCATCCGACATTCTGCGATTTCGAACCATTCTCCTTTGAGTCGCGTTCTCGCGCAATAGGCTCGCATTCATGAACATACTCGCCTGTTTCGGCAGCGGCCAGAGCCGGCCTTCCACGACCCCATCCTCCACCAGGGCACGCCGCAGCACTTTCGATCCGAGCAAAGGCGCTAGAGTTGTGAGACCCGGCCCCCTGCCTGCGGCTCCTCCGGCCGCTGCTGCTCCTCCTCGGGCCGCGCTAGCTCAGAAGAGGCCGTCCGTCCTCTCGTCGAGACCCAACTCCGCGCCATCGCCATCTCCATCATCATCGACGCCCGCTCGATCCCAAGCCCAAGCCCAAGTCCCAGCCCAGAGCGGCAGTCAGAGACGAGAGGACAATTCGCAGGCGCAGAGGAGCCAGTATAATAAAGACAACATGAGGCGTCCCAGTGCTGTCGGCTCGGGCTCCTATGGCCAAGCCAACGATCCCTTCGCCTGTACCCATTTGACCGAGCTTATGCCCATCACGCCCATCGAGTCCACCTACAGAGCGCACTCCGGGTGAGTGCCTAGATCGCCTCCATCGTCCTCCATGCTTGGCCTTGTGTGCTTGAATGTGCTTGCTTTCCATGAGTTTGACCTTGTCCATGGGCAACCCCAGAGTCTCCTACTCTCTCTGTCTCTCGTCTCTCGATCGATGTCCCCTCTCTTCACGGTCCGTACTCTGGCCGGACACGTCGGTGGTGGTTCGGGGTTCGATTAGAGTGAACATGTGAAACACGACATGCATTCTTTGCGAACGATGAAAGCGCGCTGGCCACAAGTACATTTAATAGTTATCGAGTAGGAACTTGCCGCGGGCTTCGAGGGAGGGGAGTAGGAGTAGGCGACTGAATCCAGAGTCTATAATGATGATTATCCCGTACTTGACCTCAGCATGGATCGCTACTGGAGGCTGGCTGGTCTAACTGCTTAAATTAGAGTGGCTTGCTGATGGTCGATGCCGGGAAAGCACGAAGGAATGATGGAATGAAGGAATGAATTGGTGGGTCCTGCTCTACCCTACCCGCAGCCTAAACCTCTCGGCCACGTGGACTCGATCGAGTCTTGTCTCATGCACGTCAGATTTCTCTAACACGACCATTCTCAGACCAATGCGTCTGTCAAGGCAGGGCCTGCTTGTCTGATGCCACTAACGTAGGATGTTGGATGAAATGAGATGAGAATGTCAGTTGGAGTCAGTCTTCACTGAATCAAATAGAGTTCGGTGACAAGGATACGATCGTCAGTCGGTCAGTCATTCATGTCGTTAGTGCGGTCCTTTGAATTCATTCGCCACATCTGCACGTCCGCAAGCATGAGCCACGGTCGAAGCCGAAGCCATTCTAGCATGAAAGCATTCTTTATGGAAGGAGCGCTTTTGGTGCTTCTGTTCTGAGATAAATCTGCTGGCCATGTGAAAAGGGGAACTTTGCCCGACGGTATAGAGGCACCGGAGTCCAGGGAGCAGAATATGCGCCGTCTTTATGTGCACGACGAGGATCGAGTTCTTCTCAAGGTGCTCTCTCTCTCTCTCTACCTACTACACGAGTTTTTTGTCACGCCGTGCACCGATCCATCATCCAAACTGTTTGTTCATCATACATTTTTTGGTTTGTTCTGAGCTCTACTCCGATGCCCTTAGGAACCTATCCGGTGATGTCCCTCATACCAGGGTAACTAAGCATCTAGTCAATTGGATGACGCGTGATCAAGTCTTCGACCACGCTGTCGAGGAGTTTCAATGCAAGAATGTATACCCATTCTCAGCGGTGTACTTCCAACATCTTGATCATGAACTTCTTATGCGTATCTATCTAGCTAGTTAGAGAGCCTCAACGTTGCTGAGATCACAGGAAATGCACCAAAGCTTGTACTCTGCCGTCAGGACATTCTTGGCAAAGCTTCCGTTGTTCTTATGTCTAAACCCATGGCAGGTGGTGCATTATGGCAACCCGACTTCTGTTGGCATTGAGTTCGAGGAGGGAGGAGATTGGCAATTCAAGCCTCTTTGGTGAGATCTCACACTCCCGGTCTCGGCAGTACATAATATGATAGTGTAGACGGGTACTCCGAGCTTCGAAAGGCAAGAGGAGTGTTTAGAGTTCAGCAACCGAGAAGTATTGGAGCTTCTGTGGTTTTACCTTGTGTCCTACTACTGTCTTAAAATTTTGATCTAGGTAGATCATGGGGCTAATCTTACTCTCCAACGTTGCTGTTTTCTGGTCTCGTGAGATTCAGGACTCAGCGAGCTGGTCCTCGGGCTCAAATATACTTTCATCCTTCAGCTGTAAGTTCTTGCGCCTCTCATTTGAATTCACATGCGAATGGGTTAGCACTCAGTCTGCTTAGTATAACCAAATTGGTCATGTTCACTGCTGGACATTCGATGCGAGCTGTGCTTTTTCTTTTTTCGTTTTTGTCTACTACATGGTTTGAAGGTTTAAATTACACCTAAAGTTGGGAAACGTGCAGATCAATCATTGGTGGATAGACTTCATTTTGTTACTTAAGATCTTTAACATTGACCATTGTCTGCACTTCTGCAACACCAGGTCAAAGCAGCAATCGTGACCTGTGGTGGACTTTGCCCTGGTCTTAACGATGTGATTCGCCAGGTTCCTTCTCTGACCTTTTACTTTCTATCTACATGTCAATGATATTTTCAGTGGATCTTATCCGCTAATTGTGAATATTGATGGAATCGCAGTTATACCAGGGTGTTCGGACGAGGTAGGCCTAGCGTGTCATGGAAACAGATCCAACACCTGCAAGAATCATGGCACGGGCAGGTTTTTCAAGGATCGACTACACTGCTAACTTGGGTCTCGTGACGTGCATCAGGTGGTGTTCACACTCGACGTGTATGGCGTGAAGGAGATTCTGGGTATTCAATATGGCTTCAAAGGCTTCGTCGATCCTAAGTACCCACCTGTTGCAGTTACTTCCCTCTCTCTGTTTATTTGAGAGAAAATTCTACATGGAGGGTTACAGATGGATTATGCATTTTGAGCTTGCACTCCGATGAAAGATCTGTTCTACGGGCACTCCTGGAACTGGGCATCCCTGTGAGAATCCAGGCACCTGGTTTAGTTTGTATTGCCATGTACTTTCGTAGAGTGAGCAAAATCCCATACACTGGAACGATGCGTCTTTTGTGTACGCCGCTTGTTGTGTGTGTAAGCTGTCAACTTATGATGATAGAGATGAAGATATACGCTTTATGTGTTCTGTTCTGATACATTTGTTCTGGCTTGTGTTGACAACAGCTGACTCGGAAGTTGGTGTCACGTGTACACATGGCCGGTGGGAGCTTTCTGGGTGTTTCTCGTGGAACTCCGGATCTTAATGACATCGTAGATAAACTGCAGGTTCGTCATAGCTGCTCTTGTGAAAAGTGTTCCTAAAAAGCTGGAATTGAATTGCGCTGGAGATTAGTTTTTGTTTTGAAGATCTGAAATTCAAGTGCGTTACTTAGACACCGAGGTGATCCAAACACCCACTTCAATACCCCGAAATTTCTGTGCAGGACTGGGGCATCAATTTTTTTTTTATCATCGGTGGAAATGGCTCACATGCTGGGGCCCATGAAATCTACAAAAGGGTGAGACTTGCACGGGTCGTGACACGCAATATGCTTTACTCACGAGAGCTGTAGTTTCTCACGTCCAACCAGCAGTTGGTTATATAGAAACTAGTAATTGGAGTCGGTGAAGCGATGCACGTAATCAACCTGACTCTGCATGTCAAAAGTCAAGTTGATCAGGGGGTTGGTGTTGTTTCCTGCCAGTGTCTGGAGCGAAAAATGAAAATCGCTGTTGTGGGAATACCTAAAACAATCGACAATGATCTGCAACTTGTCGATAAGACTTTTGGGTTTGATACATCAGTTGAAGAAGCACAGCGAGCCATCAATGCTGCCTTCGTTGAGGTACCAATGTAGGGTACACAAGGGCAGGTCGCATCTATTTATCATCATCCTTCTCATGAGAAAAGACCACTCTTTTCGTATTTATTGAAGAAGGCATGTTTAAATAACTTACGAATGCTGGGAAGGTGAGTTTTGATGACTCACTTGTCATAATGCTCCAAATCTCGTGTATTTATATTGTGAGCTGTGGGAAGTTGACCTCAGTGAGTAAGTTTAAGGTGTTGCAATCACGACAGTCGTCAGTTGGAAGAAAGAAAATTTCACATTCTGAACGTGAGAAAGAAAGTGTATTGACTCCTGAACCCCACGTGTCTTTTCTCAGGCCAGTAGTGCCTACAATGGCGTTGGAATAGTAAAGCTCATGGGACGACAAAGTGGGTTCATAGCGATGTATGCCACCTTGGCCAGTGGTCAGGTGGACATTGTCCTCATTCCAGAGGTATGCCTGATCATCTGCCTAAATAACACCGAAGGAGCAGCAAATTACCTCTTTGATATGTATCCTTCAGTGTTTGCAGACTGCGGGAATCAATAGAGGCTGCTTTACAATTTCTCCATTTACTTCACTTGCTTTGGGACTGTGCAGGTACCTTTTGTTCTAGAAGGAGAGCATGGTGTGTATAACTTCATGAAGAAAAGGCTGGACAAGAATGGCTTGTGTGTTGTGGTTATAGCCGAGGGTGCTGGGCAGGTGAATAGCAAAAAATATTCAAACCCTCGTATGTTGTGTTATGAACGATGGAAATTTCGATCAATAATAATGCAACCAATTCTTTCAGTAGACAATCCTATCTACTAGAAAAGACACGCAGAGAGCATACATTTGTTCTTGACGAATGTTGAAGAATCACTTCCTTTTCTTCACAGGAACTGCTGGAAAGTTCTGGTGGTGTAGATGCTTCAGGAAATCCTATCCTCGGGGATATTGGCAAATGGTTTTACAGTCAGGTTGATCTACACTAATCTTCTGATACTGAGTCCCACAATTCATACAAACCTTAAGTAAACGTATCATACCGCAATCTCCATATGCGAGCGTAAACAAACACTGCACTGAGAGGACAAATGGATGTGTGGGTAGTGTGATCTGTGTATGTGCATACATGATATTCTTTGTGCAATACTGAAGTTCAGCTTACAACAAATATGAACTGGATTCCAAAATGGACTAAATGAAACAGAGTGAACATCGTTGTCGGTTGCATTCTTAAGGACAGTTTAATAAAAAATCACAAACAATGTCTCAGGGAGTCACCAATCCATTTGCTTCACTCTGAAGAAAAAATCTAATGTCAAGACACTGACAGAATTCAGACCTCGATGCAGGTTAAAGCTTATTTTGGAAAGATTAAAATGTCCGTTGATGTGAAGTATATTGACCCCACTTATATGATCCGGGCAAGACATTGTAACTCTTCAGACCACATCATCTGCAGTGTCCTTGGACAGAACGCGGTAAGGCCGATGTGACCCCCTTACCAATGGGATTGGACGAGGAGACAAATAGTTAAGAGGAGATGGAGTTTTAGAATGACTGACGGCATCCGTAGATAGAGAACTATGGCAGCTTCGTGGTCTGTCTTCGGACCAACTTGACAGAGACGTTGATTTGGAGAAGATGGCAAGTATATTTCAGACTTTGAAACGTATAGAGTACACATTTAAGGTGGTACTAGGTGCTCCTTTCATGTGAGACCACCCATGCATGCGCTCCCCAGATTCCAGGACAACAACTTTAATGCAGTGGACGCATTAATTATGTAAAATGATGAGTGAAATGGTTAAAGTTTAGCGATTTCCTCTTGTATTACCATAAGTAGATCCAGTTTTAATACTGAACCGCGTATGCAGGTTCATGGAGCGTTTGCTGGATACACAGATATCACTATTGGGCTTGTGAATACTCACTACGTTTTTCTTCCCATTCCGAAAGTCATAGAAGTCGCCCGTAAAGTGGACCCAAACAGCAATATGTGGCACCGCACCGTGACATCTACAGGTCAACCCGACTTTCCAATGGTGCCGCAAAAGATATCTGAGAAGAAGGCTCAGTCTCAACCCTCATCACCGCCGAAGTCTCAACCCACCTCACCGAAATCTCCTGTCAGCGGATCCTCCCGTTCTCAATCTCCTGGAGGTGAGTCTCAGTCGGGCGAGGGATCCTCCCGAACCGAAAAGGAACCCCGACCTCCCCGACGGCGAGTGTCTCAATTGTCCATAAGAATTGACAAGAACAATGTTCAGATTAAGTCTGTTGATAATTATTTCGTTAAAAAAGCGTAGATGGCATTTCTAGTCTGCTTTGAAGCTATAAAGCCTACCCTGAATGCAAGCACGCTAACCCTCCCCAGCTTTTGAACAAGTGCAAAAGAAGCTTCATCTTGTCATTCGCGCTTTATGCCTGCCAGATGTCCTTCCACTGACAAAAGCTTTACATTGCAAAGAATCCAGATCCTTATCTTGCAGGCGCCATCCATTTGATATGAAAACCTCAGACCGGAGTATGTAGAGTTGATTGCCTGGGAAACTCTATAAGGTGATTTGTGTCCAGATCGAGTTATCAGGAAAGAGTTGAGCACCAGGTCAGTAATATTATAGTAAACCCAGAACCAATGCAGTTGGACTTGCAGATAACACTTTGATGCATCATTCTTCCTGCTGCCCAAACCCTTGCCTTCGGCTCTAAGAAGTCAAGTCGCTTCCTGAATCTATTGCAAAATTCACACCTGGTACAAATAAATATCATGTGTAGTAGAGTACCGACAACCGGGTACTCAACTAAACACAAACGATTCATAAACTGATATGCTGTTGAATTAACGCCCCTTTGCATGGCGCACTGAATCTGGGTAGAAGGGCTGGTGAGATCTGTGTCCAAGTGATCATTTTCACTCAGCCAAACTGCAAGCGCATTTTACTTTACGTTGGAGTCCCCTGATGATTGGGATGGAATGACGTTGCCATATGATGTGCATAGCACATGTGCATGCACTTCATGAAGTTGGCTGATGGGTATGTGTAATAGAAGTTGTTGTTTCCTGAACCTCAGAGCTGTATGTACATATATTTCGTTGAATGCCTGCAGCTTATGCACTGGATAGTACAATACTGTTTCGACGCTCGCACACTGTACGATCTCGGAAATATCTCTAGCTACGATCTAGAGCTGTGAAACACACTGCGAGCACAAGCTCGAAATATATGTCCCATGACAGTTGGCTTGTACTCTGTGTTACATTGTACATCAATGTGACAAACAAGCACATACATAAACTGATTTGATATCAGGATGGGATTAGAAGCTTATGCGGCCAGACGACGTTATGTAGATCCTCCCCACAGCCTCTACATGGACATCGGATAGTGAAAAGAAACGAGGACCTGGGTGATGCTGTTAACTAAGGGTGTGCACAGCCTGTTCTAAAAAACTGTGCAGGCCAGATACCGAAGTACTAGTAGTGCTGGAGATAGTAATCCTCGCACGGAGCACAAACACCAGTATTTTCCCAGCAGCACCACCTTAGCCAGCTTTGTTCTAACCAATAAGATACTCGGCTTTCTTGAGTTGATTCTACGGAGTAACTTCACTCCACATGTTAACCGCAAGACTGCTACAACGTTGTAGAAACAGTACTTACTGCGCAATGCATGTTGTTGGGTGCAGCTGTAATGGATATGGGGCCACAACGAAGAGGTTCCAGGAAACCCTCATTGAAGTCACCCCTGCCAGTTTTCAATACAAAGAGACCAACCAGCGCTTAACTACGGATTTTCAGATAAGATGCGATGAGTCCCGAGTGTGTGATTACATTGCATGCATACAAGAGAGAACCTTCGATGGTTTTTAGACTATACATACTTGCCGCATGTGCAAGTTAACCTTTTCTTTTCAACAAGCCTATAATTACTTCTTACGCCTAAAATGCACCCGGGAAAGATTTGCATTATGGGAATTATGTGCATGCTTGCTTGAGATAGTTACAGAGGCTCGTCCGCTACGTTGCTAGAGTGATCAAAGGGCAAAATGTAGTCCTTCTGTCACAGCCGAGCACATCCTTGTAGTGTCGAGTGATCCAGAACTTGTCGTAGACGAGGCCGTCACTGCTCCGTTTGTATTCCAGCAGCAAACTAGAGCGGTTGAAGGACGTGAGCTTTGTGAAGCCGAAGTCGTAGTCCTTGACAAAGCTCCAACTTGTATTGAAGGGCGCAAAGAGTGCCAAACCTGCTCCCCCTCCTCCAGCAACTATATGAATGGTAGCGTTGAATTGTCCGGAGTAGTGGTGCTTTTCTTGACTCAAGCATACATTCTGCCAAGTTTCAAAATTACAGACGCTTAGGGTTAGCAAGGAAGAGCCTGCTCACACGGTGAACAGCTCCACATCAATTATACACTCTTAGAAAGCTTCCAACATGGAGGCAGAATTACCTCGTATATTGGACACGTTCGCTCGTAGTTGTGGACATGGCCATAGAATGCCAGGTCTACTCTGTACTTCTGCCAAAGCTTTTGCAGATCCCTTCCCATGGGCTCACTGAATGATCCTTCCGCCGCGTAGAAATCTCCAGATGAGTATCCCAAAACACGGTGGGCAATAAAAATCAGCCATGGCTGTTTTTGGCGATTCACAGACGAGAAGCACTCCTCTAAAAACGCCCATTGCTCTGTACCTTCACGCCAGTCTTCTTCGGTATTTGCAATACAGAATCGAAACAAACCCCAGTCCGTTTGGTACCTGGCATCAGGCCGAACTTTGCTTCAGTTTAAGCTCGTGAAGTGTAGTTACCTTCTTATGGACCCAATGTGGTCCCCATAAGAAGAACCAGGTCATAACATGTCCCTGTCGAGGCCATGCTAGCCAACTGTCAGGCGTGGTTGGGGTGGGATGATATTCAGAGAAGGACCACCAGATCCATCCACGAGCAATAACTCCAAATTGCACATTGACAGGTCCTTCGTCCTCGTTAATAAAGTTTCATCGCTCCCAAAACCACGGAAACAACCACCTAAGCTTTGCATTCTGACAAGCTATGAAATTCTGACAGAATCCATGGACAATTGGAACCACGCAAAATTGCAAGCAGCCTCTACCTTCGACCAAACACAAAATAATACTCTGGTGGCAGTCCAAGCTGGCTCCACGAAAGTTCCCTCACCAGTACTTCGCCCTGTTGACCGCGGGCATGTTGAAAAGAGTTTGTGCGGGCACTCCGCATTCTCCTCCAGAATCAGAGCTGCCGTAAAACGAACCACTAAAGGGCCAGTCTCGCTCGTGGTTTCCACTGCATAGGTAAACAGAAAATGATTTCAGCAGGCCAGCAAACTGTGCAAAATTGTCAGAGCTCGTGTATGGCATAGTGAGTAGTTCAGATTCGCTATCTTTCTTCTTGATGGTGAGCTATTAGTTCTGTGTGTGGTGCTAAGTTAGGCATTCGTCACAGTCGTCGATTTTGAGGATCTGCGTGTATCGAGTTCTGCCCCAAAGTTTATCCTCGGTTCTAGTTTTGCTTTATGAAATCATCGAGGCTCAGAGTGATCTCAAGTCTTGGCCAGGCTAGCAAAGCTTGATTGAGCAGTGTAGGGAGATGCGGAATAATTCTCAGAAGACTTATGTGCATATTAGAGTGGATCGATAGCTGGATAGCTGATCAACAGTGAGTTGAATATTCCGTGTGCCCAACCTATCCTTTATACAAGGAGTCAACTGCCAAGACAATATACGAAAGGGGTCCTAATGAGCAACACTCGTGCGTGTGACGTCCATTGTTGGGGCATAAAGGCACGACGTCCAGACTAGCAATTGCTCAGGCAAGAAACTATGAATAACAATTGAAGACAACTTGATAGCTGGTCTTCTGTGACACCTCTTGGGTGTAAGAAGATCCTCTGAAACGATCGAAAATCTGGGGTTCCTAAAAGAACTACCTCGAATTAACATGTACACAAGGCTTCGAGATTTGTATCCTGAAAAAAAACCTCAGGGCTAAACCTAAACACAATGCTTCACCATGTCTGATAGGTGTAATGATACGAACCTGGTAACCATAAATGGTACGCGGGAAGAAAGCGGTTCGACTTGTTCCAAAAACTGATCCCACTGGGATGCGTATCCATTTGCATAGGCCATATCTCCATTCAGGATGATAATGTCGTAATTATCTATGTCCGATGCCAAAGTATCGGTGGTATTCAGACATCCAGGTTGATACATGCTATATTCATTTGATCCGTCACGCTCAGCCTGCAAGCAATTGATCACACATCAGAGTAGCACTCGACCCTTCCTTGGATCAGCCATCCGTGCACCTTGAGGCGCACTGCCCACACCCCAAGCTCTTCAAACTACACAAAGATGAACTCCACACCTTCAGATGCTGTTGTTATACGGGAATACTCCTTCTGTACGAAAAGAAAGCATATACTGAACAGTATCAAGCTGGACAATATAAGGACATTTTACCTTCCCCATGTCACCGAAGATTACAACACGTTGCAGTGAGTCTTGACCTGGAAAGGGAGGGGATTTGAAGACACTCGATCTCCCCCAGACATATGATCCATTCTCCAACTTATGTGCTACTTGATAAAAGTATCTGCGTCCAGAAACAAAACCACGGAAGCAACGGACAAAGTCAAGCACTAGAAAGAACACTTCAGATGCCTGTAGGTCTCTGAAGGAACAAACAATGCAGTCAGTAAGTACCGTTAGAAGTCTCTGCTTCTAGTGGTTCTCTCTAAGTGCAGAAGATATCAAGCCTCAAATCGAAGCGGCATCTGAGCACGAAGAAACCATCGCCTCGATGAAACGTATGACGTAAATATTTGCTGTATAATAGGACTTCAAAGTTCATGTCACCAGAACAGAAGCCGACCGATAAGCACTCCCACATCGGACGGATCAAAAGAACTGTACTCCAGCAGATATCTAGAGGCCGACACAATGCTAGGCGGAAATACGAACACTGAACCTTTCTGCAAGCGTATCGGATTGTTTTCGGTATGTATCGATGTTTTGAGAGCACCGGAGAGTTTCTTACTTTTTATTAGGCCACAGCTCTTTCAAATGGCCCGTGTGTATGTAGCCGGGACTCCGCCACCCAACCGTGGTTGCCGGTGCTCCTGTGGTATTGTGTTCAGGACGTACATATTACTGTCACGATACATTGCAAAATACATAGCACACCTACAAACACACGACTCGTGCACGGAGAGAGCACAATGTTGGAGCGCTTGTAAGTTTGTAAGTGTCGATGTTTGACGAAGTCTAGTGAAGATGAAGATGAGCAAAAAGAATTTTATCAGCTGAGCTGCAGAATTTAGCGGCATGTACTTAGGTTGGCGAGGTTTGCGTCAAGTCAGAGAACTTACCACACATGTCATCCCGAGAGAAGGTCACAGTCATGGCTGCAGTCAAGGTCCTCTCTTTGTCGTCCAAAAGGCCCCATTTGACGAGAGGCATCGCTTCATCTTGCCCATAATCACTGGTCCACGTGACTGTTATCTACATCGACGTGAAGTTTTAGAGCAATCATTCTGAATTCTGAAATGTGGCCCTCCACAAGCTATTGATAATCCTTCTGGTGTAGGAACACGACAATCATGCTTGCATTTTAAAAAAAGTTACAGTAATTACATCAAAATATTTATATTTATTTGTTCATTTACTTATTTACTTATTTATAGAGGGAGAAAAAAACTCTGAACAGATAGAGCTTGCACCAAATGATGCACAGCCATAGAGACATAGCACTTACTTCGTTCCATTCGAATCCATTTGCAAGACGCATAAAGCTTGGAGCTCTGGGTGATGTGAACGAGACTGTGTTTGACACGGCCAGAAGCACAGGCTGCAGAACATTCACTCACTCACACAGGCTTAGTTCATCTTCGTCTTCAATTGGAGCCTTGAAGCAGTACGAAGCTACATTTCGTGCATCACCTACACTTCAAACGAATCAGACTGCTTTCATTTGGCGTGTGACTGAGGCAGCATCATCGAATCGGTCGAGAATGAAAGCACGTGCTGAACTTACATTGCTTACGTCCCCCTTGAACAGTCCAAAGGAGTAATCTGCCCTCATGTTGATGAGCCGGAAGCTCAGACTTCCCTCTCCACTGCGTACGTAGTTGGGCGATGAGAAATTTGCGTATTTATACTGTTTCATATCCACATCTCGTTGTTGTTAGTACTTCGATTACACTCTCCAGCTCGTAACACCATTCAGGATCCACTCAATCAAAACTCGAGCTGCATCTGCTGAAGATAAGCCCTGAGCTCGTGAAGAAACGCTGAACTTAATGCCAGAGGTCGAGAAGAAGGGCAATAGTCACGGTAACAGTTCATCTCTTCATAAAAATAATTACGAGATTTTTAGAACTCCGCTTCCGAATTCGAAGCTGACGACAGCAAAGGAGGCATGCACTGACTGACTACCTTGACAGGAGCACTGCACAATTTGGGAAATTGATCCTTGCTTGGCACTCCATCGGGCTCTGTGCATGTGGAAGCACTGCCACAGTGTCACCAAGGATCACATTAGCTCGACTCACTCGAATCAAGACTGACAGTATTTCTCGCTGCTGCATAATGTGATTTCGTGTGAATTCATGCAAACACGAAGAAACCGACGAAAGTCGCTTACTTGAAATTGGCCGGAGAGAAAACTCCGATCCAGTCCGTGTTCTCAGCATTTGCAGCTCTTCTGAACTTCACCGTGACGTACTCCGCTGTTTCTCCCTGAACAACGAGACGTGTCGAACAGAAGCAATCAGAGGGGGCGAAAGGAAATCGTGCTCGACCACGAGGATTTGAGCTCACAACGCGTACGAGAGAATTTCGCAAACAGGTTCAGAGATTGAATGACGTGAAGCAAAACCTTCGCTCCGAGAAGGTCGGGGGATGCGCTTATGGACGCGGTGTCTTCGAGCTCTATTAGGGCTCTGTGGACCGAGATTCTGGCCAATGGCTGCTCCATGAAACTGCCCTGCGCTCGTCCGGTCACGAGCGCCAAGACGAGTACGAGCCACAGAGTGTCCATCGGGTTCGGATGATTTTCCTGCAGGAGATGAAAATCGACGAGTCAACACAAGCCTTGCAGCAAGCAATGCCGGACATTGAAGAGCGACTCTGACAGCCTTTTGCTGCCAGAATCTCGAGAAAGCTACAACACATGTTTTCAGCCGGAATTCCACTCTCTCACAGCCACGAGCGAGCTTGCGTTCCAATTTGCTCAACGAGAAACCTGCGCAGAACCTCTAGACATAACCTCGTCCCAAATTGTTTCGAATTACTTGTTTGGAGCGCAGTCGATCGATTTTCGCCTCGGCCAGTCAACCAGCGAGCGAGCGAGCGAGCTCGTTCATTCCTGCTGCCCGGAATTGAATCGAATTGGATCAAATTGAAGAGAATTCTCCGTGTCGCCCGAGAAGGAATCGATTGCCTGCACGCGCACGCACACGCCTCCGCTCTCTTTCTGAGACACAACACCAACAAACGATGTCAGACTGCGGAGCTCGAGAGAGAATCTGGCCGAATCTGAGCCGCACATTCTCCAACTCCTTGGGAATTGATTGCGCGCATGGCGCACCACTTACGCGTCTCTGCGTTGAGGCTCGAGCGAAATCGGCACATTTCGTTCCTTCCTTCGTCCCTTCGTCCAATGTCCTTTCAGACAACGATCGTACGACGATCGAGACTCGCGTTATACGCTCGTATCGTATACTCATCGTATTTCCGGAGGTACAGGTGGAGGGAGAAACCAATCCTAGTCATCATCGACCTCCACTCACGCCACGTCACGGCCGAAGAAGGTCAGTCTATCGCAGATCCTTTTTAATAGTAGTTATCATAAAAAAACTATATTATATTTTGAATTTGAATACCATTTTTTTATTTTGATTTATTTTTTTTATTGGTTAAAAAACTATTATTATATTCATATAAACTATCATGTCAATAATAAACGGTTCTAAAATCATTTTTTAATTACGCAAGTATTTCCATTCAGTTTGTTTTATTTTGCTTTTCAGAGTTCGCGACGCGACTTTGATCGTGTCGGGACGTCGCGGAATACACTGCGGTCAACTTTGCTACCGATTCTTCGAGTCTTGCCTCGTTTGCGGTCTGGTTCTGAGGTTGAGTCGAGTTGTCTTTTGTTTGGTGCTTCTAGCGTCCACGTCATCGAGGAACATTCGCAGCAAGCGAGACATTCGGAGCGCATTTTTTGGAATCTTCTTTACAGCTGCTTTGATTCTCGTAGCTAGACAGGAAGTAGGCAGGAAGGGTTTAGGCGTCCGTTGCTGGAATTCTGATGCATTCACTGTTACATGCACAGGCTCTCAGAAGAAATCCCAGGGAACAAAGTTTCATTCCAATGTATTCCAGCTGATACGATCCAATTTGAATGGACATTCCGTGCGGTTAATTGCAAAACTAGAGTCTGATTATTCACAACAGTCATATTTAAAGCACCCATGTTAGAATGGTGGTCGGGAGTATACATATTGTGATTACGTTGATGAAAGTGAATGGGCACTTTTTTGAGTATGGTGTTGTGTGCCTTGATCACATTAGTCAAATGAAATCCTGAAGGAATAAAGATGATTTTTAATTTAAGATTTAAATTTAAACAATTCACGGCTGGATCTTATATATGTTTCGTGTCTTCTGAATTGTCATTCTACACAAGTTTCAGGCAAAATCTGAGTCACATTTCGGGCCCGCTGTAGTAGAGTATAGTTCACATGATCAGTTAGAATATACTGCTGACGAAGTTTCCTGATGGCGGCACGGTGAACTTAGAGAGCAGAATTTGTGTATGAACGAGTAACCCTGACACCTCCTCTAGGTACAGAGAAATGAGGTTACAGATGTCAATGCGATGCCTGATACATGTTTCGACCAGGGTAGGGGCAAACAGTTCAAAGGTCAACAATCATAATGAAGAAGCGAGCACAGCTGTGTTCGTGGGATTTGAAATGTCAATTATGCGAGGGTACAAACCCAAGGAAGAATGATAAGATTACTGTTACACTATGGACAGACCTCATCACGTATGGCCATATGATACAAAATGAAATCTACAAGGAAGGGCCGAGATAATGGTACAGAATCTAGACCATGATAATCTAGACTTGATACTTCAGACTTGTCTGTGGACACTTGGCAGCACGGGTCACCAGACCTACAACTGGACTCCATCTGCTGTGTCACAAGAATATGAGTCTAAAAAATGCTACTCTACAAGCATACAGTAATATACAGCCGCCCCATGACTGGCCTGGTTACCTATCAATTTGGCTGGATACAGCGACGAAGGGTATCCTCAAGCGACTTTCTGATCCGATTTCTTTACTTCTAACAGCCACTGCTGTCTTCTTTTCTTTCTCCATGTCACCTGATTCAGGCTCACTTCTCCACGCTCGATCCGCTACATCTGGCCTCAGAGAAGCTGGACTCTTCTTTCGAGAAGCACGTTCGACTTGAAACTCCTTCTTCCGAGACTCGAATGTGCGCCGCTTCACTCGACTTTTCTTCTTGTCCAGTATTGCTGCTTGCTGATACAGCTCCTGGGCGACTTCGAAGTTGCCCAAAGTATCTTCCACAACAGCCAGTTCCTGAAAATTTCGTGGCTTCGTGAGAGTCACATTCACAAACTGCGGCAACACATACACACGTTCTATTCGCCGTATTCCTCGAACAAGTCAGATAATTCTTCTTTCGAGAGGTCATAGCAAGGTTCGTTGCATAGCTAATTAGCTATATCTCAACTCTATACATAGTGTCCAAATCAGTCTTGGGGCATAAATCGATAACGGTGTTTGATTTTCAGGTTACATGAATTATTGTTCGACTCCTCTACTATCATCCATAAACACAATTCTTCAGCGTGGCGGGCCAAACATACCATCAGAGATGCAGCATTCTCAGGTTCTATCGCTAGAGCGACTAGTAACAATCTTTGTGCACTCTCCAGGTTCCCACATTTCCTTTCCATGTGCGCATAGGCCTGGACAGAAATCAGAGAAAATCGCACAAGTTTACCACTGAGTTAGTAACTAAAGCAGATAGTAACGAAACCTTGTCTGCAGTTCAGTCTTAACCTTTCACCATAATATATAATGCTTCAAGGAAACTACACATAATATTAGAGCGGCCCCATATCTTTGAAGATTCCGCCAAGTAAGATATCGTCCAAGATCATTCAAGAACAACGAACCTGTAGACATAGCACGCTCTCGGGATTGGCACCTAAACCTCGTTCAAAAAGAATCCTAGCTTCAGCGAAGTTTCCAGATTCTTGTTCCAGAATAGCCCAGGACTGCACGCAGATGATAGACAAAGTCAGTGACTATACAAAGTTAGGTTCGACCTTCTCATACTGATAAAAAGTATCCCACATCACAAACATTCTTCGACTTGTGTACATTAAACTAGGTCGAGGACGTCTATGAAGTCCCCATCTAACCGAAGCATTGATTTATGACTTTGCACGTTTACAGAACAAGAGCTTAAGAGACAGATATACCCAATGCTGGCTGATCTCGTATGCTGCGGAGAATCTTAGATCTACTGCATGACAACCTCAGCCGAAATCTCTATACTGTCTATACACAAATTCTAGATGAGGACAGAACTTTTCGTCAGAAGTAAAAGCTTCAGGAGTAGCGTTTGCACTGACCTGCCAACAGTGGACATTGTTCGGATTTATCTCTGCACATTTCTTGTATAGATTTCTTGCTCTCAGTTTAGACTCGACAGTCCCTACGAGTCCTTCTTGATGAGCCCACGCCTGCATGTGTATGTGTAAGAGACTGAGAAAAAAACACATTCTTATGTCCAATATCTACCCTACTCTGTGGAAAGAGATTGAGTGCAGGTCCACAGAATTTCTTCGACCTATTCTTCTCAGCACCATTCTATCAACTCAGCACTTTCTAGCCCTGAAATTTTTCATGAATCTCGCTTAATATGAATAAGGCGTTTCCTTCGTAACGACGTAAAATTGGTTGAAGTCACCTACAAGACGAAATTAGATTATGAAAAAGGTCCTACCGCTGGTGTCGACGGAGGTTGAGGACAATTACCTGTAATGTGTAGGTACTTTCGGGATCCACCTCCAACGCACGTCCAAAGAGCTGTCGCATTTTCCTCCACTTCTTCTGACTAGCTTCAAACATAGCCCAAGCCTGACAGAAAACCCACGGAATCAGAAGGGCAACAGCATAACTTATGTTCTTTACTTTAAGAGATTATCTACGATTCGATTATCACTCAGCTTTACAGAAAGAAAGTTCACTCTCTGGAAACTCCAGCTTACATGCCAGCATTTCGCATCCTCTGGATTTGCCTCAACAGATAACTTGAAGTGCGAACGAGCAGCAGCGTAATTGTGTGCTCGTGCTTCAAGTCGAGCTCGTGACTGATGTACGACGGCATTTCCAGGTTCGAGGTCCGCGGCTCGCTGTAAAAGAGCGCGGGCTTTGCTCCAGTTTCCAGTTCGTTCCTCTAGCATTGCCCATCCATGTAGTCCATATACTCCAGTGGCCCGTAGGCTGCTCTCTACCTCACCCTGGACCCAACGATAATAAGAAGAAGCAATGTCAATAGCTAGAACTTGCGAATGCCCTGCTGCTCAAAGCCACAGATCGGAGTCAATATTGGAGCAGTTCTATGTATCTAGAACCCTAATATAAACCAATTTAATACTCCAACTGATTCTTTGCCAACCGGTATTAAGAAAATTGTTTTTGTCCGAGACCATTCTTTAAAAACTGAGGCCACCCTTTTCATCACTAACACAAGAGAACTGCAGTGGAGTGTGAAGGGATTTCTCATACCTTTTGGCTTGCATTCAGCGACTCCATGAATAAGTATCTGGCTCTTTCTGGGTTTTGTACATGTGCCTCTAGAGTACCCCAGGCTTGAAGTGCTCTCACATAATCAATGCCTAAATCTCCTTTCAATTTGAATTTGCGAATAGCCTGAGAGTACAAACCTCCTGCTGCCACCATGTCACCTGCAGCCATTCAATCAAACAAGTATTCATGAGCTCAGTCCGAAGCGTAAAGCTGCCTTGACATCTCAGACTGTAACAGGAGCTTAGAAGAATACATCATCTACAAGTGTGAAAAAGAAAAGGGTTAAAAACCCACCACACTTGCGCTCAAGGCTAGCACGATGTAGAATCACTTTGATGTTCTCTGGGTACTTCTTGGACAGCTGCCATTCATGCGGAACATAATTCATATTAGACTTTTCATGAATTTCAGAGATAATGATAGCTAGAAACGAGCGAGGCGTTTGTGAACGACAGAAACAGCACTTCAAATCCAGAATATCATCATGCTCTCCATCCAGCACAACTGAATACAACGGAAGCTTTGAAAAGTGGGAACAAACTTTACCGTCATGATTATTTTGCGGGCTGATGCCTTATCCCCAGAGGCGAGGAAACGTCTGAAAGTTGATAAGTCTTCCTCAACTCTTTTGTCCGAGGACTCATCGATCTGAGCCGGCACTTTCAGCCCTTCAAGGTCAGCGTTTTTTACACTGCTTGGCCAGAGTGAAATGGATTCCTGAGTCTCTGACCAAGAATCAAGATCCTTTCTTGAGTTTGTGGTTGGGGTTGGTGCCAATGGTTTTTCTGGCAAGCGTAGGGGCTTGACTAAGCTTGGTTTCTGCTTGCCTGAACGGGCAGGAAGGCTGTCCCTGTTGGGATCACTCGTGTTGGTGCTAGGATTAACCTGTATGCTTGTAATCAACTCTGCCTCATCCGAAGAGGGGATGGCATCAGACGTGTCCAACATATTTGACGGCACAACCTCTCCATCCATATCATGACTGCCCTCTGAGGAAGACTCGGCATGCAACTGATTGCTAACTTCAATGTCAGCTGACTTTCCCGAACCGCAAGTATCCAACTCGACCTCAAAATCGCCGCAATTTCCAGAACCCAGGCATAACATTTCTGAAGAAGTATCCGTTATCTGCGGCAGTTTGGTGCCCAGTTGAGAGCTCACCTCCCTGTCAACCCCTGCAAGATTTTGCGCAATTTGAATCTGGAAAAGTTTTCAAAGAGGAGTTAGTCGTCAATCCCAGGAGAGAGGAGAGATGAAGTCGCGAAATCAGACCGAAGGAGTCAAGGTACTGTACCTGATGTCGAAATTTGCCAAACTCTTCGGCTGATACCGAGCCATCTGTGTTGAGGTCTACTATTCTCATGAGCTCCAAGGCATCCTCCTTATCTGCTCCCAATTCATGAATCACGTCTCTGAACTCGTCGACACTTATAACTCCATCTTGATTTTTATCGAACATTTTGAAAATCTGGTCGTTCTCAGATAAGATCGGATCAGCTCCTTCCAGGCTCACGGCATTTCTAGCTATCTCACCGAATCTCGTGGCAGCAACATTCGCAGCAGCAACCATAATCATCTTGAGGTTCCTGACCTGCAAGTTTGGATTTGGGTCAATTACGGTCTTCATTGCAGAGACTAGACTTGAACACAACTCACCAGTAATCTGATGAAAGCAGAATTCATCAAAAGGTACAAGCGAAGACATTCTGCAAATACGTAATAGCTATCGTTTGCAAAGATGTTGAAAGGAACCAAAGTTGTGAAATTTGCTCTCAGATCTTCTTCTGCTTAAATAATCTGAAATTGAGAAACCATAAGGGACGAGCGAAAACCACAGCTACAAACCTGTTCTGGATCAGTTAATCCTCCTTTGTATAATGAGTGCGAAGCCTGGCCGGCCACGGCGTTCGTGTCCATTTCCACGGTGCGTATTTGGATCTCCATAGGAGGGCGCCACTCATTTTGATCAGACAGGTGTACAGCTAAGTGTAGACTTTCGTAACCATTCTGCTTAGGTTCGGCAATGTAATCTTTTAACCTTCCGGGTACCTCCTTCCAAATATGAGTGGCAACCTCCATAGCTCTGTAGCAACTTCTAATGCCGCGTTCTCTTTCTTCATCCGAATTACTTCCAGCTTTGGGTTCTAGAATCACACGAAGACCTAGGACATCAAATACTTCTTCGGGCTTCCTACCGTCCTTGAGAAGCTTCCTCATTGTGCTGAAACGACTTTTGTAACGACCTGTTATGGTAATGTTCTCAACCAACTCCTGCAACTCTTCGTCTCCTTGGAGTGCCGCGGACAACTGGTCTCTGCATTCATCCACAACCCCGCTTCCGTCCACCCAATGGCTCCTCAACCAGTTTTCGATGAAAGAATAAGAATCCGGAAATAAGACTCTGAAACCGAGGTCTTCAAGTTCGAGGCTCATTGAACCCGTACCTATGGCGTGAGCTAGGGGTGCGTAAATCTGCATAGTCTCCAGGGCCAGAATCTGCTGTCGATACCTCGGATAGGCATGAATGTGGCGCATGGTATCCAGCCGACTTGCAAGCTCAACGACCACTGATCGGATGTCATGAAAGGCAAGGCAGAACTGTCTCAGGGCCTTGGAGTTTTCATCATCCAGGGTCTCCACACGAGAAGGGATGTGCCTCACCCGGGAGCAGTCATGCAGAAGGCGAGGTATGCTTCCTCCGAGAGTTTTTTCAATTACAGAGTAGCTGATTAGACCTGCATCGACTACTTCTCTCAGTAAACCGGTACTGATAACCTCAGCGTCCATCTGCCACAAACACAGACTGTACGGATGAGCTGATTTCCCTCATTGCCTTGACAGACCTATAGCTCATTAATCATCACACCAAAAATACAAGCAACACCAGTTTCTAAACGTGAGCAACGAAAGCTACATATCATCGATTTCAGTAAGGGTTTGAACGAACCCCGAGATCGGCGAGAGTGTGGGCGACCGCGAGAGCTCTGCACAGTGGGGTTCGACCATCTACGTCTGCTGTTGGAGTGGCACTCTGCAGTGCCATCACCGAGAGCTTGAGAGCGCGCAGCAAAAGGTCCGAGTCACTACTTCTCACCAATTCAGGAGGGAGCCTTCCAGCCAGGCCATCCCAAGCAGCAACGAGTTCCACCACCCTCCTCCCTCCAGGAAGCTCTGCAAGGGATGGGGGCCCTCGAGGACCATTCCGGACCCAATCGTCCTGCCCATTGGGTTCACTGGCAAAACTGACCCTGGGCACCTGATCTGCCACTTCGACGTCAAATACTTCATTGGTTAGACTAGCTGCCATGGATTCTGACCTACTTCCGGAGTAAGAGTCACTTCTCGCCGACTGAAACGAAGGTCCACCTTGGGAGGGGATCTCGGAGTCAGAGCAGACCTCCGCACTACTACTTTGTCTTCTTTGAATCTCGCTGGAACCGATTCCTTGGAGGCTAGACTCCAGCAAAGTTCGTTCAACTTCTTCACGAGGAGCCCTGCCCTGGGAAACCTTAATATCGTCAATTTCTCTCGACACTTCGTCGTCGGACACCAAGCCCAGCTGGGTTTCCAAGTCAACCAAACCATTGTTTCCAACGACCTGAACGCGCCTTCTGCGTTCCCCAGTGGGCTGCCTCCTGGGACGATCTCTACTGCGCCTTCCTCCATCATCTACTTCTCTAACCGCTGTTTGGGTCCCATTATTCAGGGCATCCTGTACACGGGGCTGCAGTTCTAATCCAGGCTTTCTCCCTTTTAACGACGTGCTGTTTTCTCCGTTCCGTCCATTCTGCTTATTCGAGCTGTTCTGCGACCTGGACGACGTATCTGTCTTTATGAACGAGTAGGTCTTCACGAGGTTCACCTTGCTGTCTGCATAATTGGACTGGCACGCACCTCTCAAGGTTACAGACACCGAGTCCACATTGCCGTGACGCTCCCTAACATTGCTTCCTCTTCCCGACTTGAGCTGCGCGCAGACCAAGACACAAAAATAAGCAACCTGAACACTAATTGATCCAAGGCATCAGGCTGAGAGTCAGTTCATCTCTCCGAAAAAACACTCCGTGATGTAGACGCTTGCTGAATTCCAGAGCAGACGGTGAACCAGAGAATCTGGCCTCGGTCTGTGTCCCACTGAAGCAATTGCCAGCTCCCTACAAACTAAGAAATTGTAGGGAGGGACCATACAATACAAGGAGGCATTCCAGGTGAGGACCAATCAGATTAAACACAAAGAGGGTGACATAAATTAAGTCCGAGAATTGCACCCTGCGACAGGAAGACTACGAGGAAGCGATTCTCCACATCCTCCCCAATGCATGCGGAAAAGCTCGAGGAAAAAACCATTGTCCAGAGGTCGCCTTTCGAAGTACGTACAGACATGTCCTCGGAATAATCTCAAAGGAGGCCTCTATTTTGAAAATTGAAAGTGGTTGCAGTGACATTCGGCACGCAAGCTCCCACTTTCACAACCATTTTTTCAACAACCATCTCGAGAAATTTTCAGCACGGGAGGGCAAATTTTCGGGCACGGACGAGGGACAGACCGAAATACAGGCAGACAAACAGACAGACACTCTGAGTGACAGGACGAGCACCTGAGGAGGGCCTGGTGGGCAGCAAGGCGCAGCGCTTTTAACATGCAGCGAACCCATGCTATTGGCACATGCCTTCATCCCCGTTCGCTCCAAGCTCAGCGAAGATCAGCGAGCCCTGCAACGCGGGGCCTGGTAGCAGGGCCGACTCCAACCCCGCTCCGGAACAGCGTCAAATGGCCCCTACTCCCAAATCAACCACTCAAATCGATCGACGAATCTATCGGTAAATCAATCAATCAATCGGTCGATCAATCAATCGCCTACTCCGACGACCACTCCACACCGACCCGGCAGTGCCAGCGCCAGCCCCAGGCGCTTCAGATCAGATCGCTCTCAGACAACGAATCGATCCCGAGCCAATCGGGCGAGAATGCTGCTCAACTGCAAGAGTATCTATGTACAGACAGCGACTATCATACAATCAAACTCCGGATTCCGTGTACGAAAAAGCGGAGGGAAAAAAAGGGGCCAAATCTCGTCGACTGCCTGGGCCCGAAAACACGCAAAAAATGGAGCGCAAATATCCGATCGAAACCTCGGGCCGCCTCCGAAAAAGCCTTATAGCTGCGGACCCCGAAGCATTAGACCCCCCGCGATCGTACTCTCGGCAGGTCACGAGAGATTCGGGTACCGTCCACACTTGCCCCTGTTGACGGACGGCGACGGACGGATGGGCGACGGATGACGGATGACGGACCAGCGAGCCCTACTTCCGGCCTTGCTTCGCTCCTGGCCTCCCAGCCCAGAGGAGGGAGGGCCTTGCGGGGCAGAGAATCCTGTGGCCGCTCTGCAGCCGGACGCGTGGCGTTCATCTCCCCTGCCTAGGCCACTCATCTGAACCTACTTTCCGAGCCTCCCCGCCAGCTTCGGTCGCCGAACCCGTCCGTGACCTTTCATCTCCTTCGGATTGGTCTCGGTCGCCCCCACCCACCCGGGTCCACCTCTTCCCAGCCAATCCGCGTCCCCTTTAGGATTCTATTCTTCTCCTCCGTCAGACTCTTCGAGGCTTCGAGGCCTCGGCATGCGCCAGGTCACGCGTTCGACTCCCCGCTCCGAGTGACGACCAGAACGCCCCTCGCTTACATTATCAAAAATTATCCCTCCAAAAAGACTCACAGTCCATTTCTGGCCTCTCACGGGATTTTAACGTATTCCCCAGCAGGTTATCGGGTACCTTAGGCCACGAAAGAGCTGCACGCCTTTTGGGGACGAATTTATTGCCGGCGTAGTTCTAACGAGGGAATAATGGAATTATGAAAATGTCCAAAATTATTACTTTACTCCAGAAGAGGATGCTGCGCTGAGTTAAGGAGAGTGGGGGAGGCTCGGGGGAGATCGGATTATGTGGCACGACGAGTAATACGTGGACTGATGGGGAGGACTGCCAGTGGATCGGAGCCAGGGCACGGATAGAGCTGATGTGGGGTCAGGGGTCGCTTTACGGATTGAGGTGTGAGTTGGACAAAGTCCGTTAGCTGTCTGATTGGGGAACTTGTCACAAGGGCGAGGAGAGGCGAGTTCGTGGTTCCTAGCGAGGAACGATCGCGACCACAGCTTCAGGAGGAGCCACGTCGACGCACGACGCGTCAGCCACACCCGGTTTCCAGACCCTCTCGGGCCGAGCGAAGTGTGCACCGGGGATTCGAGGCTCCGCGGCCGTCGGATTGGCGCTCAGGCTCGGCAGGCGCGGGCCGGAGGACAAATATCGAACTCCGGTGACGTGGTGCCGTCGAAGCAACACACGCCCCGAACACCAACGTGTGGAAATATTCCCGCCCCCGCTGAACGTTTCACCGGCCGGATTTTACCTCTCCTGGATAACTGCATCCGTCACCGCTAAATGTGTTCTCGGCAGCTAGCCAGGTTCTATATCCGTCGATCATCTCTTGCAGTCATATCTTCAGCATTTCTGAACCATTTAAGGCCTCAATAAGATGAAACTTTTTTTGTATGGATATATCGCATCTCACCTTAAGATATGGCCGTCACTATGTTTACATGTATAATTTTAAAATATACACTATATAAATAATTCATTATTTGATTTCGTATTATGTAGCCTCACTATGTTTACGTAACAATTCATTTAATGTCATATCTAGAGGTGTTCTTATTTGATTTCGTGTGCTCCTTGTTATTTATGATCAACTATTCAAATTTCACCACAACTTGGACTTGTATTCCAGAAAGAATTTTGAACGTGAATAGATCAGCTTTAAGTACAAGTAGGAGATAATATTTGGTGTGAACCATTTATGTTATAGTATTGCTACAGGCTTAGTCTAGTTGTTGTATCTTTGTTATAAAATTTAATCTACTCATTGAACTATTCTCGGATGAAGTTGAAATAATCATGCACGTTCTTGTATCATATCAAAGTAAATAAAGCAGTGATTGAACAATATGATGGATTTTATTCACGAATATCTACACAAAACTCTATGGTACATTACATGATTCATGATCTTCTCAAAGATCTTGTGTAGATATTCCACTCCATTCAATCTTCATCAATTTCATTTGAATTTCCCAAAGTCTAAAAAGTCATAAAACAGTGAAAATTTTTGCTCTCCATTTGCATATGGTTTCATTTTGATGTTATTATACTATCATGATATGTTTCTAAAACTTTTCAATAACATCAAAATGAAACCATATGCAAATGGAGAGCAAAAGTTTTCACTGTTTTATGACTTTTTAGACTTTGGGAAATTCAAATGAAATTGATGAGGATTGAATGGAGTGGAATATCTACACAAGAAGTTCTGAGATACCTTTTTCCAAGTAGATGGTAACGCATTTCAAAATGATACAAAATTTATGCAATATAATTCTAATCCAAAGAGTTGGGATAATATTGGTGTTGAAAGAAAAAAAAATTATTTTAACACTATCCAGATCTACTTTATGATTTCATATTTTTTATCATTATGTTGTCTTGTCATTTCTTAATTACACTATTTTTTAATCTTTACTCATTATATCATACTTGTATGTTCTAACTTTTGGATCATCAAATGACTATCACGATGTTTTAAGGTTCAAATTAAAATATTATGGTAACATGCATGAATACCCATAGGCAATCAATGATGAACTTTACTTTTCTGAGCAAAAGATTATAAAGGTGTTGGTAATGATGATCATAAGGATGAAGTTTAAAATATTCATAATGAAACAAGGTGATAAGGCATGCGATCCTAGTTTTGATGCTTGATCAATCTGCGATTCATAGTATTAAGGAGTTTCGTGAATTTTAAATTATGTTAATTGATAAATTGTTATCTGTAAACATCATCCTGAGACTTATGCTCTAGCATGCAGATTTATTCTTGTGATGAATAGAAAATTCTAAAATAGCTGCGATCATCGCGTTACAAACCCCCCAAGCATCGCGGAGTGAGAGGCAGCTCGGACCGCTGATTTATCGAAAAAGCTATCGCGCTCCATCTGCTTGATAATGAGATCCAAGATTGTACCCGGTCTAAAGACTGATTAACTTTTACATGGATATAACCCAATTATAAAATCCATAAAACAGGAGGCCTTCATCATAGTTCGCATTACTATTTGAATCGACCTTTTTCACAGATGATTGAAGAAGCTTTATGCTGCATCTACTCATATCTGCAGAAAAATTTCTACAAGAACAATATTTATATCAAAAATCACAATTACCTCTAAAATTGTCCATACTTGCAACTCTTTGTTCAGATAACAGTCTCATGATTCTTAGCTCGACTGAGACGTGGACTGGAGGCCTGATAAGACTAAGTCCTTCATATTATCTAGTGTTTAATGCATGAACAACTGTTTCTGTCAACGCGAATCATCTCTCTCTGTATGGCTTCAATGTGCTGCAATGCGGTCACCTGACTCCGACGACGTTCACGTCAGTAGAGCCCAATCACTTACTGCTGATGTGCTCGCTGGCTCCTGCAATAGCGGTTGCTACGCGAAACAATTATTCGATTCTTATCAGTGTGTAGCGATTACTGAATGCAGTAATCGCTACACACTGCAAAACAAGCCCACCATTTTTTCATACTCATTGATGGCGCAAGTAAGATGCGAAAAATATAATGTGCTTAAAACTGTAGCCCGAAAAGGTCTGACGGACAAGATCATGTCCCGGACTCGACATGCTTTCATTCACACTTCAGATAAATGAAGGAAAATTTTAGACCGCAAAACCGGTAAATAGTCGATCCAAACCATTCCAGATCAGAGGAAGGTACTCGCAGACATTTCTTCTGGGGAGATGGACAGTCCTAAGTGAAAAGTTACATCACTCATCTCTTCTAGTTTGAAGCCTGCTTGACTAACACCTTCTCTAAACTAAATCACTACGTTACAGCTGCTGGGGCCTTTAGGCTACATACCAAAGCTCCATGTCAAGTACACTTGAAAGCCTTCCACTCAACTAGAGTTTAATCTCAGTCCAGCTGACTGCTCAACTGCCACTACTAGCTCAATCTTTCGTTAAAAGAGAAATACAACTCAGACTCAAACTCTAGAAACCGCTTACAAACTCAATTTTTCCCTACAAGTGTCATCAATCCATAGCCTACGCCTTACAATGGCGGAGCAGAGGCCTTCTCTATGTTTACATACAAGAGCTTCTGTATAATTGATCAAAATTCATACTCTGTAACCTATCAAAGGTAGAGCTGGATCAGTTCATCACTCACAGCCGAAGGAGTCAATATCCCAAGGTCCGTGAACAGAAGTGTGAGATACTGAGGCGGCGTATAGTCTCGTTCAGACGTCTGAATTTTAATATTTTCTTCCTGCGCTGGAACTGCTAAGTCTACAATGCGAGGGGTTGGTGACATGTCCATCTGGTCCAAGGGAAAGAGTCGAGCAAACTGCACAAGGTGACAAATACTTGGCAGATGTGTCAGAACAAATCTCATACAAGACTTAGTTTATCAAATCAAATTCCTACTTAAGGAAGCCTTAAATAAGATCGAGAGTAAGATAGACATAACTAAGGACAGTGGCATTCGACGTATGCATGAATACGAATCAGAGAGCATACATAAGAGCGGAGACCGAAGCAACCTCTCATTCTCGAATTTCTAATGACACAAGAAAAGAAGACAAGTACCTTGTAGCTTTCTGCTGCTACATAAACGGGCTTATTCATGCTGCGGGCCACCAAAGCAGTTTGGTATGTCCCAATATGATTGATAACTCCTCCACTCTCGACAACACCTTCCGCGCCAAGCAAAACCATGTCAATTTGTCCCATCATGTTTGCCACACCAGCATCAAGAATAAGCATCATGGGAATCTTCGCACCCATGAGCTCTTTGGCCATTTCCAATCCAGTATTGTCAGGCCTACCCTCTGCAGCAGCAAAAATCTCCGCATTCAGATCAAAGTAGATACGTTCAATACGCACGCGACAACTGTATGTATGAGAAGACTAGCTCGCAGACATCAGAAAATAACACGCGGGACCTCAATTTCTCATATTTCTCATGGTTGTTGATGAGAAGCAACTGGGTTTTTTCGATTCACTTTCTCATATTTCTCCTGGTTGTTTATAAAAGACAACTGGGTTACTTCAATTCCGTTGTTACCAGAAGTGGATAAATAACTATATATAACGTAAAAATTGTCGGATCTCAAGGAAAGCTTTCATGGCCTATCCTTATTAGGCTCGAATACGGTGTTCACCAAATGAACACAGAATCAGAGTTCCTCTGATAACCAACTACGAACTATTCCGTGATAACTCATCCTCCTCTTCTTGGTGTCAGCTCGACTTAAGCTTCAGGCAACAAGCAAAGCCAGCAGTACTTGTAAGAGAATTCTTGAAGCGAGACTACGAGGAGGAATGAGGACCTAGAAGACGGATCCCAGTATTCGAATCTGACAATGTACTTCCTCTCCGCATCCTAAACCTCACCTAACTATTCGTGGGATAGCCCTTTACATCTCACCTCCAGGAACTAGCTGAGTGCTCTCCAAGACTTCCAGGACATTCCTTGTCATGCTTTAACCTGTCTACAAGACTCAGCTTACTTAGTCGGATACCCATCCGAAAGTAGTTGCTAGGCGTGCCACCTCAACTTGAGCACAGCCAGGTCCGCCTTTCCTCAGACTTGAGAGAGAACTCAACCCGGATATCTATTCCTGCTGCGTGACAATGCTCAAAGCAATTGTGAGCCTAAGAGCAATCCAGTGTGAAACCACAACTCCACCAATCCGTACTCCACATTGGACCAGCCATTCCATATGAGACGGCGAATATGTAACACAATACGAACATGCTGTTGCACCTGTGCAGGGAAAAATCTGACGTAGCTATCAAGGTATGTAGCTATGGGTGATTACGTGATAATTGATTGTATGAGTCCCATAGGATTTTCCAGGAAACAATGGCTTTGTGGCGGTACCTCCCTACGAGCATTACTCTCCAAAACTCCCTCCCATCATTTAGTACTGTTGCTCTCCGAGACACCACGCAAGTACTCTTTTGAGTTCGAAGAGGCCAGCGTTGTCCAGGACTTCACTATACACCATCTATTGGGCATAAGACACTGTCAATTCCAGTTCCCAAGTTTTGCGATGTAAAATTCTCTTCGGTATCTCCGTAAACAAAATCGTCATGCCTCCAGTTTCCTGACCGAACTTCCCAACCTCGTCAAAATCAGCCGTGAACCAAAACTTTCATTCTCTGACGATAAAGTCCACATAAATAGCTGAAAACAGCGTTGAAAGTATTTCAAAGAGTATTAATCTTTCACCTACACCTTTTTCCAGTTGAAATAAATAAGTCCATCTGCCTGTTGTTCAGATCAGTACTTTCGCACCTGGACACACAGTCCAGGAACGGTCCACGTACTCTGTCCAAATCGAATATAACAGCCCTCCTCCACATACAGTATCACGCCCGCTTGAAAAACCAAGAGAGAGCAACGGCCAGGTACCCCTTCTATCCTCTGACTCTATAAAAAAGATCCACATGACAGTTTACCCTGAATCCTGCCTGATGGTCATGACTCATCTTACGGGCTCAAGAAAATTGCTGATGCGACAAATAAAGATCCGAGAAGAACATTGTCCAGCCCCATCCACGATAAGTATCGTCTCTGCTAACCTGGATCGCCCATTTCGCTCCTTTTGAAGAAACGTACTACCGTGACCGGCCTCGACCTTCTTACTTTGCAGTTCAATAGACTGCCGAGAATTACCTTGATCGACGATGGAATGTCTCATACCTTTTCAAAACTTCGATCAGCATTTCAACCGATTTTCTACGCGAGAATATTCTTTAGCACTATGCCTGTAAAACGTACTCCCTTTATTCAGCTTGATATGAAAACTGACCGATTAGACTTGATGTACTTGATTTTCCATCACCAAAGTGGCAATCATACCTGTGCAGACGACCTGGAATCGTTTTCCCTGTGATGCTGCCAACTTCAGCAATGCCAACACCACTCTAGAGTAGCCATGCGTGAGAATGAGGCTCCCATCATAGACGAACTCTTGACCCAGGTTGGCTATTGTCTGCCTAGCCTGCAGAAAGCAAAAGTTCGGGCTTCAGGTTTAACAAACGTTGGAGCACTTTCATGGTTCAAACAACTAGTAAAACTTTCATAGATCCAACTTGCAGGCCTCCGTCATCTCTACTGATGGAGCTTCTATCAAATTCATTCGAGAAAATACTGAACGGAACCCATATAACAAAGATGAGACACTACTCAGTAAGTGTAGACGCAAACACTTTCAAGTCTGATCTTACCTTCAAGGAGATTTCACCAAACTTTTCACCACGTTCAATAAGGCGAGACTTTCCTGCGCTGATATCCTCGTACTCTAAAGCAGATGTGCGAGTAACATAGCGCATGAAAAGATCACAGCCTGCAGATAAAGATATCGAGGTTTTATCCCACATCTGTGTAATGAAACCAAACGAAGCGTAAGGAAGTAGCTGATACACACTTGCAAAGCTACGTAAAGCAAATGGAGCGGTTTAATTCGCTCATTCCTGAAGTACATGCGCGAAACACATAAGAATTATCAAACCAAGAATGGTCTCACGCCTTCCGTTCAGAAAGCCTAGAATAGCACAAAGTCTTAGCTGGAGATATCTATCCACTGATTCTCAGGATAATCAAGAGGCAGCGGTCTGTTTAGTATTATGATAATTACACTAGTTATCCAACAGGTCTTCATGGGAGCGGCTAGTTATCCCTCACTTTAGGCTAATTATCCCTCACCCTACTATACCCTTAGGCTAACCTCCAACCGATCCATGTCAGCTTCGATCTGTGGCTAATCGTGCAGGCTTGTTTGTGATTCAGGTACGGTGAGGACTGAACCGAGTACTTGGGCCCGTTCTCCGGTGCCACCCCATCGTACTTGACCGGTGAGTTCCCCGGTGACTACGGGTGGGACACCGCCAGACTCTCTGCCGACCCCGAGACCTTCGCCGTGAACTGGAGCTGGAGGTGATCCACGCCCGATGGGCCATGTTGGGAGCTTTGGGATGTGTGACCTCCGAGCTGCTGGCCAAGAACGGAGTGAAGTTCGGCGAGGCAGTCTGGTTCAAGGCCGGATCGCAGATCTTCTCCGAGGGAGGTCTGGACTACCTCGGCAACTCTGGCCTCGTCCATGGGCAGAGCATTCTGGCCATCTGGGCCTGCCTCATGCTCGTGCCTCGTGCTCATGGGAGCCATCGAGTGATACAGAGTGGCAGGAGGACAAATGGGAGAGGTGAGCGACCCTATCTCCCCTGGAGGTCAATTCGACCCCCTGAACTTGGCTGAGGACCCCGACACCTTCGCCGAGCTGAAGTTGAAGGAGCTGAAGAACGGAAGGCTGGCGATGTTCTCCATGTTCGGATTCTTCGTTCAGGCTATTGTCACTGGCAAGGGCCCGATCGAGAACTTTGTCCAACCACTTGGCTGACTTGGTTAATTATCCCTCACCCTACTATACTCAGGTGAGGGATAATTAGCCCAAACTGAGGGATAACTAGCCGTTCCCGTCTTCATTCCCAAAAGCTCTTCTTGCTTAACAGTTAAGTAGTCGCTTTCGATTTGTGTACCTTGCTTTTTAACCATCTAATATATACAACCTGCGTATTGTCCCGTATTTTATATGAATACACCCTTGGTTGTAGGAGGAGATTAATGCAAAAGCAATTTGTACAGACAGCACATAAGCAACCAAAGGGGCTTTACGAAACGAAAGTAACAAAATATTCCACGGAGGAGCCACGGGAAGCAACTGATAACAAGTGCACGAACAAAAATTACTTAGCTAAACAACGAAATGTATTTCAATATTCAGGCTTATACAATGTTTGCAATCCTCGGGAGTAGAACAAATGTGTTTCGTAAACAGCCACAGCAAAAAATGCATCCCGAGCTTCAAAAACATAGAACAAAAGAAAGGTCCCGGTAAACTGTGAAAGGCAACGATTCGAGGACGTATGAAAACTGAAAGTGAGTATACTTGATATACAGATCACCATGCACCTGTCAAGGGGCGAATGCCAGATCCTAGCAAGGATCACATGCTACACGGAAAGACCACGATTTCCTCAGCACCCCGCATGGTGTCTAAGTAGCTGAATAAGAGCCAGTACCCCTCGTCATGAGTTTCTGTAATACTTACAAAGTAGTCAGGGCACGAAACATATAACACCAACCTTCTTGGCAATCAAATTATACATTGTCAGATCGAAACATGTCGAAACGAAGACCTCTTAAGCTGCCCCTTGCTTCAAATTGACCAGCCCGTGAACTGTCCCGGGGTGAATCGTCAATTCTGCCTCTCAAAGAACCACAAACTCCTCCCTACGAACATTCTGAAAAGGCTGAAATCCGCTCGCACACGTCACGCTGAGCTAATTCCACAATCAGCCAGCAGCATCTTCGACGAGACTTAAGGAAAAGACCTAACATCTTCGGAGAAGTAACCAAAATCGACAACGTCGGACAAAGATCTTAAATTCGTTCAGCAGAACTGACAGGTTGACAGACCCTGATCCAACCCACGTCTACAGGCCTACCGCTTCCCGACGACGATGAAAGACGAATCCGAAAGAACGAGGCGAAGAATTATGACATAAACCCTCGTCACGGGCACGAGGCTTGAAACCAATCACAACAAAAAGAAGTCCGAGGTGGCAACGGAAGTACCTTCAAGGTCTCGGCAGCCTTCTTCAGTTCGATCTCCAAGCCCATCATAGTGGTCGCCTCGCTACGCCGAATCACGCAAGTGAGCGCCTTGATGGCGGCCACGGCTTCGGCCAGTTCGGGTTTCTGGCGCCAGATGTTGAACTCATTGATGACACTGAAGCGCGACGAGGCGTGATCGCCGTTCATGGCAGCCTCTGCCGATTGCGCAGCCTTGTCGAGGAAGGGCTGGAACGCGTCGGACGAGCCATTGAGTCTGGCATCCTCGGCCTGCGACAACCACTCGAAGGTCACGGGGCCCGTCAGCAAATTCGAGTTCAGCCCCATTCTCTCGTCGTAGAAGGGCGACGACTCGGTCTGCACGTTGTTAACCGCCATGCCGCCCTCCTCACTGTCCGCCCGCGAACTCGAATTGTCCAGCGACGGATCAAAAAGCAAAAAGGGTGACCTGCGCATTATTACCGGCGCGCTACGCCCGCTCGGCCCTGCGCGCTCCTCATCCCCCGCCTCCCCCAACCCCAGCCCCAACCCCTGCCCCCGTGCGTGCGAGCGATTTGGTCGCGCCCATAAACCCCCGCCACTACCCCTAGCGCTCCGCTCCGCTCCTCCTGCTGCCTTCGCTTCGAAGCTTCGGATTTCTCTTCGCTTCTCTTCTCGCTTGCCTTAGCCCCCTCCTCGTCGTCGGCTGCCAGTCCGTCGGCCTGATGTCATTTCGCCACCGGCCGCGACCGGATGCCAGGTCGACAGAGCGACCAGAATGTCGAGCATTCTCTGGGCTCGCCAGTCTCGAGCGACGGGCTATCGGGCGCCCGCGCCTCGCGCTGCACCTTCGAGGCGCAGGCCCTCAACGGCAAAAGCGAAGCCCAGAGACGAGGACGAGGAAGCTGCCAGCCCCCGAGAGGAGAGGAGAGGAGAGGAAGGGGGCTGCGGGTGGGGCTGGGGGTGATGGGGGAAGAAGAGAGACGGGGGCAGAGCTGAGTCCGAGGACCGCAGCGGGGGAAGCGGGTGCGGGAAGACCAGCGCTGCGCTTTCCGTGGATACACGACACCGCGACCGGCTTGAGCCGCAATCCACGTCACGTTCGGCTCAGGCGCGCCGGAGCCGGGTCCTGGGGGGAAGACTTGCGCCACTGACAGGTGTCGGGATCGGGGGTGCTTCGCTCCACACACGTCAACGTCAGATCCATCGCTGTAGGCTAAATTTAGGACGCTCTGCAGGCCATAATGGGGGAATTTAAGCCCTCGTCTGTCATTCGAGGGCTTCAATTCGATGGCCCTCGATTCGTCTTTCTTCGTATTTCGTCCCGATCTTCGCCACCTCCGTAACCCTTCTTCGGTCGCTTCTCTCTTCGTTACTGACCGACGGATGTCCATCGTGATCTCAGCGCCCGACGAAACTGCTGCTGCAGTACTGTACTTGGAACGTTCGTCAGTACGTACACGGAGATGAGAATAGTACACATCATTTTATCTGGAATCATCGAAACTCGTTCCCCCAGCGAGTAGGACCGTGAGCGATTGACAATCTGTCCACCCTTGGAAGAACAGCCGGTGGCTGAAACTCCATGAGAATAGCAGTAATCGATGTAAGGGATACACCTTTCCAGTTTGTCTACTTCTGCGCGCTTTTGACAGAGATTAGTACCAATTTGGACCAAATAGATTTCTGTACACGATTCAAGAGTGATGTCCTCAAGCTTTTGCGGTTTCTATATTCAATACCTTCCATTGAAATCAGATTACATGTTACATGAAATCATTACATATACATGTATACAAATATATACAAGTACTATAAAACCATCAGAGAGGTTTGTAGTTCTACGGAGTACATGAAGTTCACACCTCCGGCTTGGTATGTACAATTCTAATGTACAGCATTGTATTTTTTCTGTGGAAGGTTTAAAATGATCCTCTCCTTATCAAATATAAATGATAAATCAAAGGTTTGAATGGATTGCTTCTGGTATCTTGGAACAGATGTCTTGCATAAAATAGAGAGTTGAGTACAGAATACGTAACTTGAATTATGCTCCTTGTCATCTGTCAAACTTCGCTGAGGGAGAGAGGAGCTGCATGGAAAACAAAGTGGTGCACAAGCAATTCTATAGTTTAGCACTTTTGCATGTGAATTTCTTTTTATGGAAATGTGATGGAAATAACATGAAAACATTTGAACCAAAAACGGGTCATGTTTTCCTCGTGGAGGAGTGGTATTACGATAATGACTACATTGCTCGGATATGTTTTCTATTGCTGATTCAATCCTTCCATAACCAATGAAAATTCATACATAAACATAATTCCAACAACTTTGTTTTTTAATATACACACGATGAAAATAAGAAATAAATGTATCACATTAACTCAATCAGATACCAAAATCTCCACAAGTACAGAAACATTATTAATCATATGTATATATTTTGACCTGCTCAAGTTTTAAAGATAGATAGATAAATATATATATTTATGATCCAACCTGCCTATCATAAACATCCAAACCATACTATCAAATGCTCATTTCTATGAATTGAATATTAATTACACCAAAGATTCACTTCAAAAACTACTTCACTCCAAATAAAACTGACTTTTACACATTCAAACCATACTCTCATGTGCCCATATCTTTAAACTTCACATCGTTTACAATAATGTTGCCTCTATTGTGAGCTGGTATCTAAAACGTGTTTTCTTTTTATATCATTTTAAAGCCAAATACTACTATTATTATTATTCTCATATTGTACCATATACAAATTGTATTTGTATATGCATTAAGTAACTTACATATGTCATGTACATATGTGTTATTAATAGTTAGTATTTGATTAAGGTTAACTCTAGTTGAGCTAATACTAGGTTAGTGCCCACTATTGTTGGAAAATATAGTTACATGAAAACTCAAAGAACTTTCAATTCTTCTAGTTGAGTACTTTAGCGTAGGGAATAGCTCTCATTGGGTTGGCTATGGTGTATCGATATCATCAACCTAGATTTTTTGAGTTGTGGAGTGAACTTAACTTGACTTTATGTAAGATTTGTGTTTCAAGCTAGTGAGATTTGCATAATTGTGTTCAATCAAAGAACTAAATGTTGGCACATGTTGTGCTTTATTCCACCTATTAATGTAGTTTATGTTTGACGATGAGTTTGTACTCGATGTACTTAGATTGATAGATCACTCAATCTACATGTTGCATGGATTGCAAATAGGTGACTAACGATGGAATCTCTATTGCACCCGGCATAATGATTCTTGCATCCACAACTATCTAGAAGTTGGAAGTACCTAACCACCAACTAGTATCAAAAGTTGTGATACATTTGTGAATATGTATGTTCTACTTCCTTATATATGTGTGTTTAAGTACGGCATGTCAATAATGTATGTTGTATGACGATAGCTATTTGCATCACACATAACTGGTTGTGTCATTACAAAGTCACTATATAAGTTTTACATATGTAATCAAATCATACCTTAAATAAAGTATCAAATGAATTTAGTTTTATGTAAAATCCTTGTAAATTAACATGAAAATACTTTGAATTATTAACATCATAATCTTATTACATACATTGAGACATTGTTACTCATCTTTCTTTTTTATAGTTAGCAAAATTAATCAAATCTTCAAACAAAACTTTCAATATAAACTCAATTACTGAGCATTATATGATGTAAACTTCATTTAGATATTTGAAAAAAAAATTAAGAAACAAACATCAATATATATATATCTTACATTATATTATTCAATTTTTGAATCATATCAATATGTTACCAGATACATTGAATATATTGTTATAGATAGTTAAGTGTTAAAAATTTGTACCGGAGTGTACAAGAATCAGAGACAATAATCACACACATCAATGTAAGTGATTCGTCTCCACATGTGACTACTTTCACGGGCGAAATAAAAACGTCACGAAATCAAAAATGTTACATCATGCCTTCATACCTCATTTCTATATTATCTCTCCCGCACATGTCCATGTGAAATTTAACTGAAACGTGTTTATTACAAGATTAAATGTCTCAAATACTAATTGGAGATCAAATCTAAGTACAGTTAAACCAACCGCATTTAACAAGATGCAGATTAACATTACATAGTATTATTGCTGTCAGTTATTGACTATATTTATGAATCCAATTTATAAACACAATGAAAACATATATATATTTAAATATTTTTTATTCAAACATGAGATTTCAAGTATTAAAACTTTCATATTGAATCTTTAAGTACTATAAACACAAAATTGTAATTATAAATATCAAAATTCATAGTGAATCATGAAATTCATAATTGTTACAATTATGTGTGATTTTCAAACATGTCTGACATAAAATATAATGTACAATGTGATGCAAAAGTATAATTTTGCATACTTTAAGAAATAAAAATTTGTAAGCAGGTTAACTTTTAATAATTGTTAAAGACATGTGACTAATTTAATCAATTAAAAACCATATTATAATGAAAATATACATTCTATCTGAATATTTTCATTGATTCAAAAATAAATAATTTTATAAATTCATTAATAATATCTTTAATATTTTTAGTTGACAATTCACATAAGTTCTATGACATTTCATTTTTTATTAAAAAATGTAAAAATATTTATTTAAATCTTAATTAAAATTTGATTACTAAACTATCAAAATGAAATGAATGATATATCTCATCAAATGATTGTAAACACATTAATCATAATTGAGTATGATTTTATATTAAATTCACAGATTATATATATATATATATATCTGCAAACGATTATATTCTGAAATATATCATAAATGTTCATATTTGTGGCAAAATCTGATTATTACTCAATCAAGTGTAATGTTGATAATTTAAAATCTTATATATAAAGAACTATAATTATTTATGATATTCAACATTTACATTCATGAAAATCAAATTTGACAATAACTGATTTCACTTATTCATGAATTATTGATTTGTTTGTAATAAAAGATGTATGTGAGTATTATTCTTAGAAATGTATCACAATTTAATAAACATTAGATGTTAAATCATTAAATATGTTTCAATTTCCTATGAAAAAAAAGTGTTATTGTAGTAAATTGTTTTTAAATATTTTTTTAAAAAATATTCATTATTTACATTTTGATAAATCTATTGTATTAAATGATATGAAATTTAATATGTTGTTTATTTGTTCAACCAATATTTTCATCACTCATGATTCTTACTGTGTTTTTTTTATTATCATTAATAAATAAAACTTTAAAATAAAATTTCATGTTTTTATTCTTATATAGGTAAACTTTACATTTCAAGAATACATTTAGTGATGTTTAAAATATCTTGGAAATTTTCTAACTCTTAACTAATTTGAAAATGATTTGCTAACAATAATGTGTATTTTATTTTAAAAGTGTTTTGTCACTCTCATGTGAGTTGAAATAAATGTAGTTTGCAATTTTGAAAGTATCATTCAAATGCTTATGATGAAATAAATATTTTCAATCAATTAAACTTTCAAAGATATATGTGTATTATTACTATGTGTATACATTATTAATGTAAAATATAAAATATATAAATTTTATTTTTTATTTATGTTGTTATTTTTTCATTATTTGTGAGTTTATTATTTTTTTAAATGTATTTCAACTTGTTTTGAAAATATTTTGCAAATTTAAAAGAAATATTTATTAATTTTTTATCTGATGTAAAATTATTTAGTCAAATTAATATCTTTCAATTTATACGTGTGTGAAATGTTATTTTTAGAAGATTTGATATAATTTTAATATCATTTGAATAAATATCTTATAAATGGACTTTTTAAAATAATTTTATGTATATGAGTATTTTGAAACTGTTTGAATTTTTATAATGTCTGTATTATAATTTATCAATAAACAATTGATTATGACAGTGTCAATTTTTTATCTTGTCAAAATATCTATGAATGAAAAAACCCTAGATAATATCAGAACTTGTTATTATTGTGATGATTTACGAAAGTATACATATTAATTGAGCATATTTTTGATTATAAAAAATGGAATTATTTGCCAAAATATGAAATGTTGTTTATCTGGTTCAAATTAAAAAAATAGTTTGTAATAATAGTATCAAATTCATTAATTTATACATCATTGATTACAAAATTGATTTTTTATGTACATTCATAAATTTAATCAAAATGTACATGTTTTAATTGTATAAGTATGTTAATGACAAAAAATAACCACTTTTGAAATCAAGTTATCAAATACAAAAATAATATCATTTTAGTGTATTGCTTTGAAGTTGGTTAAAACTATAAAGTAGATTATGAATGTGTTTTTCTAAAAATTATGTTTACATTAATTTAAGGAAAAATCACATTGAAATTGTGCAGCATATAACATGTATAATTCTATTAATACTACTTATGTTTCTTGATCATTGAGAATGCAAAGTTTATTTTACCACTAAAACCAATGCTTTTCATATGAGTAATGTGAAATTAGTTTTATAAAATCATTTATATTTTTGTTTCAGCAAGTAAAATTGAATGAAAATATCAGTACAACGTTGATAATGAACACAATATATGTGTTAGATTGATTGTTCTTGAATATGGTAGTATGCTTTGCATTAATTGATGTTCTTTTTATTCATGATGAAAATAAACAATTGATTTTTTTTCTCTAAAATGTGTGAAACAATTACTTGATGGTACTAATGCTTAACACAAATACCGTACAACATATCATTTTATGAAATAAGACTTCAACAACTTCACAATATCATCAATGTTTTAAACAGAGTTTTTAAACTATATGTAGTGGGCAGTAGTGTGGGATAATAATCAAAAGAGTTTTTGTAATTATATGTTGTGCACTCTAGTGTGGAAAAATCATAATGAAAGTTTTATAATCATATGTTGTGGATTATAATGAGGAAAAATTATTTTCCTATAGATCTATAGTTTGGAACTAGTTTGTTTGTACTCTTAAGTTATACCAAAATCTTTTACTAAATCAAAGAATCATCTTTACACAATTGAAACGGTGATTGTAACTATATCATGTGTTTTATAATGTGGAAAAATAACTATGCATATCGAACTATAGTTGGTGGCCAGTTTGTATATATTTTCAAGCAATAGCAAAATCTTTTGCGAACGAAAGAAGCATTTCATGCTGTTGAAACAATGAACAAAGAACATGCAAAATTGACATCTCTACATCTTCTATGTATGTTATGTTTTGCGGTGTACAAACATCTACATAACATACTTCCGAAGTGCAAATGTCAAAGTATGTTCAAACAAATATCCCACGGTTAGTGCTACACATATGACTTCGACATAATCTCCCATTTGCTCAAATTTCGAGTAGCTTAACACTGATTTCCCACAAGCGGGCACAGCTCAAGAACACCATAAGCGTATTTGCTCCAAAATTCAGAATGATTGTGATCAAATGCAAACTTAGAGCGACAATTGAGAGAGAACACTATCAAATCAATGTATCAGGCCATGATGATTATGGAGTGAAAAAAATTTTCAAATTATCACAATGAACTGCAAAAAAAAAATGCATATCTGTTGTGTCAAAAATGAAGTTCAAAGAGTTGATAATAGTGACTTAAAAGTTTGACATCTTGTTAATTCCTTGTTGTAATTTGTGTCACGTGATTAAATTGATTCATTATAATAATCAATTCTCTTGGCCACAGTTTTGAGTCGTCAAAGGAATTGGAACTTGAGATAAGAAATGTTGAAACAAACAATAAATCATTTGTGTTTTACGGACGTAGTTCGATATTAGAACATAGATGATGATTTTCTTTTGGTGGGGATCAAATTGTATAAAATGATACTTGTAGATTTCCAATAGACTATTTGTGTTAAGCAATGGCAATTTTTTTTAATGTGTGTAGACATGTTGAGATAGTGAAGTTACATTCTTACTTTGGATTCAATGTACATTTCACTCAATTTATTATAATGTTCTAACAAGTTATATCAATATACACCAAAATCCCTATCTATATTAAATGGTGATTTAAATATGGTATATTATGGTTGTTACGAGATCCAAATTCGGAAAACTTGTTAAAATGTAAGCAATCGAACAAAGCTTGCTGGTTTGAATCATAAAAGAGTAGGCCGAAATTAGCCTTCTTGGATTTAAGTTATAAATCTCCAAAACCTAGTTTGTTTAACGGTCTTTGACACATGTTTCCTGGTACTAAGCTTTTCAATTTTTTCACATCCATGTACTTAGACACACACACCTAGATATAAATAAAAAATAAAAACATAAATATATCTTTCTCAGAACTCATAAATGCATGCACAAATTTTTAGGCAAAATGAACAATAGGTCGAATAAGTCACTAGATGTGTACACCTAAAGGTTGCTTCAATATTAGGTGGCCTCAAGCTCCCGTCCACTCCACTTGGATGATCTTCACACCACAATCTCATATTCTCATCGTATGACCCCACGACATCGTCGGATCCATTCGGCGAACATTGTCAGCGCAGGTGACAGTTGCCAATGCGTCGCTGTAATGCGATGTAACGACTGCAATAATTTGCTAGCAATTCGAAATAAGAATTAGAGGGAGCGAATTACTTGGAGGGGGCAGGAGTACAGGTCGTTAACGGGAGGGGGGGGGGGGGCTGAGGACAAAAATTAATCTGTTATTATCTGCCGTGCAGAGAGAGGGTCGGGGGATGTGGTACAAAATCGCGAAAGCCGGTAACAACTCTGTAGCTAATCTGAACTGGATCGATCTGGTATTGACGCCTGTGAGCGAGGGTGGCCACATGACATCTGTCGGTTAGAAAGGGGCGGAGGACGTTCATCCGGGGGCTCAGAGCGGTCGCGGCCGCGGTCGCGTGCATCCACACACTCGCGCTTCGCCACCCCCTTGGCCCTCGCCCTCCCTCCCTCCCTTCGGTTCCTTGCTTGCTGGGGGCTGGGGCTGGGGCAGGGGCTGGGCTTGGGGCTCTTTGGCTCTTTGGCTCTTTGGCCCTTGGGGCCTTTTGCGCTTGGAGGGTCTTGCGACGCTTCTTCTCTGCCTCCTCCTCCTCTTCCTCTTCATCATCGGCTGCTGCTGCTGCTGGTCCTCCTGCCTCCCCTTCTTCTCCTTCTTCTTCTCCCTCGCCCTCTTCTTCTGCTTTCTTCAGCTGGGACGGGTTTGCGCCCCCTACTTCTTCGCAGTTTGGCGACCAGCAGCACTTGGTGGCTTTGCAGCGTGCGCCTCGAGCGAGCATCCGATACGCGCACTGCGCGGGCTCGTCATCTTGATCTTCATATTTGTGGGAGGATTCTCGACGTGGAGCGAGAGTGTGGCGGAGAGGACAGCGGTGGAAGGCAGGCAGGCAGACAGGCAGGCACAGGAAGGAAGGGCGAGGGCGAGAGGAAGGCAGGAAGGGACGAAGGGGCAGAGGACGAGAACGACGACGACGAAGAAGAAGAAGACGCGACCGGGGCTCGACGGAGGAGGAAGAGGAGGAGGAGGGAGGGTCGAGGAACCCTAGAAATCACCGAGCACGAAAGACGCAAGAAAATAAAAACGGCTGCGCGGAGCGGGACGAATCTGCCCAAGTCTCTCTCTCATCTTTTTCCCCCATTCTCTCTCACACTCTTCTCACTCTCTCTATCTCTCTCCCGTCACTGCTCCTCCACTCGCGGGTCGTAGCGTGTTGAGTGTCGTCGTCCTCCCTCTCTACACGACATCTCCACTCTCAGAAGTCTCTCTTCTTTTACTCCTTTGGTGTGTGTGCGCAGACAGAGACGCACAGGCTAGACACGGGGCAGAAAGAAAGAAAGAAAGGCAGGCAGAGCAGAGCAGAAAGCAGACAGAGCAGAGCAGTGCAGAGCAGAGTTGGTTGACGGTAGGAGTGTGTAGCCGGCCAGGCCAGGATACTTCAGGAAGGGCTTGCTTGTTCTCTATCTGGGGCGTGTAGGTGAGAGCGTTGCTGCTGCTGCTGTTGCGCGGGCTGCTGTGTCGAGGCCATGGAGGCTGATCAAGAGCAAGATGCAGGCATGTCCGACGCTGCGCCTGATTTGAATGAACAGGCCACGGACTCAGCCCCGGAGCAGCAGCAGCAGCAAGCGCAGGAGCGCGCGCAGGACAGTTTTGAAAATGGAGGGCCCGATAAAGATAACGATAACGAGGATAAGGTAGAGAGTGATTCCAAAGGATCGCCAGACGCCTCCACAGGAAAATCGTCCAGTACAGGGTTAGTTGCCAGTTCAGACTCCTCTAGTGTACCTTCCAGCTTTAGATTTAGCTTTAGCCTTCGTTTACGTCTAGAGTCTGTTTGTGGTATGGTTTGCTCATGTCCCAGGGGGCGGGGGAGTGATAGGTGAGGCACCCTTCTACTCTAGCTAACGTATATCCGTCGTCTGATAGAGGGAAAATCTTCATCGGCGGCCTCTCATGGGACACTTCCACAGGTGTGTGCCTCCTTTCACCATCCAAGATTGCTCTCGTGTCAATTGTCAGTGCTGCAATGATGGCGTCGCCGTGAATCCCCGCTCTCATGTCTGCCTGCCTGCACACCCCAATGTCGTCGTCACGTGCTGCTGATGTGCTTGTCGTGAACGATTGCCGTGGCGTGGTTCTTATCCCCGGGCGGGTTCGGTTCTTTCAGCCGTAGTTTTAATTCTCGTCCATGAGGTATCCTGCATCAGGAACATCACACGGACAACCGGTGATGTGTGAAGAGGTCTTTCTGTCAGCACACGCCCTGTTTCTCCCCCTTCTGACTCTAATGTGGTGTGAACGATACCCAAACGTCAAGTGATGCTCAGTCAAGCTGTAGTATGGTCGTATGACCAGCAAAAGCTGTGATGGGGTTGGTTTCACTCAAACGCCTGTTGTTCGGCTCTTATTGGAAAATAAACCATGGTCTCAGCAGGACTTTGCTGTCCTTCTGACCTGCTCACTCCGTTGCACGCATGATAACTCTCCAAGTGCATACAGCTTCACATTAAGACTATATCACCCGGTAGTAGGTCTTGTTCAGCAGCACTGTCCACTATTTTGGAATTTCAGCAGTTTTATCGTCAGTGAAGGCTGCATGTCGTTGGGAAGCAACCGTCATTTGTCTTTACTAGACCCTTTTCTACTGGATAGTAGGCCCGTCAAGGTTCTGGCATAGAATGAAAGATAGCTACTAACACACTAGGAGTCTGTGTGTGGGGGAAGAAAGGCGCGTATGAAGTGCTCACCTTGGATTACTGGAAGTTGGTCAGTCGGAAGAAAAGAGATGTGTTTGCACAAGGACCTTTTGACTGAGTTTAAAGGGTTGAACAAGAAAAAGAAAAATTGTCTTTACTCCTTTGAACGCGGCTATGTCTCATCTCAAGGTCGCTTTACCATCTTACAAAGCGAACTTGATTCGCATGCTGAGTCTCAGAATAGTCATTCAACTAACCACACACGCTCTTACAGTCGAGTAGAGAGGTTTTGTTCTTGCTTGTGTCCTCAATGTGCAAGGTTGTTGCTTCTACCTGATTTCTGTTATGGATATAGGGATACACGTCACGCCGAACTATCCCTAGTCCCCTTCTGTTATAGTTTGACACTACGTATGTTCGATGTGACCAGACAATTTAACGAGCCACTTCAAGAAGTATGGAGAAATCACCGATGCCGTGATTATGAAAGACCGGAACACTGGACACCCTCGAGGATTTGGATTTGTCACCTTTGCCGACCCACTTGTTTGCGACAGGGTCGTTCAGGACAAGCATGTGATTGACGGAAGAACGGTAAACAAATCTTCCTACTAGATATTATAGGTCTAACTCTTCTGGTCTACTCTTCCTTCGTAACAAGCTTTCTTTGTTCTGTACCTTCCCGTGTGTAGATTTGCTCACAGTGTTGAGATTTCCTTTGTTTGTCAGGTTGAGGCGAAAAAGTCGGTGCCAAGGGAGAATATGGCTTCCACCAAAGGACCTAAGACCAAAAAGATTTTTGTGGGAGGTATCCCTCCTTCAATCACTGACGGTAAGGAACGACGGAAACATTTCAGTTTGATTTCTAGCATTCATGGTATGCACATTGTGGATTGTGCCCAAAACTACTCAACTTTAGCTTTCAGAACCCGGAATGAGAAATATAATCTGTCTGACAGTTTGACGGTGGTTTGGTTTCAGACGAGTTCAAGAGCTACTTCACTCGATTTGGTAACGTTGTCGAACATCAGATCATGCAAGACCATAGCACAGGGCGTTCTCGAGGCTTTGGGTTCGTAACCTTCGACAGTGAGCAAACAGTAGAAGACATTCTCGCCCAAGGAAAAATGCACGAGCTTGGTGGGAAACAGGTAAGGAGCTCAGGTCTAGCTGTAACTGTGACATTGTTTCTTGAAAATTACTATGCCCTCTTTCACCGATCGAGGCCGATTCGGTCAACCTGAAATCCCAGTCCGTAACTACTATATGCCCACCTGCTTTCTCAAGTGTTTTTCGGAGACCTTCAACATTCTTGCAGTTTAAGCATGCACGTCTGTACAAACCACGATGCCCAGGCCGACCCTGAACTGGATCAGGGTTGGGAACCTCCTTGATACGAATACCTTCAGCTCCCAAATGTAACCAAGCTCCTCTATACGGAAGCTCTTGTCTATGTGGACTAGTCATCAAACCTATGGAAAAGATAGTTAGCCATTTGATGAAAGCGGTTCGTCACTCAAAGATTGCTGGAATGCATCCTTTTGCTATATTAAATTTCCTCCTATCTGTAAGACTGACATAACTGTAAAACCAAATGGTACACATATCCAAAAGTCCACAGTAAAAATCCCACGATTTTTCCATGTTCTCGGTGAGCATTAGTGCACTGGACTGACTGATATTAACATCATAACAGGTCGAGATCAAGAAGGCCGAACCAAAGCGAACCACGCAAGAAACTGGCAGTGCCTATCCGGGAGGAAGGGGAGGAGGGTATACAGCTGGGGCCAGCGGTGGCTATGGAGGTTACGGTGAAGGCGCTTACGGCGGAATAAGCAGCGCCTACGGTGGAGGTGGATCGTACAGGTCGGGTGGCTACGGTGCAAGGGGAGGTTACGGTGCCGGGTACGGTGGTAGTGGATACGGAGGCGGCTACGGCGGCAGTGGTGGATACGGAGGGGGATACGGAGGAGGAGGCCTAGGTGTTGGTAGCTACGGTGGCGGGTCCGTCGGGGCTGGATACGGTGGCAGTCTGGGGTCATACGGAAGCTCGCTGGGCGGCAGCGGTTATGGCAGCGGCATGATGAGCGGCTACAGCGATGGGGCCGAGGGCTACGGTAGCATGGGGTACGGGGGCTACAGCGGCAGCGGCTACGGGGGCTACGGAGCGAGCGGGGGATACAGCTCGGGGTACGGCAGCAGTCGTGCGTACGGGGGCGGAGGCGGAGGCGGGGGCAGCGGCACCAGCAACGGCCGATACCACCCATACGGAAGGAATTAGCGTAGCCTTGGGCGTCCACTGATAAAAAGACATTTGCACTGTTAAAAAGACATGTGTTATGTTGTCGAATTTAGTCCTAGATCAGGTAGATGGTGTCTTATATCGAAGGCACAAGAGCAAAATATGAAATGCGGAGGTCTGAGGGGAAATTGTGTCTTGTAGGGTAGGTGAGTCAAGCAGCAGATGTTCAACCGTCATCTTTGTATTGACTTTAGTGGTCTTCATTTACAAAATTTTGTGTCAACCCTTCTCCATTTTCCGTCGTGAGCCGCTTGTCGTCATCAAGACACTGCGTTGCCGAAGGTACTATGTACAACGAGACTTGATAGAGTGACATGCCGTCCCTATCCTCATGTGAATTACGTTCATTCTCGAGAAAAGTTGTTGCTATCATTTGACGTTTTGATGGAATTTTGGAAACAATCGTCTTGGACGAATTTAAGTAATTTGCCTCATTCATTCCTCGTGTTTGAGGAGACTCTGATTTGTCTTGACCCACCTGTGAGTTCTCATTTATGCTGTATCACCTGAAATGGGAGTGAGAGCTTAAGTTTTGCTTACCTCGTGTTGACAGCAGCGGTTCTGTAAGTACGGAGTAATATCGTCGAGGCATGGTCGTAGTGATCCGGTCACTCCTATTCCATCTTTGTCGTTCCGGATTAGATTCAAGCTGTTGACTCTGTTATCGACCAGCGTCAGGCGGCGTGGTCTAAATTGATTCTGCTTGACTGCCGTGGGCCTACCTCTGCAAACTAGGATACCACTTTCGTGTTAGAAAGGTTTAGGGTCGGATAAATACATAGCCACTCAGAAAATATCGACCTCAACGAGTGTATTTGGTATTAAACAACCAACTTCGTGGAATGTTGTCATTAGTTGGATTCTGACGGTAAGGGTGGAGATGTGTTAGCTCTGTCGATGGAATGAATGATAGACTATGTGACTAGGGTAGATGAGAGGTGTTGAACAACTGTAGGTCACACGTGTACCAAGCACCCCTAACACGAGAATTATTTGAGGTGTGTATAAGTTTTCAATCCGGGGCAACCGGTAGTAGTCTACACGAGGTCGAGCGGATAATATGTTGGGGATTGTGTGGGGTTTGATGTCCACAATGATGGTGGAAATGAAAGAATTCTAGTACAAGGTTTGTCATTCTGCAGGGCTTATCACTAGATTTTCATCAAAACTCAAGATACAAATCTGGATTTCGTAAATAAGAAATGTGAACTTAATTTTCCAACTGGCTAAAGTTATAGCCAAGAGTAGGGTTAATAACTGTCGACTGTATGTCCAAGATTGTCACTCAAATCTTTGACATCTTTGACGGCTGTGTCCTCTCCATCTAGATTTTGTAAAGTAGGCTAGGATTAAACCTTAGCCATACACGTATACACAAACTCCCATTGCATGCATGATGTGAATCGTCGATCAACAAAGTTTACATTATAACATAATTACCGGAATCAGTAATATTGGCTCGTATTTGTTGTAATTAATATATGCAGGCATATGCAAGTTATGCGACAAGATTACTGAGCGCCTATAGTTTTCGTTAGATAATCAGAAACGATTTGCGTTCTATTTAACCAAGCGTTATCATATACTGGAAGTAGTTCCCCTGGTAAATTATCAATAATTAATTGGTGATTAATCGAGGATTTATGATCTAATTTGACTGTAATTAGTCTGTTAGAATTAATAATAGAAACAATTCTACTTCTATTAAAAATTATTTTTTAAACAAATTATTTTTTATTTGTTATGGTTAGGTTTATCCAAACTAAAAATTTTTGCATATAAATTACCATGCCTACTATTCAGAAATTAATTAGAAATAAAAGACAACCAATCGAAAATAGAACAAAATTAATTAGAAATAAAAGACAACCAATCGAAAATAGAACAAAGTCACCAGCACTTAAAGGATGCCCTCAAAGTAGAACAGTAGTACTCAAAAGTCTCTGGCTTCGGCGCCTAAACTAATGCTGGCAGTCAACGTCAATTGTATCGCTATGTAACACTCTGGTAAAGTGTAAAGTTCTTTGATAAAGTTCAAGAGAGTAATGGTTGTTTTCCTTCTAACGGTGCAGATACTAGCCTGTGCAAAGTTGAAGGAGGTTCAAGAGGTAATGATTTTTTTCCTATTACGGAGCAGCTACTAGCTCGAACTCATTGCAGGGCAAGAATTATGAGTACAAAAGAGATTGTAGACCGTCTGCAAAGGGGACAAGCTCACACCTCACATATCCCAAATCTATGAATCTTACATTGCAAAGATGGTTCAATGTGGACGCACAATGTCACAATCCTTGGAAGTCAGGACTCTGCGCTATGTAAAACAGTATGTTTTTGCTCCATGGTGAAATTAAGCACTGGAAGTTCCAAACCCTATTAAGGAACACTTTTGTATGAGATAATAGCCGCAAAACTGCATTTTTTTTGCCCCATGGTGAATTTCAACCACTGGAAGTTCCATTGCACTCTTGCGGAGCACTTTTATGAGAGATACTAGCCGCACTTCCAGCAATCAGGATGCCTTTGACGGTAACTCTGCTCAGTAAATGACATTTATGAGATTGTTTGTGAGTATAGATGAAGTTTTTTTTAAAATTTCTAAACAAGTTTATTTGTCATACAAAAGAGCAAATTATGTTGGCACTCCTATCCTAGGTCTCCACCCGGACATGCCTGACAATTGGAATAGTTTTTTTCTTGAGATACTAACAGCCGTCTAAATTAACTTTCCTGATGAGACTAAATTAAATTAATTTAGTCTACTGACTAATATAAGCATGCTTGAATATATGTATAAAGTTTCATGTATTAATATTGAGATAAATAAATCCCTGCCATCGATCTGAATGATAAAATTAGAAAAAAAATCAAGACAAAGATGGAAGATATCATGATCACTAGAATCAAATAGAAATAACTTGAAAGTGATGAACGTACTTAGATAAATTAAACTATACTGAAAATGAAAGTGACACGCATATATGTTTTTTCTTTTTGGTAGCTCCAAGTATCCTCTTGCAAAACGTTGTACAACATATGTCAATATCTAAATAATATGTCAAGACAACCTTTCCGAAACCATATGATATAACATACGCCAATCTCTCTAGGACTTACAAAAGTAACTTCTTGAAATATTATGTCAATCTCTGGTGTATATGTGTCCAAGTTGTTTCATCCATCATTTTTTAAGTTTATTACTATAAAGCGCATATCTATCTACATATCCAAATTTATCATGACATTAGCTAAAGTATATATATTTAAAGTATAATATAAATTTCTATGATTGTGAAAATATTTGTTTGATGTTACCCTCTATGGATTGAATCTCTCCTTTTGCATCTTAGTAACATATTTATTTCAGATAAATTTTTGAAACCAATATATCAAAATATAAATGTGCACTTTGGCATCTCAATTCCTGAATTCAAAACACTTTCAAGTGTTCTGACTCCAAGTACCACTGAGAAAGCTGGGTAGTAATGCCACCAGGCGCCATTGGAGAGCATATCCAAAGCTGGGAACTAATCTCGAGGAATGAACAAGAGAATAACTTGTAGGCAAGTAAAACAAACATATGTCGGATGGAATAGGCCAAGAAACGTCGATGCCGCGTGAGAACAACATCTGGAGTATGTATACGGAATAAATATCATGTGAGAATAACATACGGAGTACATACCCGAGCATTTCCAACTCGCAGAAGCAGTAGATGAAGGCGTTGCAACGCATTGAACACATCCTTTGAGAGTTATCTGAACCTGACTCATGTTCAAGTGGAGGAATAAGGACATTGGTGTGAACATGAGCATCGATGTCGTATACAGGTCAATGATGAACGGAGTTGGTCTTGCTCAGATTTGCTCCGTGCACTGTGCTCCCTTAATCAACCCAATTGTCGTTTCTCCAATTTGGAAGTCTAGTTTTGACTGAGCTTCAGCAGGGTGACCTCTAGGTGCTCGTGGTTGGAAGATACGTGTCGTTTGCTCCGTATCTTCCAGGGAGCGCAAGTGAATTCTCCTGATGGTTCCAGTTCTTGGCTTTGCAGCCAGCAGCAAATTGGAGCTTTGTGTGCATGTATTCAGGTCTCCGTCGTGCAAAACCTTTCAGAGCCACACAGAGACTGGCCCTCGCGCTTTATTTGGATAATGAGTAGGCGACACGTGTCACGGCGCTGCGCCTCAGTGCCTCGTGAATCAAGATCCACCTGCAGATTTCATTCGATCGAATATCTCCCCGCTTTCATTCGTTCCCCATCGACCGGTAAATGATTTTGTGAAGTTCCGGGTACACTTGGCCCGGAGAGCCAAGCTTTTCGGTCTCTTCCGTAGTGACGGCCTCCAACTCCTGAGCGAGTCATGGCTTTCACTTTTATGGGCTCAATCAACCTCTCCACATTCCCAAACTTTATCCAACCAAATTATGCGTTTTCAATTTCCTCTTCTCTCGTGACTCACTTCGATTTGGATGAAAGTTCATGAAGGGGATGCATGATGTAAGTCGACAGCCCTACAAAGCAGAGGCCAACAAAGGCCGAGGAAACTAGCCAGCCCCAGCCAGGGCCAAGAGGAGGGAGAGAGCTAGTACCGACAACGCGCTCGAAGAACTTTTTCCTCTAATTGCGTTCTCAAGATTATGCATCACTGAGCAGGCTACAGTCAGCAAAAGCTGCACACAAAGATCTCAAGAGAGACATCTCGCGATAATAATGTACATGAAGAAAATCGGAAATCTTGAAAATTCCAAATCCTTTTAAATAAAATCGTTCTGTGTGCATGCAACAAGGGTGGGGTACCAACCAAGATGCCCACTTTCTCACAGGAGCCCAAGGAGAGTATTGTGCTAGATCTTCCGCAGACAAGGAGTCAACCTTTGAGGTTCCTTCTGCTCCAAAATTCCAGTCAGATGTGTTTTGTCGCCTCAGCCTCCTTAGCCTCCATGTCCACATAAGTTACATCAGGACAAATGGAGAAATCTCAACTTGCGAGCGAGCAGAGCGACAACAACAACGACGACCTCAAAGGGATTGTGTGTCCCGATCCTCTCCCGTGGGACACCATGGAAGATCGTAGTACACAAGTACGCCGTACCGCCATGTCCTTCGCCGATCGAGACCCAATACCAGCCCCAATCCTTCCTTCTTTCTTTCTTTCTTTCCTTCCCTCCTCCATAGCTTGGCTCGAATTCTTCGTGAGGCGAATGAGCCACTCGTGCCGGAAATGGGGAGCGAGGGAGTCGAGCTTCTTGAGGACGAGGACGACGGGCGGACCGTTTCTCAAGCGCAGTTGGGGTCGGGGCTGCGCGCCATCGATCAGCCGCGCGAAGGAGGACGAGATTCCACTGCCCCAGTACAAGAAAGTACTGCCCCAGCGTCGCCGTCGAATCACGTCACTCCACGCTCGACAGACGGACAGACGGACGGACGGCCGGCCTCCCTTTTCCTTTCTGCCCCAGCGTCCGGCGTCCCTGCCACCTTCGGGCCCTCGACAGCCCCTCCGCCGTCGATGACCTCCCAGGGCCTCCGATGGGCTCAGATTAGACGGGCCGAGGAGATCGCGGAGAAGCTCCACGAAAGTGCCAGAAGATCGTCCCGGTCGCCGGTCGCCGGTCTCCAGTCTGCGGTCTGGGAATCCTGCCTCTGCCCGTGCCCGTGCCCCGTAAACCTCTGGTTGCACTCTCTTGTGGGGAAATCGAAGGCCCGCGTCGCCATCGCGACGAGACGAGACGAGACGAGACGAGGAGAGCGACGAGGAAGAGGCCGACGAGGACGACGAAGTTTCATGAAGTCGAAGGGGAGCGAGACAGCGACAGAGGCAGAGGCAGAGGCAGAAGGGCGAGGGGCGAGGGCAGGTGCTCGGCAGGCAGATAACAATTGCGAGGGCGGAGGAGGGCGACGACGAGCAGCGGCAGTGATGCGCATCGCGGGGAGGAACTCGGGCGCTGCGGAGTTGAGTAGAGTGGAGTAGAGCGGAGGAGGAGGAGGAGGAGGAGGAATTTGGGCCTGCGAACGATGGTCGTGCGGAGGATTGCGACGAAGCAGAATCGAGCGTGGCCCGATAGGTCGGTGGAGAAGTGAATGGTGATTCGCGACGCGCGGTCGGAGGTGTGGTAGGAATTCAGGCAGGCAGGCAGGGAGGGAGGGGTGAAGGGAGAGAGGGAGGGAGGGAGAGCGAGCGAGGAGGTTTTCGTCAATTGGCTGCGGACAGGGCGAGGCCGCTGAGGTTTGGCTCGGCTCGGTTGCAGGGCAATGTTGTTGCGGCCAGGGTTGTGAAGCGGACGTTTAGAGCAGCACGATGAGTGGACGTATGCACGGTTTGAAGCGCCGAGACCCAGACGACTTGGTGCTGGATCTGCAGAATGTCAGTCTTTCGCCGTCCAAGAAATTGCGTGTTTATGTGAGTAGCCGACTTCCTGACCATTTTCCTGTGCGAGATTCTGCCTGTCATGAGATTAGCCGCCGCTTCTCTTTCCCACTCTGCCAAGGTCTTAAAAAGTTCTCTCTTTGTATATGACACCCGAAAGAACAAGACTTCTCGTTTCTGGGTTACCTCGTCTGGACTGCAGTCTTGTGCCGTAACGATGTCGTCTTCGTCTTTTTCCTAGCGTTGTTTTCCGAAAATTCTATCATGCTTTCTGTTGGGAAAATGAGCTTCTTGGGGGCGAAAATAGCTTCCTGCTTGGAATCCTGTGTCACGAGAGAGGTCTTTAGTCTCTGTAGTTAAAAAACTTCACATGTCTGTTTCTAGTCATGAGGAATATCGTGTAGTTGCGGAGTCGGGGATATGAATGGCGGGTGTTGCGATCCTTTGCGAGAAAATTTAGTCGCTTTGTTAAGTGGATGGTTTTTTTGGAGCTGCTTTGTTGATGATGGAAATCCTTGGTGAAAATCTAAATGCTCATAATTTTCATAATCGTGGAAAGAAATGTGTTTTCTTGGAAAATTTGTGAAGTTTTCGAGTTTAAGTAACTTTGGTCAGCTCCAATTTTCTGTTGTGGGGCTGCACTCGTTTTTCGCGTCGATTTTCAAGCTTGCAAAGGCGCCGAGTTCTGACTTATCTAACGAAATGGAATGCAGGAAACAGGAGTATCTAGTGTTCCTGGATCGGGATCAATTTTCACGACTCCTCAACCAGCAGGGGAGGCTCCGTTCAGCCTTCTAAAAGGTCCATCAGCTACAGCGCTACCGGTGTCAACACCATCCACACCATTGTGTTCGGATACAGTGTTGTCGCCTCCACCATGTCCAGCATCGGAGCAGAGAGCCCTTGTGCTGTACAGACCAGTGAATCCCCCTTTATTCCCCGGTGGTCCTCCATGTGGATCAGTGGACCTCCCACTTTCACTCAAAATGAATTCGTCGCTGCTGCCAATACCTCAGGGTACCGACACTGGCTATGATTCCAGCTGCTTTGAGACAACCTCCTCTGATTTGGCTAGTCAGTCTCCTTTCTATAATGACAAGGATACCCCCTCTGGCCATGGCCTCTTTCAAGGTAGCCCATTTCATGCCGTGGGAGGAATAACCACTTACACATTGGGGTTGTGGCTAATGGATACTCCATATGTACCGCCATAGTTACCAGTTTGGTCAGTTTGGGTGTCTTTGGTTGTTTCAAAGTTTGGCATCCCATAATTGTTATGTATTTGTACTCTACTGAGAGCACTGTTTCTCGTGATGTCTGAGCCCAAACTTCGAACTCAAATCTCGCATTTAGTAACTGGGATGCATGTCCATATCTATCCTCTAGACATATTCTCGTTGACCGTTGGCTGGAGTAGAAGGGTAATACATCTCTTTTCATGTATATCACAGTAATCAACTAGCCCTCGAACGATATGATCCAGAGAGAATTCTGTCTTGAGGTTCCCAAACTGGTAACTATGGTGCCATCCCAAACCAATGTGTAGGTAGGAAGCCTATACCATGGACATACGCCTCGATACCAAGGTCCGGCCTTGAGTATTGCAGGCTTTAGATCTGCAAAAATTTCTGTTGGCCTTGAGAGTTTACCAGTGGGGGTCACGAGTGTACAATGCACAGAGAGAAATGCATGTTAAGAATATTCTACTGCACTTCCAGTTTCAACACCTTTGAAATTGTCTGTCGATTGTTCTGCTTAATTATCCTGCCCAAAAATTTCCCTGAATATCGATTTTGTGAGAAATGAAATGATGAGAGTTATTGGTGTTGTGCGCGTATTTAGTGGTCTAACACCTCCTCGTTGGCCTTCTGTTACAGCGCTGGACCTGTCAGGTGGGCCCTCAATACCTTTGGGGCTGAAACGGCTGAACAGGGTTTCGTCATGCCCACGTTTTTCATCTGCAATGGATGATCTACCCATGATCGAGGAGATTGACGACAAGGCTGCTCAACAATTGCAAGTGATACCTTGGGTGCCGAACTCTACTGCTGCTCTACTTGCAGGCACGAAACCAATAATCGAAGAAATTGATGATGTGCCTCTCATCACTCCTGACATGGAGGAAATGGCGGATGGCGAGTCCATGGAATTAGTGAGTGACGACATCATCGTGCCAGAAGTGGACACAACAACCATGGGCGGGCAGTTTGGAAGCCCGTTACCAACTTTCAGTGCTGCTCCCTGGCAGCAATGTGAAACACTCCAACCCCCGTTCACAAAAGTGATGTGGTCGCATTAACTTGATTGAGGTCGATGATAGTGATATCAAAGCTGTTTCGAACAGGTGTTATATTGATGTCACGTTGTAGCACCGAAGCTGGAGACAAGTCCATGCGACCTTGACCTTAGCGTAATTACCGTGGAGGCTTCGGTGCAGCCTTAGATAACGTACTCAGGGATTGCTCTCGCCCTACAGGCGTAAGAACTCGTGGACAGGAGGAGCAAGCATTGTTTATAGGTTTCAAGTTCTAGTCAAGTTTTAGTCTGAAAGGTATTCTAGGATCTTCAGCAAAGAGATTGTGAGAGGCATTAACCTGCGAAATCATGTGATGACGCGATCTCACTGAAAAACTTCAATCTGTTCTTTGACGAGAGGAAAAGTTTTGCAAAATCAAGTATATCGATAGCCTGGATTCCAGGTTTTGATTCCCACCTGTTTGGATGGGAGTCACGTTTTTGACGTTTGTTTGACTGTCTTTTAGGAATACGATTTTATCGCTGATGCGATGTGATTGATGCACCGTCAAGCTTAAGCCTCTTGCTTTCATCCAACTACTTTAGTGTTTTACCTCTTTGAAGTAATTGTAGACGTATTTATGTATTGACTGTCGATGAAGTGAGATGTAAACCGAAGGACAGGGCCCACGTCAATTTGTTATGAGGTCAGATTTGCCCCCGTCTGCTGTGTAGAATAGAGCTGTATACGGATCTAACCGGCTGTAAGTCTGACAGTTTTGGATGCTGACTATTGATGTGAAAACTATGTCTGACGAGCGTAGTAACTTGAAGAGTTCTTTCAAAGTCAGCAGATGAGCAAATGAGCATCGGAGGATTTCATCTTACCCTACCCGTTGAATTAAAAGGAGTTAATTCATCAAGATGTGGGAAGATGAATTCTCCAACCAATTTGAGAGGCTCCCACTTGGCAAAGTTCATCTCCATGAGGGCATAACCTTGTGTACATAGATTGTAAGGCATAGTAGACATGTAGTCACCAACCCTCACATCCTTTTTGATACAAACGACCCGACATCTTCGAAAAACTTGCCCTTAAACATCACGCCGTACGATCCTGCCCACTGTATAGCACAGAACTTCCGTGTGCCACATTTAACACGAATGGCTCGAATCCAGTGGATCAGTCACAGTAAAGGCGTAGACACATCACATGACTAAAATACGAGTTGTGCAAACATCAGATATTTACAGCAGATCTATCGGCAACAGGTAAAGAGCAGCTGCAGCCAGTCTTCGTATTGGCTCCAACGAGCCGTCTCAACGCAGTCTATACAGCACACCGGAACACACAGTAGAAACCAGTGCCCCTTGGATATGCAATAGAACCTCGTGCCTTAACTAGAGGCCCTGCTGAGGAGTCCGGTATTACGTGTGGTCGCTTCCAAGACGCCGATGCCAACGATCCTGGCCTTTGTTGTCGAGAGTTTCCTACCGTAATGTACTCTATGACACTCAATTATATGTTGGATTCTCAGAGTGTCATTGCTAATGACGTCGCTAGCTCACATCGAGTATACTACGAATGTGCTGGTTATGAGAGAGCTGTTATAGAAAGTGAGATTTCACACTGTGGACATCAAAGTACACGGATTGCAAAATCTGCACATCGGTTGATATTCAAGACATGACAGATCTGTCGACTGACTCATTCTTCTGTAAAAATTTCTGCTTCTCTTTGCATCTGGTATTACGGCCGTTATCCAACAACTCACGAAACTTCGTACCTGCGGGATCGTCTCTTCCTCTAAGAAAAGGGAAACTGAAAGCTCATCTATCTCGGTTCTCGTCATCACGTTAGCTCCAGCCTCGACGGTCATGCCATTCGAAGTCGGTTCATCCTGTCTCTTAGACCGATGCCGATTCTCGGTTCATCGCACACCATCTTCTGAGCTTCGATCGGTTCAGGATGCGATTCTTGTGGAGCATGATTCAGCTGTAGCGACAGAATCAACGATGAGAAAGAAGGATCAATGTGCCGCTCGATGACGACAGCAGAGAGTGCACACACAAGGTTAGATACACTCTAGATTGTCCATTTGGTGATGAGTTGAGATGTCTGGGTTTGACGAGACGGACTGGGATGCAAGTTGCGAGCAGAGATGGCTTCAGACCAGAATACTGAAGTCCACTCCGAGCTCGTCTAGCACTTGACAAACGAGCTGCTCTGACTCATCGACATCTTCTTCTTCTTCTTCCTCCTCTTCGTAGAGATCCTCCTCCTCCATCTCTTCCAAGCTCATGTCCATTCGCATTTGGTGTACTTCGAACTCCTGCATGATCTTTTGCAAGGCCGGTTGATTCACATGCAAGTTCAGCTGCCTCACGGCTTTGATAAAGCCTTGCAAAACGTCTGCCATTGATTCTGCTGATTTCAGTGTCTGCCCGACGTCGACACACGGAAATCCAACAACAAGTCACTCAGTGGCGGATCCATTGCTTTCACGAAGAGTACCTTCACGTTCAAAAATCTTGGGACTCTGTGTATTTGCATTTATGCACATGGTCTTCGAGGACAGACACTGACACTGACATGACATTGACAGTCGAACCTGCGTATGAAGAGATATGCTTTTCAGCTGTTGGTACAGGTTATAGCATCTGATGATTCGTTGTCGAGTTCTTATGAGGTCCACTGTCATGATCTTCACAGCATCCTACACGACGGATCGGCAAACTCGCCATCAGTTCTGTAATTTCGAGAGATGCCACAACTTGCATGTGCGCAGTAATTTGCTACCGTGCACGTGTGCACTCAGATTCTCGAGCAACAGCTGCAGGAGGGGTTTCCAATCCGAACATTAAGATTCCCTCCAGCTTCGAGTTTGTAAGCCTGTCATTTTGTGTGTGAGCTACACCATCGACTTCCCCCCTTCATCTCAAAAGTCAGTCACATCGTGCAGTAGACAGACGACTGTGTGTGTGTGTGTGTGAGAGAGCTCGGATTGCATTGCAATGCACTGCGTAAGTGAGCTCGGACATGAATGCAGTGGTTGCAATTTGCACAAGGATGAGTTCCCTCGAGAAAAGCACGGTGCGGCCTGGACTGCACAGAAGGAGCAAGAGAGTGAACGTCACCCATTGGTTGACTTTGGCAGCCTTCTTAATCTCTTGAATCAGCTTCGTTTCGATGGTATGCAGCGACTGTTTCTCTCGCTCGATCTCCCTCATGCCTCGTTCCATCAGGCGCCTGTTCTCTCGCATCACCTCTGCGAAGCAACACACAGCCCACGATTGAACGACCAGAGGAAGAAGAAATTCGGATTCGATTTTATCCATATCTCAGGCTATGGCTCAGGATCAGGATCAGGCTATGGTTCGGGCTCGCACCCAGAGGAGTCTTCGTCCTCTCAAAAATGAATCTCATCGTGCTCAACATTGCAGTCGCGCTCGAGAGTTCTCGTGCACGAGCAGCAGAGAGGGTCCGACGAAGCGAGCGAGCGAATCGGTGCCAAGAGCGATGGCGCAAGCAAGACTCGTGCGGCGGCGTCGACGACGACGAGGACAGGGGTTGCGGTTGCGCTCGATCGATGGGCCGAGTCTGCGAATCTCGAGCAGGGAGCAGTCTGGGAATCTCCGCCGAAGCCTCTGACCTCGCAGCCGGCGCTCTCCTGTCCCCCCAACCGCAGAGATTTGCGGGGGGGCTCACACAACCGTTACAGAGGGAGGGAGGGAGGGCTCTCCTCGCCATCCCTCCTCCACCATCATGACGGCAACGGCAGCGAGTGCTCGCGTTGCCGCAACGTTACCCGTTCCCCTTCCGTTTCCTCCGCATCCATCGTGGACTGGAATGCAGTCAAATCTGCCACTCGTGAACTAACGTCTCTTCCAGCCGGAGCTGCCACTCGGGACTGATTGATTTGACTGACTGACTGACTGACTGACTGATCGATCGATCGATCGATCGATGGTTGCGCATCCTCCCTCGGAACGGGAATTTCGCCACCGCGACCGGAAGCCGGCATCGAACCGCGGAGAGAGAGATTCCAAACATCCGGATCGGTCGCCGATCGATGGAGCAATCTTTCGTACGTCCTCGGCCGCAGCGACAGGGCCGTGCGTGCAGGGCAGGGCAGGGCGAGACATTGCGGCGTTCAGTAGCTTCATGCTGGCGGGCGGGCTGGATTTCTGGCTCGCATTGCAATGCTGCCGAGATTGTGGGAGCTCGATGCTCGTTGCGATGTTCAAGTTTGTGGGTAGTGCTGAAGCCATGGCCATCCATCCATCCACCCACTTTGAAGGTTCCGCCTTCGGATTTCTTCATTCTCAGTTGGCAGGCGTCGTCGATCGACAACAGAGAGCACATGGAATTGTACAACGACGACGGTCGAGGCTCGAGGCTCGAGGCTCGACGTCCATGGACTGTGGGATGAAGATATGGCGGGGGAGGAGGGGGGCCCACCATCATTCGACCTTGCGCCATACGATCTTTCGTTCCACGTCGAGTGCTCTGTCCCGCTGGTTGGTCGTGCAGAGGACGCTTGGCTCCAGCTCGAATCTGTGCAATTGCAGAGTGTCAGAAGGTCGGAGGCTGCTGATGACGCCGCAGGTTTGACGATGTTCGCTCGAATGCGACCGTCCCGACATGTCGAGAGATTAGAGCAGGGACGGATGCAGATGCAGATGCAGATGCAGACAGAGAGTTCACGGCACATTCGAAGCTCTGCGCTCTAGAGGAGTCCGTCCAAGTTCAATATTGGTTCCGGTTCGATTTCGACTCGAGCCATCTCTGATCCGTTTCAGCTTCAGCTTCAGCTTGCAGGACGTCGTGATTTCCGCTCCTCTGTCCGAGCTTGAGTCATTCGAGAGCACGAGACGTGTGGCCGAAATCAGCGGGCATGGCATCGACCATGGCGACTGCCTTCGCGGGTCTAACACTGAGCTCCAGCGCAGTGGAAGTTTGCGATCTGAGCCGGCGACATTCGAGCAATTTGTGCTCGTCCAGCGGGACAGGATCGATGCGCTCGACGTTTTTCGCCAAGGACTGCGCTCCTCGAAGGAGCCTTTGCGGGGCGGTGGTCGAGCCGTGGAAGCTGTCGACCACCAGAGGACGGGCGGCAGCGAGGTGTCACGCCGTCAGGGGCTTGGAGAGAGCCGAAGCATCGCGCGAGGTCGATGACCCGGATTCTCTTCACCAGTTCGTCATCGTCGGAGCAGGAATTGCGGGCCTGGCCACTGCCGCCGCCATGAACAAGTGAGTGCTCGTTTCTCAGCTCCATCTCAAATCTCTCGTAGTAGACTTTGGAATGTGTAAGATCGAATGCACGATTTGAGCGCTTTGTGCTCCACTCTAATTTCTCATCAGCAAAGCAGAAAAGCTCATGAGCTGGTCTTAGAGTAGCAGCGCAAGCTCATCGAGTCGAGTGGTTCTCATTTCTTAAAATGTTGGTGTATTGCACATGGACTGACTCAGCTCACGAGAGCTGAGTGGAATGGAACCCAGATCGCTCGTTGGCTCGTTCCTGGAGGGGCACTAATTTTGAGAGTCATGGGCACGTGCAGGATCGGGGTGAAGACACTGGTCCTCGAGCAGTCTGCGGGGCTGAGGACGACAGGAGCATCGTTGACCTTGTGGTCAAATGCTTGGCGTGTTCTGGACGTGCTCGGGATCGGTGATGAGCTCCGCTCACAGCATCAGCCAATTACCGGGTACGTGACGACGACTCACTTACTCGATAGAGTCGAGCAGTCAACTACTGTCATCTTTCTTTGAGTTCATACCTCGAGTCTATTCCACTGCTGTGCCGATCGTTCACATCCTCAAATACTCCCCATTTCCTCTTGAACCTCGTTAAACTCTGCACAGTTCGTTACAATTGCAGGTGGAAATAGGGTTGATCTAACGAAAGCATCTCACTCCATCTCTTCCTGTAGTATGGCTCATACGTTCGGTGTCAGTTGATTGCTTCACTTTTCTCGTTGGATCTTGAAGTCGAATGTTGTTTTGAAGATTTGCAGGATCAGGTTTTTCAATCAGGAAGAGAAATTGTTGAAAACCTTCGACTTAGAAGAATGTCCCGGAGGGTAAGTCTCTTCTCCTCATTCACTCATTCATTCTCACCCATATTTGGCAAGTTCGGTGTTGAAAGCTGGATCGGTGCTTGCCTTGAACTGGTCATGTCGGTTCAGGCGGCTCGAGCATCTGCAGTCTAAAGGGATCTGTGCAGACCAGCTCGAAAGTATGGACTCGCAGTCGTTGTGCTTCAGTGGAAGTGTTATGATTGTGATCTCTCTACCTTATATGGACAAAAAATAACCTGCTGGATTTGGTCAAAAGATTAAGTGAGTTGATTTTTCCGGTAGAATTGCCAACTCGAGAAATGTGTGCTGGATGTGACTGCCATTGTGTTGTCTTTACTTTTCCTGATCGATCAGTTTGTTCAGACTTTGGTAGTCGTGGATCTCGTGGTGGAAAGAGCCATGGAAACAATCTCGTTGCAGCTCTCGTATGAAACAGTGCTTGAGGCATGAGCAGGCCAAAAGATCACTTGTAAAAGAAAACGTCTCATTCGAAATGGCGGAAATTCGTCCAGCTGTAGATGGTGAAGAACCAGCGTCGTCTAACGAGGTGTGCTATCTATATGCAGGCCGCACGAGCTCTGTAGCGTGGAACGAAAGCTGTTGGCCAACGCTCTGGCATCCCAATTGCCACGCGATGCCATTCGCCTCAACTCTCGAGTTGTCTCGATCGAAAGAGAATCGAACACTGGTCCCTTCGTTTTGACTTTATCGGACGGATGCGTCCTACGAACGAGGGTAAGGCAGTGAGTGCGTTTCTCAAAGCAAGTCGTCTTTTCTTAATCCGTCAGAAGGCTGCAAAACTGTCAGAATCTTGCGGTTTTTCACCGATCGTGAAGCAAGGGTAGCCCTGTAGACATCCAAGGTCGATGTCGTGTACTGTATGCTGTGGGATTTTGACAGACTGACATGACAGCCGAGTGCATGTGCAACTGCCTGCAGGTCTTGTTGGGGGCTGATGGGGTGAACTCCGTGGTGGGACAATGGATGGGGTTGGCAAAGACGCGATACGTGGGGCAGGTCGGAATTCGTGGAGTGGCAGTGTACCCGGCTGGACAGCCATATGGTGACAAGATCAGACAATTCCTCGGGCGAGGAGTTCGTGCTGGTTTAGCACCGATTTCGTCCACGAAGGTCTATTGGTTCATGGTGTACAATCGGTCATCCCCAGGTACTTACTTCCTTTCTCGCTTCCATCCTTGCATCCGTCCTTGTTTCGTCTGAAATTCTCCGGCAGGAGTTGCCAGCCTCGATCGAATCCGTCGTTGGTTCACGAACATGGTGGAAGGAAGGTGGACTGATTGCTCGAGGCATGAGGTTCCTGCAGGTACGAAAGTGACGGATCCGGCCGAGGTGAGGGCAGAGTTGTTGAGCATGCTCGACGGCTGGCCACAGCACATGAAGGAGTTGCTCGACAACACGCCGCTCGAGAATATCTCGAGAGCAGCTCTGGCAGATCGATGGAATCTGCCGGGCATCACAGCGCCTGTCGTGCAGAGCGGTGTGACTCTGGCAGGAGATGCGTTGCATCCCATGACCCCGAACTTGGGTCAGGGAGGGTGCTGCGCTTTAGAGGACGCCATCATCTTAGCTCAAACTCTGGGAGTCGTTCTCGCCCAGCGAGCAGGAGGCGGCGATGGCGATTACGATGCTATAACGAAGGCCATGGAGCAATACGCAGCCGAAAGGCAGCAGAGAACGTTTCCTCTCGCTCTCAAGTCCTTCGTTTTTGGGGCTCTTCTGCAGATCGGCTTCGCCCCCGTTTGCTTCGTCCGGGACAACATTGCTGTGCCCAAGATCGTTCGCCCCAGCTCCTTTCTCAGCCACACTCAATATAACTGTGGACAGCTTCCCGCATCTCTCGTCGTGCGAGATTAATCGTTCGTTCACAATTCATTAATAAACTGTACATCTACGAATCTTGCCCCGAGTCTTGCTTGTTTCACAGTCTGAATCTCTACCTCACTTTCCTGAGCCCATAGCTGTCGAGCACAGGGAGCGAATTCTGTCAGCATTCCGACTCCCGTGTCGCCCATGGCTACTCCAAAGCTACTCACGGGCTGGTGATGGCACACTGGAGATCGGGTGCTTGAAGCAGCCATGCTCTCCAACGGAGCAGCCATCGGCAGCGTGGGCCTGACGAGAGGACCGTACTCAGTCTGGACTTCGATCTGTCGGTGATTCTAATTTCTCGAGCTGACAGTAAAAGCAAGATCTTAAACTGCCTTTGGATTCAAAGTTGTCACACCGTCCTCGCTCGAGGATTGACTTGCACTCTCTCGTAGTTCTTTCAGTCGTAAACATCGTCACAACTCAGGTTCATCTCCGACCGGCGGGCTGTAATACCTGCCCAGATTTGGGTAGCGGGATTCCGCCGAAACCTTGTCGTGAATCCGAATCTTATCGAGCATTAAGTACTTTGGGAAGAGAGACACTCTTCTGAAATCGTCTCCAATTTCACGTCGAGTGAAATTGGAATGCTGTCGTCCGTATTCCTACGCGAGCAGAAGTCAGTGGGGCCGAGCGGGGCCTCGAAAGCAGACCATCCCTCGAGCTGAGAGAGAACGAGGGGACGGCTTTTCAGAAAGCCGAAAGTCAAATGTCGTCGAGGAGCAAGCACGGCTGCTCGGCAAAACGTGGATGCTCTTTTGGCCATCGTCAACAATCTGAAGCAATGTGTGAGCCGAAGGAAGCTCTCCCGTGACCACGCAGGGACCACATCACACGCACCTGTAGCAGGTGACGACCATTACCCATCTCCTGGGGCACACAGAAAAGAGGACATGGCACTTTCAGGCGCAGCAGCCAGCCGCTTCGACTGAGTTTCACGCCCCTGGAATCCACAGACCACGAGCGTCGGGCGATTCCGATTTGTCGGACCTTGATCCGAGCTTTTCCACGGAAGGACTGCAGACATGGCTCTCGCTCGGACGGGGATCGATCAGAATCAGTGACTGAGTCGGTCTCAGGAGAAAATCTGTCGCCCGCCAACATTTTTCGATTCGATTGGATTCGATTGGATTCGCTCGGTCGCTCGACGCCGTCGTCGTCCGTCACTCTGACGCCCATGGGAGGCCTTCGGGGCGAGAAAGGCAGAAAGGAGCGCGACGTGTGGTACAACGAGGGAACGAAGAGCTCGCAAACCTGCGAGACTGTGGCCGAAGGTAGCGTGGCGAGGTCCAATCGCACATCGCTGCAGGGGAAAGGGATTTGATGCGACTTTTGAGATCTGTGTCTCGAGGAGGAAGGCGGAGGTGGGACCTGGACTTCAAATGTGGAGCCCCAAGCCCGAAGCTCGAGGCCCGAGGCGCGAGAATGATGGTTTGGATACGCAACGCCGCAGCGACCAATGATCACTTGCAGATTCCGGAATCCGGAGGTTGCGATGTTCATTCATTGACTCGTCGAGCGAGACTCGAGAGCTCGGAGAATGAATGAAGCTTCCGAGAGCTTTGTCTCGTGCAGCCATCCCGCCATCCCGCCATCCCGCCAGCCCTCTTTCCAAGCGTCGTGCTCCTGCTGGAGCAGAGAAAGCAAAAAGCGAAACCTTTCCGGCCATCTCCCCGAGCCCAGCCCAGCCGAGTCCCGACCGAGTTACGCTGAGCTGATTGCATGTGCTTCAATGCCACCATCGCCAGCCCCGCGAGCTCGATCCCACCGCACCTTTCGACTTCCATCGGCGGTGACTCTGCTGCGCAATCTCTCTCGTCGACACCTCCGATTTCCCGACACATCCGAGCTCCCGCCCAGATGCTGGCAGGCATCTTCGTCCATTCGGGAAGAGCGCGATCGCCGCAACCTCGAGCGACCTGGATTCGGGATCCGGAATTCGGGATTCGGGATTCCACCCGTCCTCCCCCGCCATGGACTTAGGTGAGTGAGTGAGTGAGTGAGTGAGTGAGTCGCGGTAAGGCCCTCGTGGAGTGCGAGAGCCGCGCGAGCGAGAAAGAGCAGGAAGTGTGTATGCAACGACAATCCTGCGAGCAGATGAGCCCCGTCCCTGATTTTGTTGACGATCAGAGCAGAGGCGCTCGCCTCCATTCTCGTCCAATGCTGACTCCATCGGTCCCCATTGGACGCAATGTTTCCACTCCCGCTCTTCGAGATCCATGGGCCACACCACCACCAACGACGACGACAACAAATCTTAATCAATTCACCGTCCCGTGGCCTGGATTGAACGACCCTGTCCGAGAGAGCCGAAATCTCGAAGGCAGCAAGAAATCATTCGCACAATCTCCATAAAGCGGTCGATCAAATTTGATACTCCACCGCCTCAGGCCTTCCACGGCACGCCGTCCATGTCGAATGCCGTGCACGAACGCTGTTAGGTGCGTGGGGTTGAGGGATGGATGGGTGGGATTTAGATTGGGTGCCTTTCTCTCCCGGTAACTCGAATCGATCGATCGATCATTCGATCGCAGATTTCACTTACAATAGACGGGAAAGGAATGTGTCTGGAGTGCGAGGAGAACAGACCCGATCGATGCTCGAATCTGGTTCGGACTCATTCGCACACCTTTCTCACCTCCATCGCATCCTCCGAATGCACCGCACCGTGTTGCAACTAAAGCGTCGGCAGTGATGGAGCTCGATCGAGAGGAGAAGACGCCATGAGGCGTGATCGAACCCTGCCCATGCATGCAGGCTTTCCTCGAAAGAACTGCTCACGAGAATCTAAAGTCGGTTACGCCGCATGATGATGAGCTCGATCGCTCGATCGCTCGCGATGAATTATTATTCTCGCCAGTAGATCGATCGATGTACGGCAGCGCAGCGAGCGAGCCGAGCATCTATCGAGTTCCTTTCGTTCCTCCTTGGGCCCGACCCGACCCGACCCGACTCCTTTCGAGGCGCTGTTGCTCCTTCCATCATCATCATCATGCAATTCGCATGTTCTTTAATCCGGGATGTAATTGAAGGCATATAATGCACCTCGAGGCGATTGAATCAAGCCATGGCAATGATTCAGGTCCCCGAAGTTCGGCGTCTCGTCGGGCAGGGGCAGGCGCGAATCTTTCGTGCATCCGTTCCGTTGGCCGTGCTCTGTCTGTCAAGGCAGCTGCGTGAAGTCCACCACAGCGTCCTGCAAATGTTTAAAGCAGATCCATGGAGTCTCCCGGACGCTAGACGACATTCTCGCCCTCTTCGAAAGAAATGTTGGATTTGGTGACTCGTGCTCTACGAAGATTTACTGTCTCATACACCAGATTTTCACATCCGCCATGACTGACCGACATGCCCGGTCTTTGATGTTAGCCTGGTAATGGATGGATGTGTTGCCCACAAGTGTTCGAGCATACTGGATCATCTCTCCTGCAACAAGAGTGGCTGCCATTGAGCCTCTTCGCGGACTCATGAGACGAGTACCGTAAAGGGGGAAGTTTATTCCCCTCTGGTTTAATCTCCCTTGGGGGAGAGGTTTGGCCCGTTTGCGTTATAATTGACATCGAATGCATATCGAATTTGTCCGTTTGCGTCGTAACGGTTCTTACAAAGTCAGAAAGAAAACAGGGGGAAAGAAAAGGCTTTGACATGGAGGGGAGGGGAGGGGAGGGGAGGGGAGGGGGGGTGGGGTGGGGCAAAGCAGCAGGTGGAGGGAGGGAGCTAAATGTCTTTGACTTGCATCATCGTTCGCATTCTGTATGCGTGATTCCATGCTCTCGCATGCTTCTCGTCCATGAGGAGCGAAGAATTGGAAAGTTGGAAGGGAACTGATTCTGGGCTTACATCGAGAACTGTTTTACTCATGCGGAGTGGTTGAGTTTTCTAGATGGCAACTGACTGTCCTGGAGGTGGTGAGATCCATTATTAGCATCGAGCTTCTGAAGGCCAAGTATGGTCCAGTGACTGCTCGAGAAGACAGACAACATGTGACGTGAGAGTTGGGGTTTGAGCATGGGAATGTGAAAGATCTCTGCTCAGTGATGACGTCGACGTCTGGAAGGTGGATCTAATTCGCGGCTGGTCCCACTTCCATCCCGTCCCATCACACTCACTCACACTCATTCACACTCGCAAATCATGTCCCGAGGAGAATGGGTACCGTCAAGATTTTGCATGGGGGAGTGGCGAGGGGCGTTCGTTATGGTCCCACTCGCGCCCCCATTGCCTTCACACCACGTCACTTTCTCACATCCGAGAGTTGTTGATTTATTATTATAATTGTGAGGATGCAAGTGTGCAAGAGCAGAAAGTACCAGAACAATCTCTTGCTGCTGTTGGCCTCCAGGTGGAACCCTGTTGTGCCATATTATTAGCTTGCCCCTTCCCTTCCCTTCCTTTCCCTTTCCTTTCCTTTCGGTTGCCCAAACGTAATTGTTTCGCAATGCGCCATTGTTTGACACTAATGGTACAAACGGCCATGCAAGTTTATCTCTGATCGTAATGGAAAGGTGTCGATGTGACGTATGGGCTCGACCATGTCCTACTTCTAGGGACACCGACGTTGGTTGGTAGACGAAGTCGTTCGTGGCGCAGAGTCCAACATCGTTCCGAACTTGAAACCATGCTGGACTCGTTTCAATGAGTCTGCCGAGTAAAAAAATCAACAAAAAACGTTTCAATAAAACAAATACTAATACATATACTGCCGAATTTTTTGAATTTAAAAAAAATTGAATGATAAGGATTTAAATTTAATCCAAACAAATTGCTATAGGACTTTTTTTATTCAAAAAATTAGTACTGTAGGTAATTCACATGATATTTTTACAAATTCTTTTAGTGAGAAGACACGCTCACACTCAAATCTCTCTCTACCTGTACCTCATTTGGTGATCGAGTGGTAAAGATATTTCTTCCTTGGGTTCGAAGAGGAGATTTCACGACAAATCTGAAATGAGTATGAAGTTCCCATGAAGTTCCCGTCTACTTCGTACTTGCTAGCTGGCCATCATCATCATCACGGGGATGTGTTGTCTTGTTGGCTGTTTTCAAGAAAGAATTGAAAGAAGCCTTTGGGTCTCGTTCAGTGTTCCGATGCTTTGAGCATATTTTTATCACGGCAGGACTAATCGGTTCTCATAATTGATTTCGTCGTGGGCGGATGGATCAAGCCAAAGACTTGCAAAGATTATGCATGCAATCATAACTGTCACGCTATAGCAGCACTTGGGGTTGACATTGACATTGGACTTATTCCTAAGTTCTATAATACTGTTGCAAAAATTTCTTATTTATCTTACCAAAAGTATGGGAACACCTTCATGAATAAAC